AAGTCGCCACTTTTTTCAGCTCTTCGTGGAGGCGGACCCGATGTGCGAGCATCCAAGACTTGAGTACATACTGTCAGGATGTTTCATAGAAGATACCAGGTGTGGTCTTGAACGTACATGCTGCCAGATGGATAGGGGTTTCCTGAGATCCACGCGGACCCTCTGATTGCCAATAAAATCATAGTCCGCGATCTTCAGAACGGTCAATAAAGGCATGGCTCCTGGGGATGTTGCCTGAGGACACCTACACCTCTGATTGGATTGGCCCCGAACTTCTCAGGAAACACACCGAATTGCTTGAGAATGCCATGGCAGTTTGGGGCAAGATGAATCGCGGCGCCAACTTCAGAATTCAAGCCTGAGCGTTCTAGAAGCTTGGTTTGAAAGTCAGCTTCACCATGATCCTGCAACTCTCAACCGCAGTCTTACCGTCACTTTGTGACCCTGCTGGCGCAGACCCAGGGCTGCTGTAAGCCCACCAATGCCTGCCAGCAAATTTAGCGAGGATCTTGATTAGAAATTTACAATTCACCAACCTGCTCCAACAATGACGATGTTCAGAGGTGAAACGGTTTCTGATTGCTCCATCGTGAGGCAAATTGGCCTGGGCCACGAACTCAGTTCTGTAATGCGTACGTAGTATTGGCCAATGAAGCTTGGCTCGACTGGAGAACTCGACTGGAGAAAGAAGAACGAGTCTTCTCAAGTGCTCAGCTTGCACCCGGCTCTGCCACAGCATGTTGATTTGCTAGATGTCCTACATGTATTCAAGATCAAGTCTTTTGCTCGGAAGGTGCCGGGAGGTGGAGAGAGGGGCCGACAAGACGTTGTGTTTAATGCCAGGCGTGTTCCGCACTAGTATCAAGGAACCTGAGATCAGGAGAGGCATCACGCGGAGAACATGGGGGGATACCATGCTCGCCACCAATCCCGTGAAAGACCTGCTCTGGTCGTGATCGGTATTTGGATCTAACCTAAGCCCCGCCCCCGCACATTCGGCTCAGTTACCCCAGCCTTCCGGGCCGGCCGGCGGCTGGCTGGTCCCCTCCACATCCCGATCTGACCTTTGGTGGGCAAGACTGCGCTTCCTAGACCATATCCATAGACTCAGTGACCGCATGCGCTCGGTGAGAAACTCAAGTGTTCAAGTCCAACGCATCAAATCCCAATCATCTGTTTTTGGTCATTTGTCCACCCTGGTCATTTGGTCATCTTCAATCATGAGTAACTATTCACATTGGTATAATGTCATGTAAAAGCACGTGCTAATGTTGCCTATCAGCTCCACTAACACCCGTACACTTCTTCTCCCATGGCTCTACCATGATGCTGGGCGAGGAATCCGAGGCTGCCACCTACTGGAAACGCGCCGGCGATGCCGCTATTGCCAATAAAATCAAAGGCGTCATCATGATGGTTTGTTCACCCATAAATGTACTGATTGCGACTCTTGACTGATTATTTCCAGGGTGCACACTGGGATGCTCTCGGAGACAAGGTCGAGGTTGCCACAAATCCGGACCCTTCCAAATCACCAGTTGCCTACGTTCACCCATCCAAGTACGTGGACTACAAGCTTGTGCCCGACATCAAAACATCTGAGCGCTGCGTCAACATCCTCCGTGCGGCTGGATTCGACGCCAGTGGTAACCCAAAGTTTGACTGGATTCACGACACTTATCTGATTCTCATTCGCATGTTTCCTGACGGCTGCCCACCGACAACGCTGATCTCCATGAACGCGCGCTTCGACCCTCACTACCATGTTCGCGTCGGCGAAGCTCTGCGGCCCCTCCGTGCGGAAGGTTACCTCATCATCGGCTCCGGCGGCGCTGTTCACAACCTCTACAGGAACCACTGGGCTCCCATGTTGCGCTACTCTGACAACTTCGCCCAGACGCGCGCCCCCGAGCCGTGGGCACTCGAATTCCGACAGGCCGTGGAGGATGTCGTCAAGAACAATTCTGGGCCCCGACTACGGAGAGCCATGACGCGACTAATGAAGCATCCCATGTACAGGGACGCGCACGCTACAGACGACCATTTCATGGCTGCCATGTTTGTGGCTGGAGCTGTAGGCGATGAGGATGACGAGGGGTGTTTTGGTGAGCTCAAGGCTGAGACTTGGGAGCTTACCAACATGTGTAATAGTCAGTTTACGTTTGGGAGCTGGCCACAGACACTGGCTGTGGCATAAATCGTGATACTATACGTAGCATATATCTTGTTTGCTGTTTTTTGCATTTTTCATAGTAATATATTGTAAGAAGCTTTCTCTCAAGTTCATTTCATATTTTGACTATTCAACACTGTACGTCTCTCCAGGCAGAAGGATGCTGTCGAATATCTTAGGCGTGTTCAGTCGCATAGGTGCATTGAAGAATCTTTGGTCTCGCTCAACAAAAGGAAACTAAAGCTTTGAAGATACTGTTGCAAAAAAAGAGTAACACGCTTATATCAAATTCTATTGAAGTCTATTTCTGGGGAATAATTGGCAAAGTAACGTAGTTCTGATATCCAGGCCCAAAATGGACGTGATTCGTACCCTGCAGCTTCTCGGGTGACCTGCTCAACTCGTATTAGCAAATATTGATTCACTTGAACGCAACTCGCGAGCCACTCACCTGTCAGACGGGTCGTCATGCGTGAAGATTCCAGATCCCTGTGTATCACCGGACGAAACCTCAAAAACGAGTTTGCCTCCCTTCTCGACAACCACATTGGTTGGCCAGATCTCAACATCAACAGTGTAGACTTCTCCCTGGATGACAGGCAAAACATCCTTGCTGGTGTAGTCGCGGTGAGGCAGCCATTCACGGTGCTTCGCGTGCTCCTTGTTGATCTTTCGCAGACTGACGCGCAACCAGCCCTTGGTCAGGGGCACGGGGTCGCCAGCGGTGCCCGTGTAGTAGATCTCCTTTCCATTCGGCCCTATGTGGCGCAGGGTCACGAAAAGATCGATATCGCTTGGTGTTGGGCCAGATGGATCCGGAGTAACAGAGACGTTGAGATGAGCCGTAACGTGACCCGTGACTTCCGTTTCCGCCTCAAAGGGCAGTGTTACAAACTGAAGGACCTGCTGATCATCTAGTGACCCAAGGGCACGATATGACAGTTTTGCCCTATCGCTTAGGGACTCATGCACTGCATCGGGCGTTAAGCCGAGATCCGGCGTCAGGTGGAACTGCATGTACTCTGTACGTGCGATTGGCCACGCTTGCTCCTCACGACGAGGGAAGCTCTTTTCCTTTTCAGCATCATTGAAGCCAGCATCGCCTTTGCGCAGTACCAGCGTGACAGGTGAGACCTTGCCCGGCTCAGACCAGCCAACGCGGTCCTCTCCCTTGAGGAAAGCGTCGAGAAAGCTTCGTTGGACCTCGATCTCTTCCTTGTAGTAGAAGGGAAGATCATGACGGCCGGTGATCATGCGCAAGTACTTGAGTTTCGACCCAGCATGGAGATATCCCTCAATGTTGCCGCGGAGGTGCAGCAAGATGCCGCCCCAGTTGCCCACCGATAACAGAGGGACCTCAATATCGCCCATGTCGTACTCCTTCGAGGCGTAGTAAGGATCGTCTCGGAATTTGTTATCGCGGTTGTCTGTTGTCTGATCACACCTGTTCGCGGCGAGTTCCTCCTCTTCGAGATCACCCTCAATGGTGTCCGGGCCCCAGTTTCTTGCGCTGCGGCCTGGCCGACCATACTGGTTCGTGATGACCTGGCGGTTCCACCAGAACTTGATAAAGGCGTTTGACAGAATGCCGCCATGACGGCAGCGGTCGCGATAGTAATCCGACATGCCTTCCCAGGGCACAATGGCCGCAAGGCCCTTGGGCCGGCGTGCCGCCACGCGCCACTGGCTTCCAGCGTAGTAGCTGATACCAAGGAGTCCAACTTTGCCGTTTGACCACGACTGATCAGCGGCCCACTCAACAACGTCAAAGAAGGCTTCGCTCGTGCCTCGCGACATGGTGTCCAGCAGGCCGGTCGACTGGCCGAGGCCACGCTCGTCGGCACGAACGACGGCATAGCCGTTGCGCGTCCAGTAGCCGGGGTCTGGCGTCTCCCAGGCTGAGTGCTCTGACTTTTGTTCTTCATTGACCTCGGCGAAGGACTTCGGGTGGAAGCTGGCTCAAGGTCAGTTTCACAAAATTAGGACCCTGGGATCCAAGGGGATAGTACTCTTTATAGGGAATATCTTTTCCGTAAGGGCCGTAGGTGACAAGTACTGGAACTGGCCCTGCCGACTTTGGGCGGTAAATGTTGCAGCGTACGAGACCGTCGCCGGCCTTGAGAGTTACGGTGGCATTTTGTTCGAAAATGTAAGGGAATGACGTCTCGTCGACCTTGTGTAAGTCTTTCACTTGATTCGGCATATTGGGCAATTTTTGAGTCTGATGCTCGAGCTGCTTGATTTCAATGTCGAAGCCGCGATTCGAGAAATCATATGATATGGCATATATGCTGCGTCTGTGAACTGGACGGTGTGCTGTAATGCCGCTAACCTTGGCTACATATGGAGTCGGAATGTGGGGGAGGGCGCTGTGTTGCTGTTCAAACGGTTCTCCGAAGGACAAACTCATGCGCGTGGAGCCGAAGACCCGACCCCGAATAGTGTCACTAAGATATACCTAGTGGACCTAGAATCATATTTAGATGGGTCGGTCAACAGAGGTGTGAAATGTCGTTTTCACTGATTTGCAGTGCTGGCATATAGAAAGGTGTCTTGTAGGTAGGTTCAAGAGACGACGACTCGAAGGTGATGGTAGCTTGCATTCGTATTATTGCCATTTTCCAAAATTCCAGTGTCGCAAGCTACTCTGGAAAGGGGCGATTTGGTACGATCGTGCCTACGCACTCGCCAAAGCCCACGCCATCATCTCCATTTCCAGCCATAGCCGTCATCCGTACCATGTCTCCGTCTTCCAGAAACGCGCGCGTGCTGCCATCCTTCAGTACCACAGGCGCTGATCCTCCACTTGTAACCTCTAATAAACAGCCTAGGGCGCCCTCTCCGGGTCCGCTGACTGTCCCTGTTGCCAGCACGTCGCCCGTGCGAAGCGAAGCGCCCGAGCTCACTGCGTGGGCCGTCATTTGCCTCATGCTCCAGTAGAGATCTTGCACCCTGCAGGTGCCAACAGTTGTAGCGTCGCCTCGAGCCACGATTTCTGCCTTCATTATTATGTTATAAGATGCCCTATCGGTATCTTCAAGATATCGAGGCACAGAACGCTGAAGTTGTCCGTTCGATCTGAACGGTTCGAGGGCATCAAGTGTCACCACCCATGGTGACATTGTCGAGCCAACACTCTTGCCGTTGAAGGGCCCGAGAGGCATCATCTCGAATCCTTGGATATCCCGGGCTTCAAATGTCAGTCCTTATGGCTTCAACGCGCCTACCCAGTAATCACACTGCACTTACAACTCCAGTCATTGAGGATGACGAACCCAAAAATGTGTTCATCAGCGTCGGCTGCATTCAGTCGCTGCCTCATAGGCAGTGGCTTGCCAATGATGGCAGCAAGCTCGAGCTCGTAGTCCATCTTTTGAGATGGCCCGAAAATGATGGAAGGCTCATTTCGGGGAGTATCCGGACCCATGGCCTTGGGGTTCCTGAATTGGCCCCAGGGCCTCTCGATTTCTGTTCCTGAGACGACAATTGAGCTTGCCCGCCCTTGGTAACCGATAGGGAAGTTGAAAAATGCCGGGGGTGGGCGCTCATCATTGATGATGATTCTGCCAGCGTTCTTGACATGCTCCAAGGAGCACGAGAAGTCTGCAGCTACCGTCAACGTTGTTCTGCGACTTGTGAATGAGTATGGCCTGTGGTACAGGGGTTCTTACCCGCAAAGTCCCCAATAGCCACAGGAAGATGCATGGTCACTGCGCCAATGTCCTCTGTCGCCGAGACAGGGAACGCGTCGATGCCGTTCCTCTCAAATGCATCTTGAAGCTCCCGCCGTACGCTGCTTTGCACGGATTTCGGTAGGTTGGCAAAGGTGTTCAGTGTTTCGTGAGACCAGGTGTCATCAGGGAGGCCCTCAATGTCAGAGAAGAAACCATCCTGGCACAACGCTTCTAGCCAGATAACAGTGTTGCCGATCCTGGTTGCCGCACGAGGACGTTGGCGAGCTGTCGACGATGCGATGCCGAACGGAACATTCTTCTGCGAGAAGTGGTGGGCATACTCTGCTGCGGAAGACATGAAGGCTCACTGTACAGGATTGCTCATGAAGGTGCGCAATTTTGAGACTGTCGTCACTCGGACACTTAACCGCTGTATCTTGCTCTTTCATCTCGGGAACGACAACACCGTGGTATACCTTTCGGCTTGACGCGGCCGCTGCACCGCCCACATCGGGACCTTATGTCGGGAGTGAGGAGGCGGGGTGGTGCGGGGGATCCATTAGCACGAGACTGTGTTATTATCCATAGACCAGAACCATAGACAACAAGAACCGTGGCCTACAGCAGTTAAAAATTGTGAAGTACCTACCTAAGAAATTTACCATCATTGTCAGGAGTCTTACCGTGAACCCAACAGCCAAAGTCGCAAACGAATTCACACCATCCAAAGGACTCTTATACCTTCGCATACCATCACCATGGCTCACGTGGGCAAGCTCGCTATCCCCAAGCGCTTCATCACGGCCAACAACGATAAGGGCGAAGCAATAATCGACCACTCTATCCCCGCCGAGGGCGACTTCGCAGAGACTGCAAAAGGAGATGCCAGCTTCTTCCAACCCTACGTCACAAACACTTTCCCCGTCGACCTCGGCAACAGGGCAGACGTGACCGCTTACGAGGGCTACCGCAAAAGCCCTCCTGGGCTCAGCGTTTCCACTGGCACTGTCCTCCGCTACGTCGACATGCCGCCGGGTGCTCTGTCGCCCATGCACAAGACCATCAGCCTCGATTACGGTGTGGTTATTGAGGGAAGTATCGAGTTGGTTCTCGATTCCGGGGAGACGCAGTTGCTGGAACGAGGCGACATTTGTGTCCAACGCGCAACAATGCATGCCTGGCGCAATATCAGTCAGACGGAGTGGGCTAGGATGCTGTACGTGCTGCAACCGGCGACTTCATCGGTCCCAGGAGAGGAGCTTTCGGAGGATTATGGAGGTATGCGCGGGGTAGCGTCATCCGCTTAAAGGTATAGGATAACGCCGATGAGTATAACATAGCCTTTTATTCATGAACCGTTCAAGAGATATCAGTTGTTCATCACTGTATTTTGTTGGAATTTGAAGCTTGCGCCAGTGCGTCGATGAACCAGAGCCACATACATAAACAAGGTATACTACGAAACTACAACAGAATAACCAGAACGTTATACCCAAGTCAAATCCCTTGGTCAGATCTCGCCCCCAATCTTGTACTTGAAAATATTCTCATTGAGACGGCCAAACGATGCTCGCCAAGCCTTCGCCGCAGTCTAAATCCCACACCATCAGTCCTAACATCCCGCCCAAGTCTCGTTTAACTGAAGGAGTAGTGCTCGCAGCGGCAAAGAGCTACACTTACTGCGTTGACAAAAACGCCTGTGAACATAGTCGCGATGAAGACCCTCTCGGCGGGATGCGTGTAAACGCGAATCTGCGACTGATCTCTTTCCGTGTCGATTGGCCTGTATGCTGGAACCCGGCGATGCGGAACATCCCAGTGCGGCGGTTCTGCTGAAAGGCCTCCCTGCGGGGTTGTCTCTTCAGTGTTCTTCTGCGCTTTGCCGGAGTGATGCAGATCGTAGTCGTCCAAGAGACGAGATGGTAGGTGGTTCGGCCTTGAGACGGTCTGGGTGATTGTAGCTGACATTTTGGTGTCGGAGACTTGGGTTGGGCGGCTAGGAACAACGAAATCTACGAAAGAAGTATAAAGAGTGCAGAGCATACATAGGCCGTCCTAACGAAGCATTCGGCACGAACCCGGTGAGATGAGAGCTGCTACGTGATGAAACGTGCTGTAGGCAAGGGGCCCGAATAGTAGCCTGGAGCATATCGGGATGTGGAGGAGCAAGCCGAAGCACTGGCGCCCCCTTTTCCCCACAGCCGGGATCCCCAGGCCCTGTATCATGGCCTCGGCTGGGTTGTTCGATCGTTTTGAGATGTAATGCGAGCTACCATGTAAGTGCGAGCATGCCTTCATCATTAGAGATTCTTGTGCACATTGCGCACCTCTTTGGCAATTTTGCACCTTGACTCTAAGCGAAACCCATATCTTGCCCAGCACCTCACAATGTCCAACAAGGCCTTCAGCAGCATCCGCTCGGCCGCCATCGATGGCCGGGCATGGAACCCATTTTTCAAGAAGACGCAGCTCAAGAAGCTGCATGAAGCGCTAGTTGCCCGCGCTACGAATATTAAAGCGGCCATGGAGAAGGACACGGGAAACACGAGATTCGAAATCGCAACCGAATACTGGCTGGCGTTGCGGTGTCTTGCCCAGGTCTACGACTCAATTGACACGGACACGGAGCTCAAATTGGAGTATCGGATTGCCAATAGCAAAGATGCATCAGATGCCCGAGACCCTGTGGGCATTGTTGTGATTGAACCTCTCGCGCAGACATTCCTCTACTCGCTGCTGTCAGCACTGGCGCCGGCGATCGGTGCTGGAAACTGTGTGATTGTTCAGGTATGTCTTCAAGTCATGCTTCTTCCATCGTGCAAGCTGATAGATCTATTGCAGATGGGGCGTTCCATGCTGGCGACGCCCAACATCGTCTTGCCCTTAGTCCAGGCTGCTCTCGTGGAAGGGACATTCGAAGTTTCATACACTACGGTGTCAGACAACGATATCAATCACAGGCATTGCCGGATCATGCAGAATGGCCCAACAGCGACACCTCTAGCCCACCACATCGTATCAGAAAGCAAGAATCGCATCATTGCCGTGGTGGAACGTGATGCCGATGTCGATGAGGCAGCACGATCCCTTGTCACGGCGCGCTTCTCCATCAGAGGCAAGAGTGCGTATGCGCCCGATCTGGTGCTGGTCAATGAATGGATTAGAAAGGATTTCCTGGCGGCTTTGTCGAAACAGTCAATCGCACTCGGCAATTCTTACGTCTCGGAAACTCGCCCAGCGAAGGCATCTCCGTCTTCGAACCTTGTACAAGAGGTGATGAAGGGAGGCTCTGGGAGCGTCCACTCAACGTCTCAATACGGTGCTATAGTGGAGATTGAGGAAAGGTCAGTCACTTCTCCTACATGTTTTTAAAGTTGAGAAAACCACTGATGCAAAAGTAGGAGGTCTGATCTGCTGGGGCGCAAGACGGACGAGCCGTGCCTCGTAGTCCACTCCGTCACAAGCATGGACGACGCCATCGACGTCGCGTCGGGGTAAGCTGCCTGCATTGTTCGATTAAATCTGGAAGCTTGCTGACAGGGTTTACTCGTGACAGCTTTGGGAGACTCTCGGCGGCCTATGTCTTCACAGCGCCTGCGGCGGCCAAGTACATCTGCCAGTTCCTCAACGCCAGCATCTGCCTGGTCAACCATATCCCGCTCAAACTTCTTTGTATGTGCTCGAAACGCATGGCCGGATGGACCATAACTGATTCATGTAGATGGCCCCATAGCACCAGCTGATCACTCATTCAGCCCCGATACTCTGACACCCTACAGCGAGCGCCATTTTACCTTGGCCAAGGGACAGTTTATCGAGCCTACGAAAGATGGACAGCGACTTGCGCAGCTCTTTTTCGAGGCCTCGCCGAAAGGTTGCCAGACCTTGCATGAGGAGGCTTCAGCCGCACTTAAAGATATGCACCGCGTGAAGAAGGGCGGCGACATCGGGTTCTTCAACCAAGGTATTGTCACGGGAGGCATCATTGTCCTGTCAACAGCCATTTCCTGCGCAGGACTTCTGTGCTACTATCTCGTCAAGGTAGCTAGGTCGACGCTATAAGGCGATACTTGTCAATATCTTGGTTTAATGTAGCTTTGGATGGGAGTCTACGGAGGTATACGAATATAACATGTATTATTGATCCACTATGATACTTGTCTGACACTTGCGTCTGCGTGCTTTTTGAAGGTACAATCGCCAGCATGATGCCTCTCTACGTCGATTGACTTCCGCTTCCTCGCCGAATCATCTGCTTTGCCCCAGAAGTTCGGCCTTGTCATCACACTTCACCTCCTTCGGCGCCCCGAGACGAGCGTTGCAGCCCAGCCATCAGCTGCACCAGCTTCTCGACCAACAGAGGGCGCATCGCCCTGTCAAAGTTGGCCCTCAACACCTCCGAGACAATTTCCATGACCTGGTCGGGACTCGAAAGAGGCACCCCAACGACCTCGCCGCGCTCGGACAAGCCGTGTATGCAGGGAGACCCGCTGCCCAGCTGCAAGAACCGCTGCAGCAGCAGGCCGTCGAGCTCATCGAGCCAGACGACCGGCGGCGCCAGGTCACCGGGCGACTCGGTCCACTGGGCCCGGGACGGCCCCTGCTGATCCGCCACGAGGCCGTAGACCCAGAACGTCAGGCTCGCGTGATAGACCATGATGGCCGTGAAGTCCCGGATCGTGCCGGGCGGGAGCTGCCGCGTCAGCCGCAGCGCCTGGCCGGCATGCCACACGGCCTTGCGCGCCGCCTCACCGCGGGCCCACTCGTGCACGGCGGGGGATATGCCGCGCGCCTGCTCGGGGCCCTCGATGCCGGCGAAGAGCTGCAGGTCCTCAAAAGGCGTGTGCAGGTGGAGGAGGATGAGCTCGAGGCGGATGAGGAGCTCGAGGTTTGCGGTTGTCGGGGCGGAAATGTTGATGCTCATCTGGAAGTGGCTCAGGAGCTTCGACAGCTCGTCGCGGCGCGTCGTGGTGACGAAGTCGTTCCAGCGGCGGGGCTTGGCGCGCTGCAGCGAACTCATCTGGATGTACTCCCAAGCCATGCCCCATACGCAGGAGAGGAATGCCTCCCGCGAGAGCGACTCGTCGACGGCGACGTCCGGCGCAGAGGTTGCTTCTGGGTTGTCGAGGAAGTCAAACAGTGTGAGCTTCTGTGGCGAGCCTTGGGCGAGAACCGCTTGTTTCCATTGCTGAGGAGTTGTTGCCATCCAGAGCTGTGGTGAGGATGGCAGGTGCAGTTGAACCTCGGCGTACGAGATGAGGGGGCTCGCGAACAGGGACATGGATGACTTGGCATCGTGATGCATCATTCGGAAGGCTAGTCTCCTGAAGCCCTCCATGTCGATCCAGGTGTGCCAGGCCTTCTCAAGCGAGACGTCATCAAGACTGGGATCCAGTGACAGGTCGAGATACCTGGTCTTTTTGAACTTGTTGTCCCTCCTGAGCATTGTGACGAGGGGCTGCAGAAAGGACTCGGAGATTTCGGCCTTTCTGCTGTAGCCGCTCCACATGCCCAACTCGAGAGAAATGAGGAACGCCTGAGACAATTGCAGGTCTCTGATCAAGGAATTGTCTTTCTCCCACTGTATATTGATCAGCAAGTAGCACTTTTATTTATTTGAATGGAGGCTTACCACTTCCGGGAGGGCCGCCCGGACAGACTCTTGAATGGCGTAGCCGAGTTTGACAAGTGCTGGATCAAGCGTCAACACGGCACCGGCAGCCGCCATGGCGGCGACGAGCTCTGGCCTTTTCGTGTTGGGGTCAAAGGTCGGCGTGTGGATGTAGGAGTCTGTCCTGGCCATGGGGGATCCGAGGTAATACTGGACAAGGGTATCTAGTAGCTCAACGGAGGGGAAGGAGGACACCGCTTTGGATAAGTTGCCTGGTCGGCAGCTCTTGATCACTAATGTCAAGATGCGGTCTCGAATGGAGCTCTTGAGCCGAGCGCACGTTATTCTCAGATTTACAGATAAACGCGACTCCGGCGACGTGGTGTCAATGGCCTCGGGTAATGAGAGGTTGTGCTCCTCGGCCCCGGCGTGATCGTTGACACTGGGTCTGAACCTCCACTGAAAGTTCCGGAACGCTTCTGCGCGAATTTGGTTCGACGTTGATGAGGCCGGCTCATTCTGGTCGGCCTGTAAACGTGAGTGAGAGGTTCCTGCTTCTGAAGGTCCTCCAAACTCGAAGGGTACTGTTGTGTTGTACGTATCGAGGAATTGGAGGTCCATATCATCTAGCTCGATAGCGGCATCGAAGGGTACAGTCGTGGGAATAGGGGTTGTCCAAGACCCAGAAACAAGGCCCAGATCTGGAAAGTCCGAGAAGAGCAGGTTGACGTCAAAGTTTGGGTTTGGACTTTGCGCTGAAGTACCTCGTCAGTGTTGAGGGGTGTCACATGCGTGTTCATAGACCTACCTTGCGACTGAATGGATGTGCGCATGGGAGTGAACGTTCCCGAAGATGCATGAGCCAACAGACCGTTATGGTGTCCTGACTGAGGAGCATAGAGAGAAGTGCCGGTGGGTGCGCTCGATGTGGCCTCCATGCTGATGTCCAGGCCGTGAGAATCGACGGTGGATTGTCCGTCCTGGGCGAGGATGCCCGATGAGACGTCTGCCTCGGACTGCATGTTGGTATCCATGTCACTCCCCTCATCCGATGAGTCCCCATTCTCAAGCCCTTCTGCAGGGTTCGACCACTGACAGTCGAGACCCTTTTCCACACAGCGAGAGCAAGGCTTGGTCTCGGTACAGCGGAGGTGATTGGAAGCACAGGCACGGCAAGCCTTGGTCACCCTGTTCGGGGTCGCATCGACTCCCTGAAGTCTATGCGCCGTGGCCGACTGGTCAGAGCCGGTATTCGCATGACTTGCGGCGTGCCTCTTGAGCAGGTCTCTGGTATACTTTTAGCCGCCGAGGTCCCTGGCGCCCAAGCCCGGAGTTGGATCATGGCAATCCACTTACGTGCGAGTGAAGGCCTTGAAGCAAATGGTACACTTGTGCGGCCTGTTCTGCGTATCTGCAAGGAGGCATTAGCGAGTGACCAGCTTCGTGCTCGTGGACAGGAGCCCTGGCGTTTCTCACGTGAGCGGACATGGCGGGCAAGGTGATCCAATCTCTTGTACTGCCGTTGACACTGACCACACTGGAACATGTTAGTCATGGCTGCTTCGGTTCGGGCCCTTCTGAGGCGCCTCGTATGCTGCGTATCTTCTGAATGTCGGGTCATTCGGGTCGGGTTCTGGGGAAAGACGAGTGTTGGTGATGAAGGCTACGGGATGTGGGGGAATGCGGGGAGACTGCGGGGGATTGTGTGTGGGGGCTGATAAAATGCAGTGACTATGCCTTCTTCGGCTTTGAGCATTGTCTTTATTCGCCTCGCAGTCGCTGGCAGAGCAGCTGGTGTTTTGTTCCCCTTTCGGCGTAGTGACAAGTAGAGACAATGGTACTTGAACGTTTGTATTGGGCTGAAGCTCATCACACTCACGAACCAGTCCCTGGAAGTGTATCAAGGATTTATATATTGAAGCTCAGCGACCACCACGACTCAACGTGTTCCCCTACCACGATTTCTGTACCCCAGTCCTACAGAGGCAGACGATTAAGAATTAGGGAGTGGTTAGCCTACAGTATCAGGCGCCATGGAGGAAACGACAGTCGTCGGCGTGTCTGCCACAGCAAGGGTAGGTAGAGGACAGTCTGCTCCAGCACAGTCAACTTGTTGCTCAGTACGCACGTCGGCGTGAATCCATGGCAGATGCCAAGAAGCAGACAAGTGACACATCCTGAAGGCCAAGATCAAAAACACTGTCTTGATGGAGAGGTACAAGGGATTGAAAGTCTTTTCGTCAGGGCGAGTCCGTCGAGACCTTGGCCTAGGTCGTGCGCCGCCTGTCATGGGAGACTGCTTCTCACCTGTGCGTTGCTGGTTCGATTTACCTGTGTCGGATTCACTCTCGGACGGAGAGAAATTCGAATTATTCCCTCTATTGTCCGGCTCAAAGCCAGACATCGTGTTGACCGGGGGCACGATGCCATAGCATCTCTCCATGGAAAGGTCCAGAACGGACACATAATCGGCCAGCTCATCCTGTATGGCAAACAGAGAAACGTTGTTCTCCCCTTTCTCTCTCTCCTTCCGCCTGCAGACCCAGCCGTCATAGACGTCAAAAACAAGGTCGTAGTAGGCAAGGCGCGCCGAGGGGATGGATGTGGATCCTCGGCCGTCCAAGTAGGAGCTTCCGTAGATCTGGCAGAATCGCCTGTTGAACATGGTGTTGAATACATGAACATCATGCAGCAGCCGCGCCCGAAAGTCTCTACGATTGAGAGTGGTGCCTTGGTGATTAGGGCTGTAGAGATAGTCGAGTCTCCTCCACATGACCCAGGCATTCGAGCACTGCCCTTCTTGGGCCGCCAGCACGCCCGGGCAGCAATTTTGGCGAATTATGGCCATCGCCTTGTCGCTTCTGCCCTTCATGGAGTTGACATGCGGTTCCCGTATCGTGGTGACGAAGAAGAGGTTGTGACGTTTGAGGATGCGCCCGACACGGACTGCCCATTCATCCCAATTTTCACGTCCTTTGAGCTTGTCGGCGTTGGGCAGCACATCTTCGGGAGAGCTTGCGCTGCAGTTCATCTTGAGAAGCGGCCACTTTTTGGTGCCACTCAAGTTGGAAGGTATACGAGTCTGACTGTGTTTGAGAAGGTGTCTGCTAAATGTCGACCATCGAATTATGTGTTGAGTGGCCGGACACGATGACTGAAGATGGCATTTTATATATATCAGCGGTAAAATTGACTTCGCGTAGTATCTCCGAAGCCTCTCCACAGTCTGCCAGCCGGACCTCAAGGTTCTGAACAGCCTCGTTGTGGGAAGTATCACCTAAGGGGGGTGTCGAGCAGCCCAACCACTTTGCATCCAGCAAGGTTGTCACATGTTTGGGCCGGACATGACGGGCATGCAATGGTCGCACGAACATACATGTATCGAGTCCCAGGTATGGGAAGACCAGGATCGATAGGCCCGCATTGCGATATCACAAGAAATTTCCTTTGTGGTCGTGATTCAGCAAAGAAAAGGCCTTGGGTGAAGGGCGAAGAAGAAGAAGAAGAAGATGACCTCTGGATGACCTTTGGCCCCACCAATTATGTCGACCAATCATCGCGTGATGAATCCTCAACCACAACGACAGATTGAGCTCCCGCCAAAAATCGCCGAGGTCCATCAATTGCCAATCTCAAAATCGCTTTTCGACTTTTGTCGGCTCCTGGAACATCCCACGAGAAACCTCCATAGCCCTCCCCGCCTAGCATCCATTCCCGACAGCACTTCAAAATGGCCGACACAGCAGCAGCCCCGGCAAAGCCGCAGCGCAAATCCTCGCCCGTCAAGAATGCCTACCTAATCCTCTACAACGCCCTCTCGGCCATCGCCTGGCTCGTCGTGCTCGGCCGCACTGTTGCGCTCTTCTACCTCCGCGGGCCCGACTTTGTCCACCTCGGCGTCGGCGACTGGACACGATGGACCCAGACCATGGCCGGCATGGAAGTCCTGCACGCCCTCCTCGGTGCGTTCCCCCCTGCTCCTCCTCCTCCTCCCAAGAAGAGGGCCCCTCGGCGGCAGCCTTCGCTAACAGCAAACCCCCAGGCGTCGTCCGCTCTCCCGTCCCGACAACCCTCATGCAGGTCCTGAGCCGCTACCTCCTCGTCTGGGGCGTCGTCTGGCCCTTCCCCTGGCTCGCCCGCAGCCCCTTTTACACCTCGATGCTCCTCGCCTGGAGCGTCACCGAGGTCATCCGCTACTCCTACTTTGCCCTGACCCTGAGCGGCCTGCAGCCCAAGGCCCTCGTCTGGCTGCGCTACAACACCTTTTTCCTGCTCTACCCTATCGGCATCGCCAGCGAGTGCGCCCTCGTCTACCTTGCCGCCGAGCCCGCCAAGGCCTACGGCGAGCTCGTGCCGTATCTGAGCTACGCCATCCTGGCCATCTACGTCCCTGGTATGTCGACGACTGGAAGTGCGCTTGAAGAGCAAAGTACTGACTGTTCTAGGCTCCTATATTCTGTACACGTACATGATGAAGCAGAGGAGAAAGGTCATGCGCAGCTTGAAGGCTGAGCAGGTCGGGTCTGCCAAGACCCAGTAGAGGTAGTCTTTACGATTTCGGGCCTTTCACAGTTCCGCATCCACAAAGGATATGCATCCAAAAAGGGGGGCAGGATAGAGTAGACGGCAACAGTGCCCCTGGGCTATAGAAACAGGCCGGGATGAAACGGAAACAAGATACAGCAAGGCTACCACCGGCCAGATCAGAGATCGTAGGAAACACATAATCATAATCGCCATTCACGCCCATGGATTCTCCTCCTGACCCAGCACCTTCTCCTCCGTCGGCCTGCGCTCCTCTTGTCGCGACGAGCCGTCCTCCTCGGCCGACTGTTTCAGCGCGGGCGCGTCCTCGACGCTGCTCTCGTACCACGCGTTCCTCGTCCACGTCGCGATCAGGTCCGTCGCGTCCCGCGCCAGCGCTTCGTAGCCGGGGTTGTTCTTCCTCTCAAACATGGCCATGTGCGCCTGCGTCTCCTCCTCGGCCTTGTCGTTGACGGCCGGCTTCCAGACGCCGGCGTCGCCGCGCTTGGGCAGGTTGCAAAAGGTGCGGTCCTTGCCGAGCACGGTGCCGACGACGCTGACATCCTTGGCGGCGGCGCCGCGGCCGAGGCGCGTGTACAGGTTGGCGAAGCCGACGTCGAGCTCCTGGTGGACCTTGGTCATGTACTGCACGCGCTTCTGCAGCTCGCCGCCCTTGGCGAGGCAGCCGACGAACTCGAGGTGCGACGTCGCCCACGTCCAGCCCTGCGTCAGCTGGTCGCGGTTCATGTACGCCGCCGCGCCGCCGGCCGCCACGGCCGCGGCACCGCCGGCGATGGCGGCGATCTTGCCCCATTTCGCCCACGGGCTCTGCTGCTGCTGCTGCTGGGTCGTTGTGCCACCGGGCGAGGACGGGGCCGGGAGCGCGGCGACGGGGGCGCGCGAGGCGTTGCCGGGGCCGGGGGACGCGGGCTTGTTGGGGGTGGCGCCCCAGAGGGCGGTGCCAAGGCCGCTGAGCTGGGTCATGGCGGCCGAGGCGGCGGTGTAGTGCCCCTCTGCGCCGTGGGCGACGACGCCCGGCGAGATGCCGAGGTAGGGCGTGTCGAAGGCGAGGACGCCCTGGACGTAGGGGAACATGAGCGAGTTGAACGACGTGGGCGTCTGGGCCGACTTTTCGACGCCGTCTTCGGAGTAGATGGGTTTGTCAGAGGTCAAGCCGATGACTGTCTCGGCGGCGACGATGCCGCCCATGGAGTGGCCGATCAGGATGGTGCGGACCGAGGGGTCGACGGTCGGGGATGAGGTGCCAGCTTCGACTTCAATGTCGATGACCTTCTCTTGGAGCCTGGCGAGGGTTAGCGGGGTAGCCCGTTATGGTATGGTAAAGGCATACCAGTCACGAAATCGGCTGACACAATTGCCTAGGTCGCCTCTCGTCTCATATTTGGGATACACAAGAACTTGGACGTTGAGTTTGGGCAGCGCTTGCTCGACGAGTGAGCGAAGGTGTTCCGTGAACTCGTAGCCTTCTCCAAAGGTGTCATCACCACCCTGCGCTTGTCAGTTCTGGCTTGGAAGGGAAGCGGTGCAACTGGGCCTACCTTGAAGCCGTGTATGAAGCATAAGATCAGAGTTTTCTTCATTATTTTCAGACCATCAAAAGATGAACTGCCAGATGTCGGATGATGTCAAGAGTCGAATTCCGGTATTCCTGCTATCTTGATCATGCGGTATCACAGCCAACTGATGACTGACGTCTGGCAGGTGGCAATTCCCACGTGCGATGCCTTCCGGGGCAGGCGTCTTGATTACATAAGACACATGTCCCGCGACATCAACACCAGGGAAACTGTTGTCCTACCTGTACCTGCCTTGCCATACCTTGCGGTACCCAGGCAGATATCTATCCTGAGATCTCTAGGCCCCGACGAGGAAAGTTCTTCAATCAACTCCATCATCATTCATCGCTTCGCATATCTGGGAAGATGTTTGAAATGCAGCCTTTCACTGTGCTTTTACTGTGCAATACCCACGTGGCAATGCATGGATTCCTCGGTCGCAAGGCTCGAGGCCTCCCATGTTGAGCAGGCTATGACGGGCTCTCGTTTAGGCCAGGTGCACAGTTTGTTCCAATCGTGCATCTTCGTTCGGTCTGACTTCACTTCAGCATTCGCCCCTCCTTCATGACTTTGTTACCACGACCAAATCGACATTACAAACCACGACTCCGATGCGTCTCCTGAATGTCAAAACCCGCAAGCTGGAGGAGTTCTTCGATGAATCGATCCCAGACTATGCCATTCTTTCACACACCTGGGGAGTAGAAGAAGTGACTCTGCAAGACCTCGAGAACCCCGATCATGTGCTGAAGAAGGGCTACACCAAAATCGAGGGGACTTGCACGCTCGCGGCGAAAGAGAACATTGAATACATCTGGATCGATACTTGCTGCATCGACAAAACGAGCAGCGCAGAGCTTTCGGAAGCCATTAATTCGATGTACCGCTGGTACAAATCGTCCCAGATCTGTTACACATATCTCTCTGATGTCCCGACAAAAGAAGACCCCTCTGAGTCCAACTCCGCCTTTCGAAGGAGCCGTTGGTTCACCAGGGGGTGGACACTTCAAGAGCTGATCGCCCCGCGAAACCTGAGTTTTTACGACCAGAAATGGAAGCCCATAGGGACAAGACTGGAGTTGGCGGCTCTTGTCAAAGACATCACCGCCATCCCCGCTCACATGCTGTCAGCAGACGCCTCCAGACCCTGGCCTAATACTGCAGTACGCATGTCCTGGGCGGCGAATAGGACCACGTCGAGGGCTGAAGACATCGCCTATTGTCTCCTCGGCATCTTCGACATACAGATGCCTCTGCTATACGGCGAAGGCAATCGCGCATTCCGAAGGTTGCAGCTTGAACTACTCAAGCAATCAGAGGACGAGTCTCTGTTGGCTTGGGGCCTTGACTCGTCTGTGCAACTGATAATCAAACCCCCCGACTGGAGAGGTCTGCTTTCAGTTGCCAACAGCCGCCAATCTCGCGGTTTGGGCGTCTTAGCACACCACCCGGGCGCCTTTCGTTCTTGGCAAGGGTTGGAAGCATCAGGAGAAGACACGTCAAAGTGGCCTCCAAGATCCAAGATGCAAGCCACCAACTCCGGGTTGGAGATAACGGTACCTTTAATCAAATTGCGCGGCAGGTGTTACGCAGTTCTGAACTGTTGCCGCTCTGCTCATTTAGCTGACCTATTGCTCGTTCCCCTTTTCCTTCAAGCCGGCTCCGGCAAGTCTAAAATCACGTACTCGCGAGGCCAGAATATCATTTGCGCGTCCTGGGCTGTGCTTGACCAAGCTGAAATGCAAACCATCATTTTAAGCACTGTGGCAGATGTTGCACCAGGATCAGAACACCTTCATGACGAGTTTCTCCCTCTACAAACTTTACAGGACGACGTCCTGATAGTCCGACTGCATGATGTGGCTGCAGAGATCACCATGGCCGTCGATCATTGTATTGCCCGTGATGATAGGCCTCCTATTATACCAGTCAGTACACGATGCATTCGTATTTTACCGAGGACGACAGCGAGTCTGACCCCCATGTGCTAGTTCTTTGTTAGTACTGATCACAGTCTTGACAAGAGGAAAGTCCAATGGATCAACGACCATGATCATATCGTGCGGCTGAAGTACGATGTCACGCGTGTGAATCGCATAGCTTCAAGATTCAAGGTTGATGGAGAAAACGGGGTTGATCTGTTCGTGTTGACGACAATCGAAACTAAACAGGGCGACGAGCACTTCACTTGCGTCATAGGCAACAACGTTCGGCAGCGGCCACCAGGGGAGCTCTTGGAACTAGGGAGTTCGCTCAGCAACGTTTGCTCAATCACCATTGACGGGCGTGTATACTCAGCCCGCGTCGATTCGAGACTCTTCCTTGGGTTTCGGGTGCACACGCTGGATCTCAGTTGCACAACTGCCAAATCGACCTCCTCTTCCTCCTCCTCCTCCTCTTCGTATTCTTCTTCTGTTTGGCAGAGCATGCGACGCATATCGGGCAAGCTCGGGTTATTGAGACCCTAGAGCCTGTTGAAACGAGCGCTTGACGCTGCAAATTTCACGGGCGGAACTTTCAAAAGACAGCAAATGAGCTACTATGGGCTGGTATATCTTTGCATCATCAGTCAGTGACAGGAAGCGTTACGACGCTCAGAATCATGAATACCCGACTCGATTGCACATGTTCAGCAGCCTCTTCTTGATTCCTTGCTTCTCAAGCTATCTCCAAGCGCAAGAGCCGGATTGCATTCCCTCCCATAATTCCGTCAGCCTCCTCACTGCTCTTTCCAACAGCGTTGCTGACGGCCTCAGCATTCCATGTGACGCTCTCCCACGTACCCTGTTCATCCGTCCCCAGGGGCGGGAAAAAGGGGTGATCCGTGCCGAAAAGCAACCTGTCCGCCCCACCACTAGCCGCAATGGCAGCCTTGAGCCCGACCTCGGAGTAGATAACGGCGTCGAGATAAATCTGCTCCCGCAACACATCCCAGATGGTCCTCCGCGCGGCGCCGACCTTGCCCTCGCCGACCAGCTGCCCATCGTGCACGATGCAGCTCTCGATGCGGCCGGCGAGAAAGGGTAGCGTGCCGCCGCTGTGCGCGAGCAGCATCCGCAGTGCCGGGACCCTATCGAACACGCCGGCGAGGTACATCCTCGCGACGGCAATGGTCGTCTCCATGGGGAAGCCCAGAGCCAGCGGCAGCACGTGGCCGTACTCGGTGCTGGCCCTCGGGCCCCAGACGTCGTTTGGCAGACCGTAGTGGGGGTGCAGGAAGACGGTCAGCGCGGCGGCGGCGACGGCCTCGAGCACGGGGACCAGCTGGGGGTCGTCAAGGCCGCTGCCGAGGCCTGACGTGCCCAAGATGACGCCGCGGCAGTGCTCGAGCTCGGCGACGTGGCGCACGGCCTCGAGCAGCGCGGGCAGCGGCGCCGTCAGCGGCAGGGCGGCGAAGAAAAAGAGGCGGCCGGGATGCGAGGCGCACATGGCCTCGAACTCGTCGTTGACGCTGCGGGCCGTGGCTGCTGCTTCTTTGGACTCGATAAAGTCGAGCCAGGGGTTGGCGAGGCTCACGACGGATATGTCGATCGAATGGGTGTCCATGAAGTGGATCTTCTGGTCGAGGGAGGCGTAGTGCGAGGTTAAGGGCCGGCCAGGCGGCTTGGCCGTCGGGTCTTGGAGTGCGGCATCGAGGGCCTGCTGCTCGGCGTCGAGGAGAATGAGGCGAGGGTCTGCGGCCTGGGGAAAGGTGCGGACGACGGGGATGGCGGTGCGGGAGGTGAGGATGTCGATGTAGGAGGGGGGGTACATGTGGGTATGGATGTCCACAACCTTGGGCTTTACGGACGCCATCATGTGCTCGGTCTTTTGTGAAAGATGAGGGTTTGGACTTCCTGGGTGCGGCACCTGAGATGAGGTAATAGAGCTAGATGCACGTGGGTGTGAGGAGGAGAGATGAGTTGATTGTAGGACGAGGGCAATCTACAGCAAAGGAGATATTGATCGCTGATCGATAAATTCTCGTTCGTTCTCTTTTCTCTTTCCGTCTAACTGTCGGTGCTCTATATCATGCGAGGAGATAGAGGACATACAGGCGAACTACAGCCATCGAGGAAGGTAGCAAGAGGCTCCCGGCGGCTGCCGGTGTAAGTCGGCTCGTCCCCGCAGTTGCCCCGCCGTTATCTTGCGCTCCGCATAGTTATCCTGTGCCCCGCCATTTATCCATCTATCGGGTATGGTCGGTCATATCGAGGCATGTCAATGGTTCTCGTTGCAACGATATCCAACTCGTTGCTTCCTTCAACATTTTGGCATATTTTGTACCTGTGGTCACCAACTCCATCCACAGACATACCGTCATGTCGAATACACATGCGCCGTATGGCCTTGTATTTTGACCTCGAAAGAATGACTCTATCATGATCATCAACTGATGGCCTGGACGCATGGTGCGCCATGATTGGGATCCCTGTACAACAGTCATGGCCAACGTGCCGTCTCCCAGTCAGGGTGTGTTACGATACCCCATGATTCCGATTTAAAATCGATCCGTTCTATACCATGGCAAGATTTACATTGCCAATGCGAGGGCATGGCATTGCTGACAACCTGCCGAGCTTTGAACCGGGCTTTGCACCAGCTCACATAGAAGACATCCAGAAGGCATCCACTTCGACGATGACCCAACGTCTGCCTCACGTCGCTCACGACTTTCTCGGCTGGTCCTTGTCCGATCATTCGATTCCCCTGCCATGCCTGCTCTCTCACGCTGCCTTGGCCAGCATCTCGCTCATCAAAAGCAGCGGGCCCCTCTCCCATTAGTCGATGGCGTGCTCATCCTTCACGCCAATCTGGTCGTCCGCCACGAATCGTGCAGCCACCAGATCGACGCCCACTCAACCTGCTGAAGGTATGGTCCGGCCGGAACTCCATCCTCGGGGGATTCGAACCCACGATGGGGGAGGCTCCTGGTTCGCCGTACGAGGACTGATGCAGCCCACTGCGTGCGACACCTGCACGACTCTAGAAGCAACGTTGCCCACAGGCGCAGGGACGCTGTCCCAACGGCATGGGTAAAATAATGGAGCTTAATGGTGTCATCCCCCGCCATGTACAAGGCCGTTGCAGGATCCTATTTGATGAATTGATCGCAGCCTTGAACTGCGTTACTCTCTCGTCGACTTGTCAAACACCAAACTCTTCCAGCCTCGCTGCCCGGTGACTCGTCGAAGACCGCCATGGCCGATCACGAAAATACACCACACCCTCCAGTGATAGCTGAGACGGGACAGCGGTCGGTCAAGGATGAGACTCGCGAAAACGCCTGGATTCGCTTGATGACCAAGGTGCACTGGTATCCCCAGGACATGCCCTGCAAGGAGAAGAAGCTCGTGCTCAAACTCGACCTCATGATCCTCGTCTACGGCTGTCTATGCTTCTTTACAAAGTATCTGGACCAGGCATCGCTGACCAACGCCTATGTGACGTAAGTGAACAGAGCAAGACCTGCTGGGGCACTTCACTGACAGCAACAGCGGCATGCGAGAGGAACTGGGAATGTTTGGGAACGAGCTCAACTACGCCGTCATCACCTTCTGGTCGTCCTACTGCGTCTTTATGATTCCCGCCTGCTACTACCTCACCCGCTACCCCGTCAACGTTGTGCTGCCCCTCTGCGAAATCGGCTGGGGCACGGCTACCTTTGGACTTGCCTGGGCCCAAAATGTGGACACGGTCTACGCGATGCGCTTTTTCGTCGGCCTCTTCGAAGCCTGCTCCTTCACGGGCGTCATCTACGTCATCGGCTCATGGATGCGCAAGCGCGAGATTGCGCGCCGCGTAGCACTCTTCTACATGGCCGCGCCCCTCGGCACCATGTTCGCCGGCTACCTGCAGACGGCGGCGTACTGCGGCCTCACCGGCGTCGGCGGCCTCTCGGGCTGGCGCTGGCTCTTCATCGTCGATGCCATCATCACAATCCCCATCTCGTTTTTCGGCTTCTTCATCTTCCCGGACGTGCCGCACCGGTCGCGGCCGCGGTGCCTGTCACCAGACGAGCACGCCTTTGCCCGCGCGCGGCTCGCCGGCCAGACGGCGCCGTCGCAGCTCAAGGTGTCGCGCGACATCTTTGCGCGCGTCTTCCGCCGCTGGCACTGGTACCTCTTCGTCGCGCTCTGGTCGATCGGCAACCAGAACAACCAGATTCCCGGTTCGCCCTTTAGCTTGTATCTACGGGCCAACAATGACTTGTACAGCGTCACGCGCATCAACACGCTCCCGACAGTGGCGACGGCCGTCTCCATCGTCACGGCCTTTACAACATGTGCCGTCGCCGATCGCATTGGGCGTTTCTGGCCGCTGCTGCTGGCCGTGTCGGTGCCGACAGTCGTGGCGCACGCGCTGCTCGTAGCGTGGCATATCGGCGAGGCAGGACGCGTCGCGGCCTTCACGATTGGCGGATTCGAGGGTGCGCTGTTCCCACTGACAATGGCGTGGGCGACGGTGGCCATGGCGGGGGACGCCGAGGAGAGGGCTGTTGTGACGGCGAGCATGAATGCCATCGGGCAGGTGATTGTCGCATGGAGTCAGTTGCTACAGTTTCCGGCTGTCGAGGCACCACGGTTCAAGAAGGGGTTCCTCGGTGGGCTAATTACATCGGTCGTGCAGTTTGGGGTCATCTTTGCCATCATGTGGTTTGCACATAGGGAGGACGTCACCAAGAGGGCGTCGGAGGACAACTCTGACGATCAGCTTGGCGACGAGGAACAACCGCGCGATGGACGACAAAAGGGGGAGAAAAGTATCGAGGGGTAGACTCTTACGATACCACAGTAACGGGGTCCTGGTTCTTGGCTGAAGAGGCCGTCGGCCAGTCGGTCGCTGCGTCTTCCTTGGTACCCAATTCATGCATATCCGGGCGGTGATCGCCAGGTATAGGTCCAGTTTCTCCGTCGAACGGCCTGGCCACCCTGGCATATGCTACCTCACATGCGTGAATGCCACGCAGCCAATCTATTCCGTCCACTGCCCCTCCGGGAAGGTGATAGAACAGTCTCAGCCGACGCCGTCTCAGTGGCTGGCGTCGACGGTGCTCCCCCGCGATTTTACCCCGCCGTTATCTCTGGGTCGGTTGTCTGCATGTCGTCTCTACTCGTCCTGGTCCCTGTCTCACCTCGCGTCGCCCTCGCTCGCGGCCACCTCCGCTTCGGGGTTGGTCTCCCCCTACTGTCAAGGAGCAGCTTATCAGCGCCGTCACCTCCAAAGTGGGGTAGAGAGTGCATGATGGGAGTGCCATGCGACGGCAGCTGAGCTGATGCCGTCGGTGACATTGTAGTCAAAAGGAGGCTGCCGTGTTGATGAATGTCTTTCTTCTTGATTGATCTGTGAATCTGACAGGCAGAGTGAGCAACGTCATTGGAGCCGCCACTCAACATTCTCCCAATTGATCCGGTCGTCTTCCTGTACACGCTGAGGAACGTGGATTCTATGTAAGTCGAGAGGTTACTTACACTTGCAGACCTCCACGTCTACAATGGCATCATCCCAAGTGACGACCTGCTGATCCGGCGTTCGGTTCAAAGACAAGTCCTTGCAAGAGTCGAACTGTTTACTCCCACTGAATCACCATCTCCGCCAGCCAACATGGCCACAGCAGTGAGCGGAGAGGGTCTCGTCATCCCCGTAAGCTCACTCTCACGCATACGCCTATACGACTTGTCATGAACTGACCACCCCAGCTCATCGACTTCTCGGCCTTCCTCCATGGCGACGCCGCCCAGCGTCAGGCCACGGCCCGCGAGATCCTCCACGGCTTCCAGACGGCCGGCTTCATCTACCTCAAGAACCACCCGATCGACGAGGCGACGCTGGCGCGCGCGTTCGCCGCCTCGGCCGCCTTCTTCGCGCAGCCCGACGAGGCCAAGCTCGCGCTCGGCTGGACGACGCCCGAGGCCAACAGGGGCTACTCGGCGCCGGGCCGCGAAAAGGTCAGCCAGCTCACCGACGTCAGCGCCGTGTCGGCCGTGCGGCAGGCGGCGCCGGACCTGAAGGAGTCGTTCGAGATGGGACGCGAAGGCGTGCCGGGGCACCCGAACCAGTGGCCGGGCGAGGGCGACGCCGCGGCCGGCGTCGCGGGCTTCCGGGCCGCGATGCTCGCCTTCTTCGCGCGCTGCAAGGCGCTGCACGTGGACGTGATGCGCGCCATCGGCGCCGGCATGGGCCTCGCCGACGGCTTCTTCGACGGCTTCACCGACGACGGCGACAACACGCTGCGGCTGCTGCACTACCCGGCCGTCGACCCGGCCGTGTTCCGCGTGCGCCCGGGCCAGGTGCGCGCCGGCGAGCACAGCGACTACGGCTCCATCACGCTGCTGTTCCAGGACGCGCGCGGCGGCCTGCAGGTGCGCGGGCCCGGCGGCCGCTTCGTCGACGCGACGCCCATCCCCGGCACCGTCGTCGTCAACGCCGGCGACCTGCTGGCGCGCTGGAGCAACGACACCATCCGCAGCACCGTCCACCGCGTCGTCGAGCCGCCCGGCGGCGGCGCCGACGGGGACGTGTACCCGCCGCGGTACAGCATTGCGTGCGTCCCCATGCCCCGAGAGGCCGTGTTCGGCATGCTGACGAGGACAGGTACTTTTGCAACCCGAATTACAAGGACTACATCGAGGCGCTGCCGGGGACGTACGCGTCCGAGGCGGAGAAGAAGTATGAGGGCATCAACAGCGGGGAGTATCTGGTGCAGAGGCTGACGGCTACGTATTGAATGCGGGTGGGCGTTGTCTGTCCTGTATTTGTTGCATTGTGGAACGATGAAAAGACTTCGTCTGTTTGCCTGTCTTCCTACTGTTGGCCTCAGCAGATTGTGCAACGTGCATCGTGCTTGCGTGACCCAAGGCACGGCCGACACCATTTTCAACACGGTTGAAACGATTGCATGACCCTACGTCAGTTCGGAGCAACAAGGCGGCTGACACCATTCAACCGATCATAATTCAGGCATTCATTGTTTCGCTCATTCATTCTTATACTATCTGTCGAGACGACAAGCATCCATGCAGACGGTCAGAGTGCTCGCTCCTGGCATGCGCCTACGCATCGTCCTTGATCTGGATGCCCACGCCCTGGTTGGCGATGATGGCCGTCTTCTGCTTGCTGCGCTTGACGGGGTGGGGATCGTTGAAGATCTCGTCGAGCTCCTCGAGCGTGCGGCCCTTGGTCTCGACACACGACAGCCACATGAGGCCGTTGTGGATGAAGTGCAGGACCAGGAAGATGGTGTACGTCTTCCAGCCAATCTCCTTGAGCGAGACCGAGGTGCCAAAGGTGTTGATGAAGCTCGAGACGCCGGTGAGGAAGCCCTTGACGCCCATGCCCTTGGCGCGGATCTCGTTGTTCAGGATCTCGGCCGGGTAGAGCGCCTGCAGGGGCGTCCAGCAGAAGCCCCAGAAGATGCCGTAGGTGAAGACCATGGCGATGAAGGCGTACGACTGCGCCCTCGGGATCTGGCCCTCCTCGTAGCCCTCGGCCCGGGCCGCCAGCACGTTGATCGGAATGTAGACGAGGCCCGTCAGGAAGGTGCCCCAGAGGAACAGGGGCCGGCGGCCGAACTTGTCGACGCAGAAGGAGCCAAAGAGACCGGCGATGAACGAGAGGATCGTGTTGATGCCGTTCAGCAGGAGCTGGCGTCGCGAGTCGGTGATGCCGATGCCCTCGACCATGACGGGGAGATAGTACGAAATGACGGAGCCGCCGATAAAGTTGGCAAAGACGGCGACGAGCATGAGCAGCCACATGCGGTGGCGGTTCGCCCTCGTGTTGACGAGCACCTTGTAATTCCAGTTCTTGTTGGCGATTTCTTGCTCATGCTCGAGCGCGTCTTGCATCTCGTCGACCTCGAGCTTGACGAGGGCCGAGTCGGGGTTCATGTTGCCGTGGTACTGGATCAAGATGCCCTTGGCCCTCTCGGTCTGGCCGACGCTCCAGAGCCAGCGTGGACTTTCGGGGAGGAGGAACCAGACGAGCGAAAAGACGACGGTGGGGAACGTCAGCTGGATGATGTACGGAATCCGCCAGCACCAGTCGTTCTCGAGGTAGTTGGTTGCGTAACAGGACCACGAGGCAACTAGCAGAGGAACAACATGTCAGCCTTGATCCTTGTTCACGTGTGTCACGGTCGTTTGACGTACTGTTGGCGCCAATGTTCCAGCCGAGAACGTTGTAGAGGCCACCCGCAAGGCCCCGCCACGTGGGGTAGGACAGTTCGACGAGGTAGACGGCCGCAGTCGTCGCACACATGGGGTTGCCAAAGCCGACGATGAAGCGGCCGACGATAAACTGCGCCAGGTGATTGCTGGTAGCTTGGAGGACGGAGCCCAGTATGATATTGGCAGCGCCGATGAACATGCCGGCGCGGCGTCCCCATCGGTCCATGATGTAGCCGCAGCCCAGAGAGCCGATGATGGAGCCGACTGTGTAGATGCCTATGCAGCGTATCAGTCCTGACGCGGCATGCACGTGTGTCGGGGGAGGGAAGCGTACTGAAGGTGGCGCCGTTGAGCGTGCCCGTCTTGCCAATCTTGAACCGGTCCTGAAACGGTTCCATGGCGTTGATGGCACTCATGACGGAGCCGTCGTAGCCGTTCATGACGCCATTGAGCACACAAAGGGCCATCATGCAGTAGAGCTTGACCTGGGACCTCGACTTGTAGTCGGGGTTGTCTTTGGCGACGGCATCGGCGAGAGCCAGCGACTCGACATTCTTCTCCTGAACGCCATGGCGCAGGGTCAGGTCGGGCTTCTGAAGGTCGTCCACGGCGCTGGAGGTCGCCTCGATGTGGTCGAGCTGGCTGTGGTTTTCGGCCTTCATCGTGGACGCGACCGAAGGGGTGTCTGGGTCCGCAAGAAGGTCTGTCGAAGAGGCACGAGAACGGCAAAACAAAGTGCAGTGCGAGACTCGTCACAAGGTGGGGAGAGGCCGATCTGGCAGGGCGTTTTATATAGGCCGTCCCAGCATGCCCTCTGCAACGTAGCTTTCGGTTGCTGGCGACTCAGTGACAGTGCGCCGATCTTGTCCCCTTGTGACCTGATGCAGGTCGTCGTGATCCTTCCTCCAGCGCCATGGTCATGGCCGTCGCCAAGCCTCACAGCAGCCAACGTCGTCGTGAGGCTACGCAAGGACAAACCCCGGCGAGAAACATCCTATCCTGTCCTTGGAAGGGAGAGAAAGCTCATTGACCCCCACCGAGTCATCCATGCGTGAGCAAGCGCCGTCGCTGCCAGAGGAGCGCCAGAGGAACGGCGCCAATCCAGAGGTCCGAAAGCCCCCCTGGCCAAGGCGGCTATATGTACAGCCGTACGCGGTCTGGGGTCGAGATGGGCTGCTGATCTGGGTGGCAGTGAGGAGGTTGAACAGGGATGATAGGGTCGGCAGTGTGAGACGTGAGAACGCGGGGATCGGTGGGGGTCATGCGGAGAAGGTCGTGGTGTGCAGAGGTGGGAAATGGCCAACATGATGCACATTGATGCGACAACGAGAGGCAAAGCCGGGGATTTCGGGTCTCGGTTCCTGGCATCTAGACCGAAACTGGGGTTTGAACGTCCGGAGGAACTTCGGCCAGCAGGAAAGATCGAGATTGGCACTGTGAATCCGTCGTTCGAAGGGGGAGCTTCTGGGCATCGGATCGCCGCGAGGAGACAAGGGGGTCTTTCGTCGCATGGTGCGTGCGGGGAAATGGGGCAACAAAATCATGTGCTTGTTGCCCTCTTTCGCCTTGCTCATTCTCGATGCCGCAGCTCCATTTTGACCGAGGAGCGAGAGAGAGTCGGATGGATGGAGCTCGTCGTGATGGTGGTGGGTTGCTCGACTTGGAGGGTGAAGAAGCAGGCAGGCAGGCTGGCTCAAGGTGCGCAGAATTGGCCAATCAGACCATTCCTGTGCCTCGTGTGATGTGGCTCGTGGTCTCTGTGGCTGAATGTGGCTCATGGTACAAAGGTACTTCCAAACTTCAGCAAAAGTGAACTCAGGATCTTCACCCATCTCATCAACAGCAAAGGCGTCCTCTTACACGTCCCCAGACGCTTTCTTTTTTGGGGGTTGTTTTCTCACTTAGTGTCACCATGGCTGCCACAGACAAGCCTCAGATTGGGGCCCATGGCGTGCGCCTCAACAGGGGCCTGGGCATCACGGAGCGCATTGCCCCCAAGATGGAGAGCTGGACTGGCGAGACGCGCGTGAGGTGAGTGATCCAGCTACTGAGTGCCTGGCAGACATATCGTATACTGACGCCTTGCCAGGTTCACCGACTTCCAGGTCAATGAGATCAGCAAGGATGGCACCGTCGTTCATCTCAAGGAGACGAAGCTCGTCGAGCTTCCTGCCAAGTCTGCACCTGCTCCCGCCTCTGCTGCTGCCACGACAGCAGAGAATCCCAAGTCACAGGACACAAAGGAGGCTTCTGGTGATGCACAAGCTCCCCAGGGTGCTGAGGGACCCCATGGAAACGGCACACGGCACAACGGAGCCGCGCCGCCCGACGCTGCGCCTGAGATCCCGGAGCCCGCCGCTGCAGACATCCAGGCCATCACAGACATCACAAGCGCCGAGTTCGCCGAGAGCCTCGTGGCCATTTACCAGGCGGCCGCCGCCAAGAAGACGATTCCGCCGCCAGCGAGGTCGCCGCCGCTCGAGGACAAGGATCAACGTGGCCAGCTGCACCAGCTCGTGCGCCGCGTCTTCCACTCGCTCATCGACACGACGACCGACAACTCCGACCCGTCCCTCGCCGGCGCCATCATCGTCGCCTCCGGTCGTCCACCACGCCCCTCCAAGGCCTACAGCCAGGCAAACCGCATGAAGACGGGCAGCAACCGGCGCAACGCCAAGGGCAAGGTCAAGGCCGAAGGCGAGGGCGAATACCTCCACTTCACGCTCTACAAGGAGAACCGCGACACCATGGACGCCATCCACCAGCTCGCCCGCGCCGGCCGCGCCAAGCCGCAGCACTTTGCCTTTGCCGGCACCAAGGACCGCCGCGCCGCCACCGCCCAGCGCTGCTCCGTCCGCTGGCTCAAGGCCGAGAACCTCCACGGCGTCCAGGCGCGCGTCCACGGCCTCGTCACGGGCGACTACCGCTACGAGAGGCACCCGCTGCACCTGGGCGGCCTCCAGGGCAACGAGTTTGTCATCACGCTGAAGAAGTGCCACCTCGCCGACCCGGCGTCCGAGGCGCTGCCGGCGGCGGCGCGCGAGGCCGCCATCCGCGGCGCCGCCGAGACGGCCCTCGAGAGCATGGCCTCGCGCGGCTGGCTCAACTACTTTGGCCACCAGCGCTTCGGCACCTACGCCGTCGGCACGCACGAGGTCGGGCGCCTCATCCTGCAAGAGGATTTCGAGGGCGCCGTCGACGCCATCCTGTCCTACAAGCCCGAGGTCGCGCAGCGCGCCGTCGACGGCGAGGACCCGGCCGAGGCGCACCTCCGCGACGAGCTCAACCGCCACCGCGCCTGCATGCTCTTCCAGACGGGCGACGGCGCCGCCGACGACGCCCTGCACTACCTGCCGCGCCGCTTCACCGCCGAGGGCGCCATCATGCGCCACCTCGGCCGCAACCCGGCGTCGCGCCGCGACTTTCACGGCGCCCTCAACGCCATCCCGCGCCAGCTGCGCAACATGTACCTCCACGCCTACCAGTCGTACGTCTGGAACCACGCCGCGAGCCGCCGCTGGGCGCTGCACGGCGACGCCGTCGTCGAGGGCGACCTCGTCGTCGTCGACGCCGCGCCCAAGCCCGACACGTCCGTCACGGACCCGGAACTCGTACGCGCGGAGCCCGACGGACAGGCCCACGGCCCCGGCCCACACGACGACGACGACGAGCCCGACGAACCGACAGCCGCCCGCGCGCTGACCGCCGAAGAAGCCGCCTCGGGCCGCCACACCATCCACGACGTCGTGCTGCCGTCGCCCGGCCACGCCGTCCTCTACCCGTCCAACGCGCTGGGCGCCTTTTACGAGTCCTTCATGGCGCGGCCCGAGAACGGCGGCCTCGACCCGCACAGCATGACGCGTCGCCACCGCGACTTCAGCCTGCCGGGCACGTACCGCCGGCTGACGGCGCGCTTCCTCGGCGTGCCGGCCGTCGAGGTGCGCCGGTACCGCGACGAGGAGGAGCAGATGCACCCGACCGACCTCGACCGCGTGCGCGCCGCGCAGGCCGTCGAGGCGCAGGAGGCGGCAGCGGGGCGGAAGAGGAAGTGGGAGGCGGAACAGGCGCAGACGCAGACGCAGACACAGACGCAGGAGCAGGGGCCAGAGGCGAAGAAGGCCAAGGTGGAGGGACAGGACGACGTTGTCATGGGCGAGGCAGCCGAGGCGGTTGGGACATCCGCGGAAGCGGGCAAGGATGCGTCTGCCGTGACAACAGAGGCGGCCAAGACGGTGGTGAGCGACGAGGAGAAGACAAAGGTTGCCGTCATTGTCAAGTTCCAGTTGGGCAAGTCGGCGTACGCCACGGTGGCATTGCGAGAGCTCATGGGCGAGGAGGACGCGGGAGAGCAGCAGACACAGGAAACATCCGCTTGAAGAGCCGTGTGACGATGGAAACGAATGTCGCGACAGAGCCGCCAAAGGCCGTTGTTAGATCAAGTACCCAGGAGAACAACCAAAAGGCTATTACGAATTGTTGATGCAACCTTTTGAGCCTTGCACACCATGGCATGTCCTGTCAAAGTTGGTTCGTACTCACACTCATCGGACGAGCTCGCCAATACTGCGAGTCCTTCGCATCAACGGCTCCCGTCAATCACCCCCAGGCAACTCCATGATACAGCCTGACGTAGATCGCCCAGCACGACGGCGAAAAATATGCACACAAGGATAGGGCCACTCGTTTTCAATTTCGTAGTGATCAGCTAATTGCTCGCCGACAAACAATATCAGAGAGCCGCTCGTGGACAGCATTCATGCTGTGGTCAAGATCAACCTTGTCCCTTTCTGTCATGTTCATCCTCCGTATTTCAAATCCAGGATGGCGGTCTCTCTTCCGCCCACCAGTGCCAGATAGCCAATGATGTCCCGTCAATATGGTGCCAAGAAGGGTCATGCCAGGATCCGTCCGTGAAGTCGCATTCAAAAGGCGCCGCCATGGTATGCGCCTCATATGCGAGTCGTTGCGGGGATGGATAAATACACCTTTGGCGTTTGTTCAGTTTTGTTCATTTGTCCGAGTATTGACTTTCGCTTCGCTCCGTTCCGCTGCAGGTCGAGCCACATTACGCTTCCGCCTTTGGGTTGTCCCAACCCCATACTTGTGACAGGTATTTCTCCATGTTGACACGCTTTGAACGCATCTCGACCATCCAGGGGTGGTCGAGCATCCGCCATGGGCTTGCACGGCGGGTTGGGTCCTTCTCGAGACTGGAGACTAGTTAGTAACACTCCCCAGGACCCTCTGACGAGGCTCACTCACCAGCACTCGATAAAGTACTTGAAGTTATCACTCCAAGTGACATCAGTCTCGTCCTTGAGTTTGGGTATCGGCTGCCGCACGATATAGGTCAACAGGTCAATGAGTCCTGCCCTAGGCTGCATCTCGGTCCCGTCGGCTGGGAATGGGAATCGATGCTGCGCAACCTCAAGCAGTGTAACGCCAGTGGACCACACGTCAGAGGTAATGGTGTAGCTCTGTCCCGTGATTCGCTCGGGCGCCATGTAGTAGCTGGTACCGATGAACGTGTTGGCCTCGCCCTTGGTTCCAAAGTCGCCAGAGACGCCAAAGTCGCACAGTTTGACCTCGCCGTTGCGGCAGAGTAAGATGTTAGACGGCTTGATGTCACGGTGAATGATGCGTCGTCCGTGGAGATACGTCAAGCCACGCAGAACGCCCTCTGAGATTTTGCCGAGGACCTTCTCGCCGGTGCGGCCACCGAGTTTCTTGACCTCTTTGTAGATGCTGTCGAGCGAGCCACCCTCGCAGTACTCCATGGCGATAGAAATGGTGGCAGTGGCAGGGTCGACGAAGGCGCCGTAGTACCGGCAAATGTGCTCTGATGCACAGCCCTTGTTGAAGTTGAGCTCTCGAACGATTTGTTTCTTCACATCAGGGTCGGGGTTCGTCGTGATGACCTAGCGATGTCAGCCTCCTGTATCTCAGCCTCGGGTCGCTTTCCTCACCTTCAGGGCAAAGACGGTCTTGCCGCCCTTGAGCTTAGCTCTTGTCACGGCACCGCCAGCACCTTCACCGAGGTTGCCGAGCTCTTCGATCCTAGACTCCAGACTGGCAATCCTCCAACCATCATCGTCGAGGTCTTCCACGTCCAGAGACCTCGCCTTCTCCAAACTAAGCTTATCAAACTGTTCCAAGCCTTGGAGGCTGTTGTCTCTCTCCATACCAACACCACCCTCGCTACGTTCCGAGTAGAGAGACCCGACGGCGGATACCGGGTCAGGGGTGCCCTGGGGTCTTGACCCCCCAATACCATACTGGGAGGCAAAGGAAAGAGCCGAGTATTGCGAACCGGCCGAGGTGGGGTTACTGGCACGTCCATCCAGGGGTCCAAAGCTGCCCGATCTCGAGTGGGCCGCGCTGCTCTCGCTGCCTCCGCTGGCAGAGTGACCCTGAACACTCGTGTTCAGTCGAGGAGGCTGCTCGTAAGGCAAGCCTTGGCTGCCCATCGGAGTGGCAAGGTGTAGGGTGGGCAACGCACGAGGAGCCGGCGGGGCGGGCTGGTTGCCCACCGGCTTCGCATTGGGGGACGGCGGGATGGCGAGTCCCAATCTTGGTGCTCGGGCACCACTCGATCGGGCGCCAGGTATCGCAGGGCGTAGAAGAGGGACTGGGGAAGACATGGTCGGAACGTTGCCTTGGGAGTTTGCCGGGGACAGACTGGGGATCTGGAAACACTTGGTTAGAATGAGCCTCGTGGTAGCAAGGCGGCATCATAGGGAGTTCCAACCTGGTATGGTGTAGGATCCATGTTGGTGGATTGGGATGGGTTCTGGTCCGCCATGACGTGGTCGGCAGCGGTACTGCCGTGACAGCAGCGACTGGGCAGAGGGTGGCTCAAAGAGCAGACGCGAGGGTCGGGCCTCGTCGTACTTGAAGAAGGATGCTCAGCTCGTGGGCTGGCCGGAAGAAGAACTGCCCGAGTCCTTTGGTTGTGCTGCTGCTGCTGCTGCTGCTGCTGCTACGGGCAAGGCTGCGTAGCTGTAACGGAACCGGGTCTCGCGACGTAGTAGGGTGATGCAGCTTGTCGTCTTTGTGAGGGATGATTCAGGTCGAGTCTCGGCAGACAAAGCAGGCAGCGGCAGGGTGTCGTCAATAGCTCTGGAACGGTCGCACGTGGACTGAATGGATGGAAAGGGCGAAAAGGCTTGGCCTGGCTATGCTCTCAGGTGGGATTGATTGGCTCGTGTGCTCAGCAGGCGATATGTCTCAGCAGGCGATGTGTCTAAGCAGAGACGAAGAGGAAGAAGCAGAAGAGGGTAGTGTGTCGATAGCGAACGTACGAGCAAAGCGCTGGAGGCGAAGGGCAAGCAGGTGAAGGACCAAATGCCAAAGGCGAGAGGCGAAAGGCGAGAGGCGAGAGGAGAGGTCTAGCTTGCCGTGATCTCTCTCTCAGTTGGGTCGTGTGTGGGAATGGCAAAGGCGGGGAGAGCAAGTTCCCACCCGCACCTCACATCAGATTGAGGTGCGTGGTTCTTGGTGGTGCTTGGTGGTGCTTGCTTGGCCGACTGCGGGTCCAGCGGGAATGTGGGAAGCAAAAGGGCAAGAGACAGGTGCAAACAGGGGATCCAGTGGGCGGGCAGTGGAGGGGCAGAGGGGGCCGATGGGCAGGGTCTGGCGCTAATCCAACGGTATCCTGCTGTCGGGGAGCACTGTGGCACAGTGGCCAGTTCCCCCCCTCGGGTCGGTCTGTGAGTCCTATGTACCTTTTGCCGCCCCTAGGACACGGGACGAGGTGACGATCAGTACATCCATCCATCAATCAATGCCCACGGGCTACGTTTCGTGCCTTTCGTACACGAGCGCAAAAGCAGCCTTGGCATCTGACCTGGCCAAATACACCAAAAACACCAGAAACACAAGAGGACACCTTGGAAAGTGTCGACTCGGAACGGGCCACTGGCCATGCATGTACCAGGGGCCTTGCGAAGCTGCTGCTGCTGCTGCATTGCTGCATGAAGCAGAAAATCAACTCGGCATCACCAACAGGCGAGAGCCGGCGCCCACGATTGGGGGAAATCCCTCCAGCCAAGGGCCCTTCTCCGAGTTCCGAACAGGCCTCCACGCTGCGACTCTCCGCGGCCCCCCCTTGCCAATGTGGAGGACTCGTTTACTATCAGACAGGAGGTGCCATTGGATCTCCTCTGGTCACCTGGGCCTCTTCCACGAACACAGCAGCCATGGTACTGGTGATTGGAAAGGGCGGCCTTCATATTGGCGAGGCGAACGCATTACGACATGCCGCGAATCTGCCGGCGTTGTTCGTCACGGTTTCGTTCACCTTTGCCTGGATCTGGGTGCCCAACCGTCCGTGGCGCATCCAACACGGCTTCTCCGCTTTCTTCCCACTCGTTCATCTCAGGCATGTGCACCTTGTACAGTGGGCGTGAGCACACCCCTCCGTCTCGTCACTGGCTGAGGTCCGGCTGCCATTCTGTTTCTGTGCTTCCTCGCCAATGTGGTCCTTCGACGCCCTCAGCTTGCCAGTCTACGACCACATTTGGCGACCCAAGCTCTTCGTCGGGTTGGGTCTGGGTCATGGCCATAAGGCTGAGCGAGGTGGGACTGGCGCTGAGTGAGATTTGGAATGTCTTGGGGTGACACGACACCCGCGTTAGTGGCCTGTCGATACCACGTCGATGCATCGTACCTATCAGGTACCTAGGCACCAGGCGGGCAGGTCCCTCAGCTCGGGTCGAAGAGGCTCGGCGTGAATGGCAGGAATTGATGTCACGAATTGATGTCACGAACTGATGTCACGAAAAGGTGTGTGCGTCAGCTTCCAAGGCGAGCATGATGCATTGGCATAGAAGGAGGAAGCAACCGATTCATCGCCGTTTCCCTAGGCGCGCGTCTATCCGCGCAGAAGGCAGCTTCCAGGAAGCTAGGGTCCCTTATTGGCTGGACAGCACAGTGCTCGTCACCTGGCACCCCTGTCAATGGCACCCCGCTACCTTATCCGGCAGTGGCTGCTTCCCCAATGCACCTGCCAAAATTTTGGATAACGAAAATTTCCCAGGCGAGCAGGAACCAGGCAAGGAACCAGACAAGGAACCAGGCGAGGAACCAGACAAGGAACCACTTCAGCATCACGCGTCTGTCTTTCAGAACAACCCTACGAGAGATGCCGTCCACTGCCGATCTCAAGCGCTTAGCCGCCGAATCTGACGATTCCGATCAGGGCGCCAACATTGACCAACACGCCTCCTCGTCCGAGCCTGAACACTCCTCCGATGCCGAGTCGGACCAGCTTGACGATGCTGGCTCCCGCAAGAGACGCAAGACCTCGCCGCCGAGGATCCCAGCGCTGGACGATGAGGACGAAGACGATGAGGACGAAGACGATGAGGAAGAGTTCCAGCGAATCGTGTCCACCATACAGGCACCGTCCCGAGTGAAGAAGACGACCACCGCCACGCCGTCCTCCAGACCCGAACCCAAGCTCTCCGCGCCGGCTGGCATCACGGCGCCCGTCGACCCGGACACGACATTCTCCTCTCTCAACGTCCGACCATGGCTCACACAATCTCTGGCTAACATGGCCATCAAGAGGCCCACGGGTATTCAAAAGGGGTGTATTCCCGAGATTCTCAAGGGCAGGGACTGCATTGGTGGCAGCAGGACGGGTTCCGGAAAGACGGTCGCCTTCGCGGTGCCCATTCTTCAGAAATGGGCCGAAGACCCTTCCGCCATCTACGGCCTCGTCTTGACGCCGACCCGAGAGCTGGCTCTGCAGATCTTTGAGCAGTTCAAGGCCATCGGGTCGCCCCAGGGTCTCAAGGTCACCCTCATCACTGGCGGCAACGACATGCGCCCTCAGGCCATTGCCCTTGCCTCACGTCCCCACGTTGTCATTGCGACGCCCGGTCGCCTCGCCGATCACATCCGCACGTCTGGCGAGGATACCATTTGTGGCCTCCGTCGCATCCGCTTCGTTGTTCTTGACGAAGCCGATCGCCTACTTGACGGTACCGGCACCGGCAGCATGCTTCCCGCCGTCGAGGAGTGCCTCTCCGCCCTGCCGCCGCCGGCCCAGCGTCAGACGCTCCTCTTCACCGCCACCATCACTCCCGAAGTGCGCGCCCTCAAGGACATGCCTCCAAAGCCCGGCAAGGAGCCCGTCTTCATCTGCGAGGTCGACACGCAGATGCTCGCCATCCCTGCCACCCTTGCTCAGAAGCACATACAGGTGCCCGTCACTCACCGCGAGCACTACTTGCACACCTTCCTGCTGACGGCCGCCAACGTCGAGAAGACGGTCATTGTCTTCTGCAACCGCACCACAACTGCTCAGTTCCTTCACCACCTGCTCCGTCTGCTCGACCACCGCGTCACGAGTCTGCACTCCCGCCTGCCACAGCGCCAGCGTACCGACAACCTGGCCCGCTTCCGTGCCGCCGCCGCCCGCATCCTGGTTGCCACGGACGTCGCCTCGCGTGGTCTTGATATCCCCGAGGTGGCTCTTGTTGTCAACTATGACATTCCCCGCGACCCCGACGACTACATTCACCGCGTTGGTCGTACTGCTCGTGCCGGCCGCAAGGGTGAGGCCGTCACCTTTGTCGGACAGCGTGATGTGGAGCTCGTCCTTGCCATCGAGGCACGCGTGGGACGAACGATGGATGCCTGGACAGAGGAGGGTGTCAACCTCGAGACGCGCGTTGTCAGGGACACGCTGAAGATTGTAGGCGAGAAGAAGAGGGAGGCACTGCTCGAGATGGAAGAGAACAAGGAGGTGGGTGGCAAGAGGAAGAGGACCAAGACGAAGCTGAGGGCGACGACGGATGGGTTTTAGATGTTTAGATAGATACCCAAGACGAGTGAATTTATTCGTATTCTCCAGACTTATTCTTCGCCCCGTGATGCCGTCTTATGCGTCTGCTCACAGCCCCAGCACATCAGTTCGCTCGTGCCATGACTGCTTGTCCCGCTTTCCATGAGATGATTCTCGACAACGTCTACATCGGTTTCAAGGTTCAAGGCCCAAGACACGGATGAAATTCCGGCCCCCGACCTGACAGCGCCGCCCCTCTCACGGCCCACGGCCCACGGCCCACGCCCGAGTCGGTCATACTCCTGCAAAGCCCCATCTCCACCCATCATAGATCCCGCGACGCGGCCCCGTCGACATCAAAGGCCGCATGGCCCAATGGCAAGGCGTCTGACTACGATACAGAAGCACGAGAGATCGTGACCTGTTGGTATCAGGAGATTGCAGGTTCGAGCCCTGCTGTGGTCACATGTAAGAAGCATCTCATCGATGCGACTTTTTTTTAAGGCCGTGTGTTTGTCCTTAGACTTTGACGATGAGGTGGATGGGATGCGGACGTCTTGTACGACACCTGCAAATTCTCTAGCGGAGAATATCGAAATATGTTTTTGTGACTTGATGGATGGATAGATCAGCCCAGCCCAATATTTTGATCCGTTGGGGACATCTGTCTGGAAGGTTTTCGTGGTATGACGACAACAACCGTTCGATCCGTGCAGCATGAACTCTCGACAGCGTCTGCCACCTTTGAAGGCATTCTCATCCCAGCCTTCCGGGCTTGGTCACGCACAACCGAAGGCTTTACAAGAAGGTCGGAGAAAGGAGATTCTCTCAACCGCGTACAGATCGCCACAGTAGTGGATGAACCACTGCCACGTTCGCGAATGAGCCCAAGACCATCAACACCAAATCTCACAATCACCAACCCCCGGAGCATCCTGCAGCAAATACGCCGCGCCACACCCCAGGGCTCTCGGCCCGTCACGAACTCACGACAACCACCAAGCCTCGGCGTGCCCTCTGCGCAGAAGAAGTAGAAGACAAGAGGCAAGTCGATTCGACTGCCACTCGGCGCCTCGGCATCCAGCCACACTGAACGCACCACACACTACCACCACGTTCCCCTCGGCTCACGGCGGCGTCCCCCCCAACCTCACGATGTCCCGCACTCCAGCAGCAAAAAAAAAAATCCTGCCAGCAGAGTCTTCACCCCTCCCTAGCGCGCCGCCTGACCTACAAACCCTTTCCAGGATCTCCACTCCGGGGCCGAGCCGCCGAAGTGGAGTCTCGAGGACGAGGAAACAAGGAACACTCGGGTCAACGAAGACGTGGCAGTGGAACGGGGAGACAATAGAGAGAAAAAGAGAAAGAAAAAGAGGAAGCGAGAAACTCCACCGACCCCGCCGGCCAGACCACGCCGTGGAACACACTCGCGATGGTTTTTCCACTGAGGAGGTCGGAGCCAAGGTGTCGGCCGGGGTTGAGTCACGCCATGGCGAAGGAATCCAAGTCTCCACCATCATGACTGACAGGCACAGGGGAAAATACCTTGCACTGCAATAGCGAGGAGGACTGGGAAGGGGGGGGGGGAATCCAAAGGTGTGCGCTTTGGTGGACCCATCGGCGTCACGGTCCTGGCGCGAGACCCCGCCGTCTTCTGCGCTAGAAGGACGGGAGAAGGGCCATCATGACGCTAGAAGGCCTCAAGCGTGAGGAGTGGGTCTTCTTTCGGCCGGCCAGGGTTTGGCGAGGGCGCCTCAGTCCGGTTCGCCATCGAGGCTTATCCCTTTGTCATTGTCCGCCCAAGGGAATGCACAATGGAGTGCCTTGCTGCGGCCCTTGAAAAGGGGAGGCACATCAAATTTCGGGTTCGCCGTGGGGTGCTTCATGTGCCTCGCGGTATAGGGCGACGTACGACGTGTGCCAGCATCGTCAGCAATAAAAAGCCCCCTTTCTGGCCTTACTGGGGGCGCATTGCGCGGCGCCATGGCCAAGGGGGTGTCGCTTACTGACCCCGTTCCCGCGCCGCATCGCTGGGCCTCAGATTTTCGAATCCACGCCAGCCAAACCCCCGTTGCCTAAACACATCGTATCACTAGGGTGAGTTTCTGATTGCTCGAGGGCGTGCAACGCATGCGGGCAGCGTACAGGCCAGCGCCCGACCCCGACTCTCTGTCGTGAAACCAGGCGAGTCCCGTTGGGCCTGTTCGTCTGCCATGATGCCAATTCCATCGCATTGAAAGCGCATGGGCTCGATCTGCGACGACTCGAGATCTGCGAGATCAATTACACCATCTCGGTATTCACATCACGTCGCGTCCGAATGGTGCAAGAAGCTTTGCAATAAAGTTTGGATCACGGGTGTGGATGCACCTGTGCACGTCATGATTATCGATCAATCCAATGCTGAGCAATAGCGCGTCTCTGGGAGTGTGTATCCCCGAAAAGGCCGGACTGTCAATTCTTCGAGACACCCCCCCTCCTTTCTTATGTCATGCTCCTCAGGGTCGGCGGCGGCAAGGTCGGGCCCCGGCGGGTTTTGAATGCCGTGACTCGATACCGCAAGGTGCTTCCTCAAGGGAAGGGCATTGCTGTCAATTAGACTCAACTAGTCGGCAAAGATGAGATCAACTGCTAGGACCACGAGGACCCTTTGCGGCGGGTTCAGGGCAAGGCGTCATCGCTGGCCTTCCGTTTTTCCCGCTGACTGACGAACAGAAAACGGAGCGGCGTTCGGGATTAGCGATGGATCCGATGGCTATTCCCACGTCGTGACGAGAATGAAACCGCGTCGCAAAGGCCGCTGGTTACTGCTTCTGGCAATGAAGTCGCGGCAAGCTGCAATTGAAATGCCCATCGGAGAACAGGACCATCTGACAACGGCATGCGATATCCTTGGTAAGAGCGGGATGGGCACAATGTGACTTTTGCGGCTCATGGCTTGTTCCAACCAGCAGGCCTATCAGTCCTGGAGGCATGACAGTCTGGCGGCCCGCTGCAATTCTTTGCAACCACCGAGGGGTTGTCTCCACGGCGGGCAGAAAAGTGAGGGCATCGTGAAAAGCCGGCCCGGAGGTCATCTCGTGTGCTGTGATGACCCCCATAGCTAGCTCTGCTGGGGTCTGTGGCTTGGTGACCACCCAGTAGCCCGGAGCACATCGGGGTATGGGCGGCACGAGTCGGAAGCCGTGGGGTTCACGGCCGGCCTTGTGACCTTGCGGCCGGGGAGGGGTGTGAAAACGGTGTGAAAACTGGCGAAGCATCCGGATCTAGGCATTCAAAGTTGATGACCGCTACAAGAGGAAGCAAGATATCGTAGAATGACCCTGCCTCAATGACCGTCACGTCTCCCGAAGCGACCGCTCGCGTGCCTTGGATGGAATGCCTCCGGGAAAGCCTGGTCCTCATGGAGACTGCACAGCCAGGCACCGACAAACAGAGTCGTCAGTGCTTTGCTAGCGGAAGGCAGCCATGCACAGGACAGTATACGATGGATACGAAAACCTTGGTCAATTAGGGGTTCGGCACCAGTGTTGCGACAGCAATGAGGTAGGTAGATATGCATGCGCATTGCTCAGCCCTACTATCCTTATCCTAGCTGATGGGATGCGTATGGGGAGAGATGCACTGCTCCTGTGTTGCTGGGTGATGTGCCTGGCGTGGGCCACTCACTTGCAGCGACCGCGCAAGCCGGGCAGTGCACCGTGCGTGGCATGTTCGTAGTTCTTGGAGCAACAGGATTGGCTCGTTCCCGACGTTCTTTGCTCGCTTCGCTTTCGCGTCTTGGACGGTGCCGAAGGAGGCCGGTCGCTCACTAGGACGGGGACGGATGAATTGAAATGGGGGCGGAGCATGCATTCGGCATTCGTGGTCCTTTCGCTTTCGAGATTCCTCGCAATCGCTAGGCTTCCACATTTCGAAGCCCCGTATGGACCGACGTGCAGTGCCTCGCTCGTTTGAGGAAAGCATCGTGCGATGGGGATGGGCTCTCTCGGTTTCCTCAGATCAGGTTAGAGGGGGTAACGGCCAAGCCTCGATGTACATGTGTGGCATGAGGAGAAATGCTTAGCGGTCGACGCAGCTCAATGGCATCATGATCTTCAATTGACGATGGAGCGGAGACCCGAAGGGCGAGGGTTGACAGCCGCTCCGCGACAACGGCAACAAGATCATGTTGATGACACGATGAGTCGACAACGGAAACGCGGGGCATCCATTGGCCGATTTGTGAGCGGCATGAAGCCCAGGGACGCAAGTGGAAGGGTATCGAGGCCGATAGAGTCATCGGAGGGTTTGTGACTCTGTGCTGGACTTGGACGTGGAGCTGGACCTGCGGGGGGTGTATGATTTGTGATGCACGTCCTTGCCCTAGAGTGAAGGACAACACCGTGGGCAGGCAAGCAGTAGGCGAACCTGCCAATGAAAAGGGCGGCCATGGGGATAACGGCCAAGGATGATTAACAAGCCGAGTGCGAAACGCAGCGACGGGCGACGCAGCAAAAGTCACCGGGAACAGCTTAGGTTAGCGAGAAACACGCCTTGCTTCTGTCAGAAACGGGGGGGGGGACAAGGGGACGGAGTCTCGGAGACAAGAGTAAAGCCCAGGGCGTGTGAAATTGACGGAGCTAACCTAAGCCCCGTCTGAGAGCAGGAAGGACGAGAGAGTCACAGGGTACGTACCGCGTGTGTCTCGCACCTGCTGCCCAGACTGTCGCTTGCTTGCTGGGCACTCAACTCTCTGCTGGCTTGGCTGGCTGACACACAACGATGTACCTCGCACCCGCACTCGGGAAGAACCCACCTACCCAAGTCCGGCCCCTCGGTGGGTTGCGCCTGCCGGGCTGGCTTTGTGTGTGCGTGTGGTTGTGTCAGCAGGCCTCAGGGAAGCCTGCTCGCAAATCAGGGGCCCTGGAGGGTGTGGCATTAACACTGACCAAGAGGCTTAGGAATTACCATGCGCGTCCGCCTGGACCCGAGGCCAAAGTCCGAACTCCCACGCCTGCGACTGACCCATGGCTTCGCGGCCTTACACATCCACACCGCTACCGACCGCGAGCCCGGAATCCGAGAAGTGTCCATGGCACATCCACCCCTTCCGTCCACATCCCCATCAGCCAGGTTATAACACTCCGGCCTTCCCACCCCCCCATCGTCAGCTTCCGATTTCAGCATCATTCCAAACATCATCAACAGCTTCACTCAACAGCTCGACTCAACTGCTCCCGCAACAGCAAATACCATCCAGTGCCCCACCAAACAGCACTCTTACCTAACCATCACACAATAGCCAGCGGCTCTTAGCCCCTGCTCGCATCATCCAAGACGCCATCTCCCACTCAGCAGCCTAGCACACCCCTGCTCCTTGCCGATTACGGCTTGTCTGCCTTGAGTCACAACCAGCAAAAATTACACCATCTCAACTGTTCGAGTCACCACCACCACCATCCTGGTGCTACTTATACAAAATGCCATCCACCACCATGAACCGCCCCCCTCACTCCCCATTCAACACCCACACCACCAAGCAACCCTCTCTGCGCAAGACCATGTCCATCACGCAGACCTACTACCTCGCCCACAAGGCCCGGGCCAAGCTGTCCACCGAGGCCGCCCGCGCCGATCATGACCTCCGCCTTCTCGTCGGACACGCCAACCTCCTCGACAGCCTGATGCTCGACCTCGCCGATGCCGAGCGTGAGCAGGAGTCGTGGTTCAACCAGTCCGTCCGCGGCGCACAGGAGGAGAAGAAGGACCGCCACGTCCAATGGGCCGACTCGATTGTCGAGGACCCCGAGGAGGACTGGAACGCCGACGACGCCTCCTCCACATCCTCTTCTGACGAGTCCGAGTCCGACTCGGAAGATGAGTACGACAGCGACGAGGAGGACGACATTGAGATGGCCGACGTCATGAGCCTCCGCCGCATCTCCTCCACCACCAAGCAGATCCCCATCCTCGCTGTCGAAGAGGACGAGGACGATATGGAAGAGGACGACCTTGAGGAGGACTACGCTCAGCTCGAGCTCGTCCGCACCTCTTCTCACTCCAACTCCCCGCCCGACCTGGCTCACGACTCAGACTACTCTTCGGACGACGACGACGCCATGCCCCCTTCGCCTCCCAACACCATCCTCACCTTCTCTGAGAAGGACGCCAAGCAGGAGCCCACCAGCGAACAGCAACAACAACAACAAGACAACCTCTACTCTGAGGGCTTCTACCTCCCCAGGAGGAACCCAGCCCGCCTCGTGTCCGCCATCTCCGTGTACTAGAATGCACCGAGTGACGGTTACGACATTGACGACTATTGTTTTGTTTACTCCTGCTTGAGCGACAGCGATTGGGGCATAGCGCGGCGTTTTCTTTTCTTTTTCTCAAGGATACCCAGATGGATCTCCCAAAGGCAGCAATGCCCAACTCTTTTTCTTCTGTACATATATTGGATCGGCATGGATTGCATAAGAAAAAAGCAACCAGGAAGCATGGAACGGAATCACATCTCTCTGGCTGCCGCTCCCCACGGGTCGAGTGGCAGCCTCATCATTTCTTGTCATCAGATAGTTTACACACCCTCGCGTCGCTGCGACGGCCGAGGTGAAATCTCACTCTTCAATTGAACACAATTCAACAAACAACCCCCCGCTCCTCCCTTCTGCAGTCGCACCAAAAAAAAGTGAAGTCACCACCAATGCAACGCCAAAAGGGCTGCTAACGAGTCGCAGAAACGCTTCACGAGTCAATCACAGCGGTATGACTGCATAGGCAGCAGCAAAGTCTAGCAGGAAAAAAAAGGCGTGCCCCGCCCGATTTCGGTACCCGCGGCCATCGGTCTTCGGCAACATACCGTCCTCCGCCGGGCGGTCAGGGAGGGGAGGGGCGTGGGCGGTCATGGCAAAAAAAAAAAAACCCACCGACACGCCAAGGGGACAGAGAAAGGAAGGAAAGAAAAGTCGCCAGGGCGGCCGGGCAGACCCCACCCACCCTACCAGCCCAGCAGCCCGGCGCGACAGATCTCTCTCTCTCCCCCCATCGTATCGACACACCCTCTCGACCCCACCCCTTGTTGCAAACCTTGTCTGGTGCCTGTCTTGGTCAGGAAGCGTCTGATGAGCAATCACCGCCGGCTTTGTCAGACGCAGCCGAATCCGAGGGACCACCCTCGTCTCACTGTCTCATGGTGGGGGCAGTGAGGATTCCAGCTTACCGACCACCTCACACGCGCCGCACCACCCCCCCTCAAAATATGTACGACAAATACGACAAGGGGGTTCCTGCCTGACCTTCATTGCTTGGTCAATAATTGGAAAAGGCAGGGCGGGCGACGCGGGCTGGCAGGCAACGGCGCATACTACACGGCAAAAGTGCAGAGAATAGCGGAAGCGCACGTTTCTCTGTCTTTCCCAGTCAGCTTTCGCTTGGGCCGCGTCGCCTTCACCCTTTGCGGTCGTCGGTCAATGGCAGCACACCTCCCTTCCCCCGTTCCTCCGCCAATCGCATGGAGACACAAGAAAGGCTGCCTGAACAGGCAGCATAGGAGGGAGGGTGTGGCCTCAGCACAGCTTACCAGTATATCTGGTCGGCGTTGCTATATTTCGTTTCTTTTTTTTTTTTTTTCGCTGGATGCGGAGCAAGGAGCACGTTGGGGGCTGGCTGGATCATGCCCTTTTTACGACCTGACCTGGCAGGCCGCTTTGATTGATTGTCTCGATTCATTTGGCCCCTCTCGGTTTCTACGTTACTTTTCGACCGCTTTGCTGGCAAACAGGGCAACGGGCGGTGAGGAAAAGGATTGGCTGGGGATGGATGTGCTGTCGACGTTGGGCTGCTGTACTCTGCTGTGCTCTATGTTCCTGCTCTGTTATGAGCTGGGATGGCTTTGCTGTCCTTGCGTTGGGCCATGCGTTTGCGTCTGAGGGAGATTTCCCGTTGATGCAGTAAAAGGGGTACTGTTCTCACGCCAACGTATTTTGACTCGAACGAACAGAAGCGCATGACAATTTGGGGCCTTCGTCAATCGGAGGCGCCGCACCAAAGCCTGTATCATCGTCACACGCGCACGCACGCACACACACAGAGCGACGCATCAAATTACCACTTACTCGAGTATGCCCTGCCATCAGCACTACTCACTGACACAGCCAGCCCAGGAATCCTGCATACACGGCCAGCATGATTGCTATCGGTCAAGGCGATCAACAAGACCGCGCAGGCTGACGTGGACGGCGCGACCATGGCGCTTCAAGCGATGGATCGGGGATTGCCTGAATAATGAACGCTGTGGCCATGTTTGACACTTGCCTAGCAATTCAACCGGATACAGAGTAGGTGGCTGGAGGTTAAAGCTGCCGGACGATATACCATTGCACACCACAGTTAGTAGAACAGAAGCAACAACAAGTCCTCGAGACGAACCATCGGCCCTTTTTGGCAGAACTGAGGCCGGCCTTTTTCCCAGATGCAAGGGCATGTGAGTTGCAGTGCAGTGCAGCAAGCCCTCTGGCGGAGGAACGGCGGGTTTCGTGTCCTGCGGCTCGCGAGCAGCTCCTGTTGGGGCCCTGGACTGGGCTGGGGATGGTGGAGGGGGTGTCTCTGCCTCGGTCCCACTCGGGTGCCGCGGATGGCGTTGGTGATCACCCGGCCTTTGCGCCGTGGGGTTTGGCGTTATCGTTCGTTATCTGTACGTTCGACTCGACCTTGCTGGAGAGTACATGTACGAGACATGCGTCCTGGCGAATGAGAGAGTTGTTTCGAGACGACGACGGAGGATGACACCATCCTCCAGCGTGATCACTCACTAAATATGCTTCTCCTGTACTCGTTGTCCCGGTCACAGGCAAAAGCCAAGTGCAGATAAGCATGGCCCCTTATCAGATGCCAATGGCATCACCAGGCGGGTTCTGCCTGACGCGCAGAGCCCGCCCTTTTGTCGCGACTAAAATCATGCTCCCGCCCTTTCTCAGTATCAGTGTGCAACATGCGCGTGGCGTGGAGGGCGGTGAAGCCTGTTGGAGAGCGCTGCAGGTGACATGCGAGACAATGTCTCTCCTCGCCGTGCGCATGTCTCGACTGTCTGTCTGCCTGTCTGTCTGGGAGAAGCACGACAGCCGAGAGTCATTACAGGCTCACAGGTACCATCACTAATGGGATCGGCCGACCGGAGCCTTTCGCAGAGTCGAACCTTGATGGGGACCGAGTTCGGTCTCGGCTGCCGTGATCTCCTCCCGGTTGCGGGTGCGGGGACAACAAGCAGCTGTGGGGACTGATGAGGCCCCGTGTCTCGATCAACGCAGCATCGATTCGATCGCTGGAGCGGATACTTGTCGAGAGTCCAGGCCCATCGGGGTGTGCTGTTGCCGGGGACACTGAGGTCATGGAACCATTCTTGCTTGCCTCGGCGGGGGGGTTTCATGATAAAGTCTACGACGCGGCCTACTTGGCAAATCGCCGCCCCCATGTCGAAACTGTTGAATCTTGATTGTTTGTCATGGACAGGTAGGGTGGGAGGGAAGGGGGGGGGGGGGGGGGGGGGGTGGGTATGATTGAGGACGACCCTGTATGCGGCGCGGGGTGGATGAGCCAGCTTCAACTGAACGGCCGTCTCAGGCCACGTTCTCCCATCCAGTGATGCATCTTGGTCCCATCACGGTGGGCAGATGACGGGCGGGCCGTCACGGGTCCAGACTCTGCGAGCACCAGATGCAAGGGCACGAGGCAGCGGCGGCGGCAGGTTGTCACAAGCACTGTCGGCCATGCTATGGTAAAAATCGCCGTGGGGGGAGGATGCTTGGCCACGGAGTTCATCGCCAGCATGTCCGAGATCCGTTTTCGTTGCGGAGATCAAGGCAGATCGGGAATCTGGCAGCTGTGGCAGGCCCTGGTCGCCATCTCTCACGAAGCGGAATGCCTGATCGAGTTGGACGGGTGATGACTCAACACCCGTCGCGGTGTCGGGCTCTGGCAGGATGCCGACCACCGATCATTCTGCGGCAGGGGCTTGTCAGCGGAGAACCAGGAGCCAGCCAGTCGCTTGGTCAGACAGGCAGTGGGGTGGCAGTTGTGATGGACCCTGAATAAGGTACAGCACGTCGAACCTGCCACGCACAGACCAGGCCATCCGAGAGTTCCTTCCGTCAGACTCAAAGCTCCAGTCGCTAGGGCAGCTGCCAATCACCGGCCGAACCTTCCGCAGAGCTTGAAGGGGGGGACAAAGGGAAGCTTCATGCCTCACGTCATTGCCTCGTCGCTGCCATTTGAACTCTGCCTCTCTACAGTCACGCCTCCCGACGCTTGTAACATCCCACACCCGGACAACTGCCGGACACCGAGCAACGAACGTTTCGACCCTCACATCGGGTCCTTCGTCGTTCGTATCACATGCCGCTGATGCATCATCATCAGTAAACATCCCCGGACGACATCGCACCATCACCATGCGACCCCTCCTCCGCTCAGCTGCCCCGGCATCATCCGCCAGCCGCCTGCTCCCCCGCCGTCCATTCTCCTCTTCGGCCTGCAGATCTGCTCTTCCCCCTCCCCCGCCTCCGGCCGCATACGCCCCCCTCCCTTCCCGACGCCTCATCTCCGTCTCGGGCCCCGACACGGCCAAGTTCCTACAAGGCGTCATCACCGCCAACATCAACGCACCGGGGCCCCTCTATGCTGCCTTTCTCACCGCCACCGGCCGCATCCTCAACGACGTCTTCATCTACCCCGACACCCTTGCCATTGGCGCCGGCGCCCCCGAAACGAGCTTCCTCATCGAGGCTGACGCCGACCAGGCCCCCGTCCTCGCAAAGCACATTCGCCGCTACAAGCTGCGTGCCAAGTTCGATGTGCGCCTCCTCGACGACTCGGACGCCCGCGTGTGGCACCTCTGGAACGACGCGGCGCCTGACCCGCCAGCGCAGTCCACCGCCGCGGGGGACCTGATGCCCGACCGCCGTGCCCCGGGCATGGGCTACCGCCTCGTGCGCAAGGGGGACGCCGCGCCGGCACTGGATCTCGAGCAGGTCGACGAGCAGGCGTATACGCTGCGGCGGTACCTGCGCGGCGTGGCCGAGGGCCAGGGCGAGATGCTGCGGGAGCATGCGCTGCCGCAGGAGAGCAACCTCGACTACATGGGCGGCATCGAATACCACAAGGGCTGCTATGTCGGCCAAGAGCTGACCATCCGGACGAAGCACCGGGGTGTCGTGCGCAAGAGGATTCTGCCGTGCGTCTTGTACAACGAGGGGGATGCCATGCCAACCGAGCTTGCATACCGGGACGAGGGCGTGGACGCTGGTGTCATACCGTGTGAGGCCAAGATTGAGTCTTGCAGCAAGAGGGCCAGGAATCCGGGCAAGTGGCTCAGCGGCATCGGCAATCTTGGCCTGGCGCTGTGTCGACTCGAGACGCTGACGGATCTAGCAGGGCCGTTGCCGACTTCTTCCTATCAGCCGACGGACGAGTTCAAGGTCGAGTGGACGGCAGGCGATGCGACAAACAGCCTCAAGGTCAAGGCCTTTGTGCCAGACTGGCTGAGGCAATCTCTCGAAGCAGTGCCGCCACGAAACGCGACCTAACATGTGGGTCGCAAGCCAATGTACATCACCATATATAGTGTAAAAGTAGAGAAAATGGTGGGGGTATCAACTTCCTTTTCAAGTCTCGTCCCGAGACTCTCAGTTCTGGCAGCTTTCTGGGTATCATGTCTATGTCGTTGTGCCGTCCTCCTCCGCAGTGCCTGCCGCCGCCTCTTGCGCTGCCGCTAGCTTGGCAGCATCCCGCTTCTTCTGCACCGCGATCATCCTTGCCTTGAGATCCTCCCACTTCGGCGCCTTGCCCTCGCCGCCGTTCGTCTTCGGAGCGTCTTTGGACTCCGTCTCGGGCGGCAGCTCGCCCCTCTTCCGCGCCTTCTTCTCGGCCTTGCGTCTCCTCGTCTCCTCGAGCCTCCGCTGCAGCTCCTGTATCCTCTCATCGCCCTCGTCCTCCTCGCGGTTCCTCTTCTCCTCGGCCTCGCGCCGGAACCGCTCGTCCTCCTCAGCACGCCGCCTTCGCAGCTCCTCCCCCATGCGTGCCTTCTCCCGCTCGAGCTCCCTCCTCTTCTCCTCCTGCTCATCCCTGCGCCTCTTGGCCTCGCCCTCGGCCGCCTCGAGCTCGTCGATCATGCGCTTGCGCGCGCCCTGCACCTGCGCCCTCTCGGCGGCCCGCAGCGCCTGCGCCTCGCGCCCGCGGTCGTAGGCGCCGCGCGCCGTCGCGTCGAGGAGCACATCGCGCGCCGACTCGAGGAGCGCCCACTTGTCCGGGTCAAAGGCGTCGCCGGCCTTGTCGGGGTGGTGGAGGAGCGACGATTTGCGCCACGCGCGGGGGATCTGCTTCGGGTCTGTCGTCGCCGGGTCGAGGCCGATGAGGGCGTAGAGGTCTATGTTCTGGGACGCGTAGTCTGTTGCCTTTTGGGTGAGGTCTTTGGTGTCCATTTCGGTGGGCGCCCTGGGGCAGGATGCGTCTGTGTTTGTTGTGTGCGTGTGTGTTATTCGTCTTGGAGGGGTGGAATGGTCAAGTCTGCCTGGTCTGGAGTTGCAATGGGCCTTTTGCTCTTCGGATGACGATAAGGTGCTGATTAGATCGGTTTGTTGATTATGTAATCCTGACTTGGACCTGGCCTCTTGATACAGTAGCATGGCCAGTTCTGTGGTGACTTCTAGGCATGCGAAATATGCTCCATCAGAGGCTAACTGGTGCCTTGTGAGCTTTATTGCATTTATTTCACGTGAAGTATTGGAATCTGGATGGTGACCGTCTTGTTATGAGTACTTGATACCGCCGGGCATTTGTTTTCCGGGGAGTTGCCCATAGCTCGAATCCAAATGCTGGATTTTTGTCGCCGGCGTCATTATTGTTTCGGTGGCGTGGTGGTTATGACCGACGGAATATTATCTTTGAATATAGATTCAGAGCTCTTGCTATCAAAGCCAGTTGCGTAAAGCTCTGACCATGAGAATCTCGAATAATGACACGACCCGCTATCCCACGTCGGAGCCGTAGGGACATGGTCTGAGAAGACGCACGAGATATTTGTACCTATTCCCAGTAAACCCTCAACAAAGCCTATGGTGCCACATAATCTGATCATTATCCACAATATAACTCCACCAGTCTGCTCAGCATCCATTGGGTTTTATCTGCAACTCGTGAACTCCTGAGGCCACTCCACTTCTGGGGTTGCAGCTTGATTTCAAACCCGTCGATCGTGTACGTACCCGTCCAAAGGTTGAGCTCTCGAATAAATTGCCAGAAGACGATGTTCTGATAGCTGGCCACAATCTCGCACGGATCCAATAGGTGTCAGTCACGAAGAACCGGCCTGTATTGGGTACAGACTTGACAGGAGCAACAACGGGGAAACGAAAGAACGCCTGGGCATCGTGACAGTTTCCGTTCGGCTTGAACCTGAATTGGGCATAAAGACTGAAGATTCGAGTCACCAGCTCATTTGAACTGCTGCGTATACAAGGTTCTTGATACGGCCAAGTCTCATGCAACGTGATGCTTCACGTGTCGACGCAGCATATGGCGTCAATGTTGCAGGTCACAACAAAATAGAGTACTGTTCTTCGCAACACTGTCGGAGACCGTCTTTCCTACCTTCCCTGCAACCCCTGCCGAGTACTCTTACACTGTGGCCCTCCGGCACTTTTCGTCAAGCCATACTCGTAAACGTGGTAATTACACACCCATTATAGACTGCCATCGAGGTCGTCTCACCGTTGTTCCTCGCTTGTGTGAACGCATGTCGGCGATGATTGACGTCGTATCGGATCCGTCCATTTCTTGGCTGTTCGTAACCATCAATTGACGAACCTTCTCCGTTCTCGATTGTCATCCTCTCTGGCGATGGGATACGCAACCTGCGAACTGATTCATTGGCTCGGGAGAGTTCAGAGTCGATCTGTGAACACTTATCAGGCAAGGGACTTGTCTCTCACCTTGAGGGTCAATCCATGATGGGGCCATGCCCCATCCGTGACACCATCAGCTCCTTTATCGAAAGACTTGGCTGTCTAGCAAGAGGTTGGCGCCCACGTGAGGCTCTAGATGAACCCCGGATATTCCGGTTCATAGTCACATGAACATGGCGAAACCCCAGATTGAGCACGACGATCGTGGTGCGTATCGCGCCGGGCCAAGCTGACTGATCAGCTGAGACATGCAGGGCTCGCATGTTTCTTAGACGATTTTGACTGCTCATGCTGTTTAAGGAAAGGGGGGCTCTCCGTACTACGTAGATCATCGTCTATCATTAGAACCAAACTCCCTCCCCAGCCAAGCAGTTGCGCGGCAAGAATTGAAACGCATATCCCATCGCGACAAGAGGAGCAGAGCATGAAGTCCGTCTTCGTCTCGAGGCACACCATACCCGAAACACCGCAATGGAACAGGCCAAGCCAGGCCAAGATGGTTGGTGAAAGAGAGTCTGGAAAGCGGCCGATCGGTCGACGCGGAGGGAACCGTGCTCGCGATCCAGCAAGCCGCTGACCACTCAGATGACCAAGACAGGCCAGGAAAGCAAGGAAGCCGAGGGCGACAGCGCGGGCGCCCGCCGATAAGGGCCGGGGAGCGTTCCCCGGAGTTGGCTCTAGTGCGTCGTGCATGGGGATTGGCGTTGGGGCGAGTCCCCAGAAGCCTGTGTGATGGCCTACGAAGGGGGAAAGCTTGATCAGCACAACATGACCGGTCATGTCGTTAGATGAAGGCTGTGCTCGGTGACTGACTGGATCGGCCGGTTGACTGCATGATTGGGAGAGGCGGAGCTTCGTCCCATGGCATCGGAAAGGTTTGGGCGGCGGGGTGGATGCAGAACCAGGCAACCAGGGTCAGCAGGGAGGGCAGGAAAGACAGTAGATCTGGGGTTGGGAAGAGGAATCCTAGGGGCGCTCGAACGTGACAGCGTTGAAGGTTCAGAGAGTCAGTTTCAGCTGAGTACGAAGAAGAAGTATCGAGGGGGATGGCGCAGAAGCAAGTATAAGAAGCTCGGCCTGGACGCATCGATGGGGCGAGCACAGCCCACGGAGCTATCGAGCCATTCCAGGCATCAATCAGACCAGATATAACAAAGCATATCCCCCAGATCGGCCTTTACTTGTAGGCGCTTGGTTTCTTGGCTCCTCCATCACCAGACCATAAGAAGGAAGCATAGTGTCTGCAATACCATTTGGTGCCATCCTTTTCCAACGAACCGGGATACATATACATACCTACACACAAAACACCAACTACCTACACACCTACTACCTACGCACTGCCGACAACCAGCCAGTGAGGATTCTACAGCAATTATCGGCTTGGGATAACCACCAACCGTGAACAACCTCCATAAAGAACAAAAAACAACCACCAAAAATCACATAATGTCCTCGTCAGACAGCAACAGACTCTGGGACATGGGCCACGAGCGACGGGGTTCGGCAGAGTCGACGAGCTCGACATCGTCCACATACAGCGCGGCCGACATGGACCTGATGCTGCAAAGGCGAGGTGCGGCGTGCGGGGAAGCGCTGTACCGCCACCAACGGTTCCCTCCCAGCAGGACGTTCACAGGGGCTTCAGGGGCGTCAGGGGCTGGGCCAGATGGCGATAGCGTGGCGGTATCTTATCGGCAATGACAACTCGGTGCTTGTGCCCCACAAGAGGCACAAACCCCCCCACACGTGCCTTCGCGACTGAATCGAGTGAAGTGCAGCGCATCATCAGTGGCCGTCGCGTCCCCTTTCCAGCCTTGCCAGCCCACCTTGACTTTTTAGCCTTGTCTGTATGCTGCATTTTTAGTAGTGGTCCCTCTTTTTTGTAGACACTCCAGTGTGCCTTTTTCGTGATACCCCCCGCCTTCCATTCTCCGTCGACCATCCCCTCGACCTCCATGTCATGGACGTGTCTTCTACGGTTTCGGCTCATACCAGGCAGCGCCAGCCTTAGACGTTTCTACTCTTATTCGTACGAAGCCTCCCGACAGAGATATACCCTCGCCGAAGAGTCATCAGGCGAAAGACCCCGGCCGCTCTACTTCAAAGTGCCCAGCAAGGGCAAACCGACGAAGCAAAAACAGCCGCTTGCCTCGGAGCCCAATCGCCCACTGAGCGCCTCGTTCACATCTGCCTCGCATCTTGAACCCCTCCGACCCGCTGCCCGACCCAAGGCTGCCCTCAGGAACCGCGACGGCGGCTACGCAATCCACGCCCAGAACATGTCGAGCCACGTCCAGATCGTGGCCACGCCCACGGCCGACACGGCTGGTGCAGGCCTCCTCCTCCACTTCGACCACCGCCGTTACCACTTTGGCACCCTCGCCCAGGGCACGCAGCGCGCCATCTCCCAGCGCGGCCACTCCCTCGCCAAGCTTGACAAGATCTTCATCGCCGGCGAGGTCAACTGGGAGACCACCGGCGGCATGCTGGGCATGATGCTGACGGTCGCCGACGGTCTCGCGGCCGTCGCCCAGGATGTCAAGAACTCCAACGAGGCGAGGCGCAAGGAGGGCAAGCGCGAGATCGCCACGCCCAACAAGACGTTTGAGATTTTCGGCGGCAAGAACACAGCACACACCGTGGCCACGGCGCGAAACTTCATCTTCCGCACCGGCATGCCCATCAAGGCCGTCGACCTGACCCTCGACCCCCGCGCCGCCGCCGCCGGCAGCCCGACGCCGCACGACTATTCAAAGCCAGACTGGGAGGACGACACCATCTTGGTGTGGCACGTGCCGGTCGTCAGGAGCCGCCCTGCGGCGGCGGCGGCGGCAGCCGCAGCAGCAGCAGCCACAGCTGCTGGAAATGGTACGCGCCCGGTGCGGAAGCGAACCTTTGACGTGATGCACGACGCTGAAGCCGGCGCTGCCGTGACAGATACGAGATTGGGGAGCCAGTCGCCTCGCGCGCGGTCCCGCTCCGCCTCGCCCCCGCGGAAAAGGCAGCAAATCGCCGACAACACGGTCCACGACATTGTCGAGAACATGTTCAACTCGGACTGGAGCAAGGACGGCCTGTTCGAGACCAAGCTCGCCGACGTGCAGATGCCGGCCAAGATCTTCATCCGCGAGAACGGCCACATCAAGAAGTACAACGGACCGACACCGAGCACGAGGGATGCTGTTGTGCCTGACATTACGGTCCTCGTTCGCAAGCCCTGGCCGAGTGCCTTGGTCACCGACCTGCCGCCCACGACCATGTCTGACACGTCGCTTTGCTATATTGTCAAGAACAGGGGGCGTCGTGGAAAGCTGAACCCCAAGGTCGCGATCGAGCTGGGCGTGGCCAAGCCCGACTTCAAGCGCCTGACCGCTGGTGAGACGGTCAAGGCCATGGACGGCAAAGATGTGACCCCCGATATGGTGCTCGAGGCGCCTATGAAGGGCCAGGGCTTTGCCGTCCTGGCCATCCCCTCTCTGGAACACGTGTCTGGCTTCCTCGGACGGCCCGAGTGGCAGTCGGACGAGCTGCTCGACAATGTCCAGATCTTTTACTGGATCTTTGGAAAGGGTGTCTTTGATGACCCTTCGATCCAGGACTTTATCAAGAGCAAGCCCCACGTCAGGCATCTCGTCATGGGCGCTGACATTTCGCCCAACATGATCACGTACGAGTCTTATGCGGCCCTCTTTACCAAGCTGCACCGACTCGACCCTGCACGATTCCCCGTGCTCCAGTTCGACAACACATTCCGCGATATCCCCAAGGTCGACGGCCTGACGGTGGAGATTGGCCGTACTGGCATGAAAGCCCACATGCTGCCCAACTTTAAGATTAACGACGCCGAGATCGTTCCCTTCCCTCTGCTCAACGAGGCCGAACAGATCGATGCGCAGGTCATCGCCTTGGCGGAAGAAGCCAGGCAAAAGGTGGCTGAGCCCAGCTTCACCGACCTCGTGGAGCAGGACGAGAAGGACATTCCCAACCGGGATGCCCTCATTGTGCCCCTGGGCACTGGTTCAGCGGCCCCTTCCAAGTACCGCAACGTCTCGTCCACCCTCATTCGCGTTCCCGGCGTTGGCAGCTATCTCCTTGACGCTGGTGAGAACACCATTGGTCAGCTCCGCCGCGCGTTCCCCGCAGAGGAGTACGAAGCCATCATGAAGGAGCTCCGCTTCATCTTCATCTCCCACATGCACGCCGACCACCACCTCGGCCTCGCCGACGTCATCGCGCAATGGCGCCGTCTCACGGCGGCCGGAGACGGCCAGTCCGCGCAGCAGCTCGTCATATGCGGCCCGACGCCCATGGAACGCTGGCTCGGCGAGTACAGCCAGGTCGAGGACCTCGCGCTGCGGCGCATCAACTTTGTCCGGTGCGACAGCGTGTCGTGGAAGACGCGCGGCGGGTCCATCCCCGGCGCGCCCCTCGACAGCGGCCTCGCGTCCGTCGTCGCCGTGCCGGTGCAGCACTGCCACCAGGCCTTTGCCGGCGTCCTCACCTGGCCCTCGGGCCTCAAGATCGCCTACTCGGGCGACTGCCGGCCGAGCAACGACCTCGCCGACGCCGGCCGCGGCGCCACGCTCCTCGTGCACGAGAGCACCTTTGACGACGACAAGCGCGACGACGCCCTCGCCAAGAAGCACTCGACCATGGGCGAGGCCCTCGGCGTCGCCAAGCGCATCGGCGCCCGCCGCGTGCTGCTGACGCACTTTTCCCAGCGCTACGCCAAGATTCCCCTCGTCGAGCAGAAGATTGAAGCTGCCGAGGCCGGGCCCGAGGCCGAGGCCAAGGACCAGGTCGTCCTCATGGCCTTTGACCAGATGCAGGTCCGGCTCGGCGAGTTCAGGCACGCGGCGGCGTTCCTGCCGGCGCTGCGGCGCTTCTTCGAGGTCGAGGAGGAGACGAAGGAGGCGGAGAAGGAGAAGGCCAAGGAGGCGCACGAGGCGGTGGAGAAGAAGAGGAAGAAGTAGACAGCTGGCGACGTAGAGAACGAAGCACACAGCGGATGAAAATAGAAGCCTCACGACTTGGAGTACTTGCCTGATCCCTATGCTCTCCGTTTGCCTCGGAGCATTGTCTACTACTAGCTGTGTTGCTGAGATTATGGTATGATAGGCAAACAGCCAAAGACACTGTCCACGTGTAAGCATGATGTGTTCTGAAAACCCGACGAGCAACGGTAAGCTTGCATACGGTGGGCTGTCAAGCACGCCGCGACGGGGTCCTGCGACTCGGTCCAGAATACGTCGATTCCTTATCTGACAGCAAAGAAATGAGGGCTTCCACCGCCATGACCGCGGCAGAAAGCTGAAGGCCGCAGCAAAACTTGCTTGCCCAACTTGGCAGCGTTGTCGGGCAGGCATCCTGTTCCTCGGTGCTAGCCAGTTGATGTTCGGCCTCTACTTGCATTATCTCGCATCTCGCTCCTTTTGATTATTGCTGCAAATGGCGTTTCCCCGATCGCCCTCCATGACTCTACAGCAGAGATTTGACGACATTCCTTGCGTTGGCTGAACAAGTATGCAGTGTCAGCCCAGATATCGCCTGGCTACTTCTCATCTACCAGAGCTTGATCAGGTCCTGCTCGCGGGGCTGGTGCTCGACAACCGGTACCATGGACAGTTTTCCACGAACATGTACATCTTCACAAGGAAAAGACCTCAAATGCCCGCGACCAGAGACATCTTGTCGCGATGGGATCTTGTCGCGATGGGGAGGACAAGTCTGTGGGTCGAGCTGACCCAGCCGTCATATACCGCACAATTTTCCCTGACTCCCATCGACCGGCCCCTGGTCCAACCAGGGATTTGTTCACAAAACGCGCCGTTGGTCTAGTGGTATGATTCTCGCTTAGGGTCACACCCTGAAGCATTGCTTGCGAGAGGTCCCGGGTTCAATCCCCGGATGGCGCCCAAACTTTTTGCCAATTCGGGCTCTGGTCGATCTATCGACTGTAGTACTCGAGATTCTTTTGAAGGAGGGGGATGCTGCGTCGGGAGAAGGTTTGTTTTGGCCCAGCGTTGTGAAGTTGTCTCTCCACTTGGTGGCAAGTCTGTCATGTCTCTCAGAATACACCCGTGCACATACTCACGATAGGATAGGTAGTGAGTGAAGAAGGCTCGCACTTTAAAGAACTTGTGTGTGGCCATCTATGGAAGGCCCGGATTTGCGAGGACATGTCTTTACCAGTGGTGGACGACACTTGCACGACCCTTGTCATCAGTCGCAACTAGGACCACGACCTGCACGAACAGGCCTTCAGGCTTCAGACCAGCCGTGGGCGAAGATGCTGTCGCGGTGCGGGCAGCGCTGCCCGCAGATTTGGCTGCATGGCGTCTTGTCATTTATCGTACCAGTCACGTCAACACCTTTCGCATTCATGAGACGGGGTGCCTCGAGAGCCCCTCTTCAGGCCGTTGGTCTGGCTCGCGCCGTGGGAACCATTCACCAGCAAGCATGTCTCTCAGAAACACCCGCACACATGCTCACCTCGCAGTGGATAGACCATCGAGGTGGATTGATAGTCCCCCACTGTCACTCCATCATGGCTTCTGCTGTCGATGCTGCCTGGCTTTGGACGTCCCAGCGGACGCACAACCGAACGTCCTCCGTGGTACTGCTTCCAGGTTCGGGTTGAGCCGATCCCCGGCCCCCCTCTCGGCCGCTCGCTGACACTGGCGAACAAATGCATGCAACGGACATAAGGCCGGGCATTCTCCTGGACGAGTGCTGCGTGACCAAGGCTGTGGGGAGCTGCTCGATCCGAACAAGACCGTCTCTCCTCGCCCCCTGGCCTCGCGCGTAAACTGGCAAGTGTTCCGGCTGAGCATCGTGCAGGGTGAATAGCAAGCACCGGAACCTGCAGACGTATACGTTATACGTACAGCTCATTTTGCTTGTAGGCAGTTTACGCGTGTAACGTGCCAAGCTACTGGGGCACTCTACCTTGATGTTTCCATGGGGTCGGGACCTTGACAAGTCGAGTGGGCCGACGGGGAACATTCTGTGTTATGCAGACCACGAACGTGCTACTTCGATGGCTGGGCTGTGTGTGCGTGGAGTAGAGGAGGTTTGTATCATTGGCTCTGACTCCTCCTCTGACTCTCCAGATGCTTGTCGACCACGCATCGCTGGCCCAGGCAGTGGGCTTCCACCACCAGCTGATGTTGATCATGCTATCGAACAGCAGGTACGTGCTCACTCGTTTGCCTTTGTTTGGGTAGCAGGGTGCAAGGCTAGAGACCAGAAGCAGCACAAGTGAAAAAGTGAATCATATTCCCAGGGCAATGCGTCATGGCCGATTCCTGCCCTCGACTGTGGATGTCGATGACAGGCATCACGGGCTCTGAAGCACCATCCCAGCCAAGTCACCTTCGAGTCGATGCAATGTAAAATATCATATCTTCTTGAAGCAAGCAAGCACTATTCTAACCAAAAAAGCATCAGATGCAGAAAGCCTGCCAAAGGGCAAAAGGAAAAAAAAGAAGGTACACAATTAGAGCTAGACGGGACTCGAACCCGCAATCGCTAGAGCCGAAATCTAGCGCGATACCAATTTCGCCACCAGCCCCCGTGGTTGCGGATCGGGGCTCGATGGGAGGGTACATGTACCTATCGTCAGCTCCGACCAGTGGCGCCATGAGCAGCATCTCCGAACGATGCATCCAAACTGTTGTTTGCCGGTCATTGATCACTTTCTTTGCTATCCTCACCATGGCCTACGCTGCAGATATGCACCCGTGTATCCAGCCGACGAGCGCCCACCTGGTTGCATCCAAAGAGGCACGCTCGGCTCGTTCCGACAGCCAGCAAAGGCCCCCAAACCTCCTCTTCCACCACCGACATCGGCTCCACAACGCGTGGGACCGTCTGCCGATTCTACCCACCCGCGTCCGCCCTCTGACTATCTACCTTACCTGAACAGAAAAGTCACATCACGAAGACCACCCCCCCTCGCCAGCGCAGACAACCGCCCTTCACGGACGCCAGCACGCGAAGCAGAGAGTGCCAGAGCAACGGTGACTCGACGAGGTCGTCTTCGTGCAAACCCCCCCGCCCACGTTCCTTCGCTTTGCACCCCCGCCGCCCACGACCCCAAGCCATTCCCATCTTCGTCCGAGTCATCCAAGCCTCGCACGCTCGCTCGCTCACCGCCCGTGCCATGTCCGCCTCGCTCCCCGGCAGCCGGCAGCTGCCCGCGTCGCAGCATGATCTGGATACCTACTGGGGACGCGTCAAGCACGCCGTGGGCCTGACGGATCCGAGGTGCGTACCTGTTGGTGGGAAGCTCCAGCAGCAGCCATTCAATTGGCAGTAGGATTGCCTGTCAATGGATTGGCGACCTGCCATTATGACAGGCCCGCCGCTGCCACACAAACAACACCAACACGAAACAAGACGCTGACGCCGTGGCCCTCACAGCACACTGCTCGTCAACAAGGCGGGCCTCGAGCACGCCAAGACGCTCCTGACCGACTACAAGGAGGGCAAGATCCAGCACATGACGCCCGAGCTGTGGCAGGCCAAGAAGATTGTCGACTCGACGCTGCACCCGGGTACGAGGGACCACCGCCCCGCGTTGCGAGACCATGGGCACTGACACGGAGACACTCTCTAGACACGGGCGAGGCCGTCTTCCTGCCCTTCCGCATGTCATCTTTCGTCCTCTCCAACCTGATCGTCACGGCGGGCATGCTCCAGCCCGGTCTCGGTGTAAGCAGAGCAACCTCTCCCACCTTCATCACGTCCCAACACACACACACACGGCGCGCTGACTTGTTTCTCCTCCCCCCCGCAGAACGGCGGCACTATCGCCTGGCAGGTCGTCAACCAGTCGCTGAACGTGGCCATCAACTCGGCCAACGCCAACAAGTCGTCGCCGCTGTCGTGGACCAAGATGGGCCAGTCGTACCTTGCCGCCGTGTCCGTGTCCTGCGGTGTGGCCGTCGGCCTGAACAACCTGGTGCCGCGCCTGCGCAACCTGACGCCGGCGACGCGCACGACGCTGACGCGCCTCGTGCCGTTCGCCGCCGTCGCCACGGCCGGCGCCCTCAACGTGCTGCTGATGCGCGGCGAGGAGATGCGCAAGGGCATCGACGTCTACCCCGTGCTGTCGGCGGCCCAGCGCGACGCCCTGCGCAGCGAGGGCCGCCAGGAGGAGAGCCTCGGCCGCAGCAAGGCGGCGGCGCGCATCGCCGTCGGCGAGACGGCCGTCAGCCGCGTCATCAACTCGACCCCCATCATGGTGCTGCCGCCGCTGCTCCTCGTCCGCCTGCAGCGCACCCAGTGGCTGCAGCAGCGCCCGCGCATGACCGTGCCGTTGAACCTGGCCCTCATCCTCGGCACGAGCTTCGCCGTGCTGCCGCTCGCGCTGGCCGTCTTCCCCCAGATGGAAAAGGTCACCGATGACAGGCTCGAGCCCGCGTTCCACGGACGCGGCGGCGTCGACGGCATGGTGACGTTCAACAGGGGCATCTAGGGGCGGGCTCGTCAATACAGAATCACAAAAGGGTTGCATGCTCGAGGCGTTTGGTGTTGTAGTAGACGTGGAATGGCAGTGAGCGAGCTCAGACACCAGAGGGGTCCGGGTTTTGACGCGAGACCGGCGGCCTTGTTTCACGCGCTTTTTCTGACTGCGCCGGGAGAGGAGAGGACGCTTTTTCTCACTGGCAAGAACCGGGATGATAGAGGACGCTTTTTCTCACTGGTAAGAACCGGGATGATAGAGGACGCTTTTTCTCACTGGCAAGAACCGGGATGATAGACGACGCTCTTCTTGCCTGGCAAGAAATCGGGATAGAAGAAACACACGCAGCAGGCCCCAGACAGGGCCATATCTCGTTGGCCTGCTCTTTCCCTTGCTGTGAATGCCCGTTCATCGTGTGCTCAATGCAGACCCGCGCGGTCTGCTCCACGCAGCCTCGCGGCAATCCAACAATACCTGGCAAGCCACTGGTCCTGGACGCTGCGTCCTGCCACATGCGACCTCGCATCTGGTCAAAGCAAGGCTGGCACGTCTTGTGCCTCCCACTGGCCGAGCGCGCACCTAGGCGGGGTTGAACTGCGCCGACCCTCCTTCTCATCGTTATTGTTAGGCCCAGGCACCGCTGCTGCTTTCGTGCCCAACGACACAGCCGGGCCCGTGAAGCAAGCATCCTCACCTTGCAAGACGTTGCTTGGGTGTTCGTAGCATGCGCCGCTGGTCACATGAGACTGGAACCGTGACGAGTGCATCGTGTTCATAGGGGTCTTTCCGTGACGCACTTAATCAGGCTCCGGCTCCGGGATGCTGGCCGTTTCGTCGCACCCTACTGTGCATTTTCTTGTTGAAGGGGCCCACGTTCGAACCTACAGAGATGCGTCGAGCCACCGCGTTCTACGCCTACGCCGGTGTTTGTGCAGCGCCGCACCACTTCCTCGGCACAGTACACAGTACGGTATCCCCACGACTTGTCCCAGCAGCGTCGAGGGACAGTCGTGGCTGACGCAGCGGGCCGTCTCGTGTTGAGATCTCGTCCCACAGGCTTTTCGTGATTCACGTTGAGTGCACTGGACCCCTGCTAGGCGTGCGTGACGAAGGCAAAGGGGGACTTGCCACCCTCCATCAGCCAAGACGGAGATGGAGGAGGGGGTGGACGGGCGGGCAACAGGAGACGGCGCCGGTAGACATCTCGGGCCTGAACAGTGAAGTCTCGACGGGACAACCATGGAATGCGCCGACGGGACGCCATGGAGTGCGCCGACGCGACACGCAAGTGAAGACCAGGAACAGGCTGGTGGGCCCCATTTCATCATCGCCCGGCGGAAAGGGCCCCAGCAGGCGATTCTTTCAGTGGACTTCCGGGTGCAAGTGGAAATGATCGGCTGCCTGTATCGCCAGGGTGAAACACGACTGCGAAAAGTGACAAGCAGGGCAGGCCGGTTCTCTGGGCGAAAGGCGAAAGGCGAAAGCGAAACGACTTGCCTCGAAGGTCACCGTTTGGCCATCACATTGCATATGTCTCTTCTCAAGCGTGCTGGTGACAGAAACGCATCCGCAGACGTCTTGATTTGGTGACGGGCCGACCAAGTGATGGAAGCGGCCTGGTGCCATTGGATCACCGCTCGCCCGTCAGTGCTTTGTATTCGGTTGCTGCGGAATTCACAGTCCCACCTGGCGCTCGATTCGCTAGCCCTTGGTGTTCACTTGCTATCCTGCACAGTCGGGCGGTGCAGTCGGAAGCATCGCCAGCGTGCTGAACCTGTTCTTCGCCGTCGTGCTCGTTCCATCACCCGCACGGCACGTATTGCCCTCGTCCCTGAGGCATCTTCGTCCTCGTCCCTGAGGCATCTTCGTCCTCGTCCCTGAGGCATCTTCGTCAGCGTTACCCTGATCACCAATGTGCCTCCCAACCAGAAACAATCGCCCGCTCGCCAGTCACCCCGAGACCTGGACACCCGCCCAGACCAGCCCTGCAGCGCCCCAATGACTGGCGTTCCCTGGGCACCAATAACGCCATGCAGGCACTCTAGAGCAAGGCCCACAGCGCCCTCTGAACCGAAGGCCGGGGTGGATCGACCCGAATGCTGGAGAGAGGGGTCTTAGGGTCCCATCGATACCGTCGCAGTGACTTCATCGTCTGACTCGGGGGGCGGCGACCGTGTGAGCCCGTGAGCATGGCCGTTTGAGACGCCAGGGATGTGATGGTCTGGGATACACTGAGCACGCGAGTGGGCGGCTGGAGAATGAGAATTGATCTCTCTCCGCCGTCGGTGCAGGGCAGACGGGCCTCTCCACGTCGTTTATCGCTGTAGGTCGCTGTAGGTGTGCCTTGAATGGTGTTTGTTGTGCCCTGCAGCATTCACGGGTCAGAGTGAAAGCCCGCGCGAGGCACGCCATGCCTCCGTCCCCCCATCGCACCACAGCCTGCATGGCGCCATTCTAGGGTGTGGTCGAACAGCGGCGGCGTGCGTCTGGCGGGAAACAGGACAGGGGGGGGGCCTAGTTTAGCCGCTGGGCGCCGTGCTGAGTGATCTGTTTCTTCGCTGGCCACGGAAGGCCGTCTTCGATACTGATGACGAGCCGCCTCGATAGTCGTAGCAGACGTATCGCTGCCTTTGCCGTCGAAGTCTTGAAAGGCAGATTTGAACAGCTGTCGTGTAGGAGAGCAGGGTCTCCAATTGTTGTACAGCATGGCCATGCACAGAACATTCCCAACAAAGTCAGAAGCGACGGTACCCATCCAAACGGGCTGAGAGAGGCCCGAGGAGCCAAAAGAGGGCCTCGCCACACACACACACACACACAGCCCACGGAAAGGAGGGGCGGGCGATCACGTGCACCAGCCATGGTTGTATCCAGAACAAAGCGGATGATGCCTTCTTCACGTCGACGGCCTCGTGGGTTTTTTCGTCTGGCGAGACCAGCCTGGTCTATTGGGGGGTTGTCTCAATCCATCAGAAGCATCAAGGACTAGGGAGGGACCTTCTGGCCATTGGCGAATTGTCGGGTTGAGGACCAGGAAGAAGCTCGCAGACAAGGGGAGAAAGAGGCGCGGCAACATGAATCGATGCAAGAAGCAAAGTTCAGGAGCGAGCGCGCCCAGCTGGAGGTGCGACGTCTCGACGTGACACACACTGTGTCTTGCGGTTCGAGGCATGGGCATTTGTGATCGGTGTTCCTCGCGTTCGTGGACATCAATGGAGCGCACGCAGTCCATGCCTTTGGTGATGTCTGAATTCGACGCAGCAGCTGACCAGGGCCGTCACCAGGATGCTGTTTGTCTGTCTGTCTTCGACGTGGAAAGACCACATGGTGATACCAGCCAAAGCCGAGGGTACTCTGACTCGCATCATCGACGTGCTGTACAGTGCAGACGGCGCGCGGTTGGAGGAGTGACGGCGAGGACGACAGGTGAATGGTTGAGCGTGTGCGTGTTGGCAGGCAAAAAATAAAGGGAGTAGAAGATCGGATGGGGAAAAGGCGGGCGGGCAGCGATAGCGCCTCGATGGATGAGGCAGTCGGCCCACTAGCGCCCGTCGACCTGGCTCGAATGACACTGTGACGGCGCCCGCTCCCAACGCTGCTTCTGGGGGTGTTTTGTCCACTCTGGCACGCTGTACATAGGTAGGGCTCTCGCTGTGGGAGGAGGTGTCACAGTGCCAGGCTTCGCAGGCTGTCCGTGGAGCTGTGGCGACCTCCACTCCACTGGTCCCGTTGCCGGGTGCCATTGGCCCCCTGCGCAACGGTCTTGACTTTGGTCTTCCCCTCTGTCTCCGTTCCCTTCCGTTACGCCAGGTCGAGGGTGAATGGAGGAAGGCTTGGAGTAGTGCGTGACACGTCAACAGCGACAAGAGAGCAAGGAGGGAATCCACGAAAGGACGGGAAAAGAATGAATCCATTCGCGGAATTGGAACACATCATGGAGGTTGCAATGGAATGAGGTGCCTTGCCTGGAGCATCGAGTCAAGGCCCCGCCCGTCCAAGCCTCCTCCTCCTCCTCCTCCACTACCAAGACCCAACCAAGTTGGACAAAACGGAACGGAAGGGAAAATGGCAGGCGGGCGGTGGTGGGTGGACACTTGGATGGGACAGCGAGGCGAGGTGGCCCGCTTGAGCCAAGTCTGGATCGGCGCCTACCCCGTTCTTTCGCTGCTGCCGTCACCGTACCATGTACAGCAGCACTGGCCAGGCGCACCCAGCTTCACTGTATCGTTCGCTGTGTTCATTCTCACGTCCGTATGGCACAGCGAGCGCAGTTCGCCTTTCGTGTACTTGCCGCTGCTCCGATGTGCGGCTGGGAGAACAGGTACCGGAAAAGACACGACAAAACACACCTGACCTCGTCCAGCCCTGGGCGCCTCTCGTTGTTGTCCTCTGTCCCTCCGAGTTGACCCTCCTGATGAACCTACCTGTCTAGGGAACCTAACCTAGGTACCTAACCTCGAGACCCTCCCCATCCTGTCAACAGCCCCCTCGTCACTTCTCCCTCTTTGTTGATCTCGAACCCCCCGTGCCTTGGTCATCATTCCGCGCCGACAACACGAGAGTCGATAGATACCGCATCACGCCAGCTGAGCGTCCCTCTCTGCCCACAAGTCAGCCGTCACACCCTACCTACCTTTTTTAAGGTACCTTACCTTACAAACGAACGAACGACGGGAACCCGGCACTGGCTGCACGTGCTGTGTCTCGTCGCCAGAGAACCCATGCCCTGAAGGACGGACCACCACAGCACGCGAGACTCCACTGTTGGCCTGAGGACAGCACTGGGGACACGGCACCGCCTGGTACCTGGGTACTCTGGTTGACCACCTTCAGCGCCTCCAGCGTGCCTCCAGCGTGCCTCCCGCCCACAGCCCCCCCCCCCCAGCCCGCAACCCACCAGCCGTAACCCACAGCCCACAAGCCCCCCCCCCCCCCCCCAGGCGACCGCGACCGGCAACCCTCCACCCAGCGCTGGCTTGGGCCGACCGTCGAAACACACACCTCACCTTGTCCAGGTCCTCCTCCACCTCCACCTCCACAGCCTGCCTTGCCTGTCTGGTCTGGCTTGGTCCGTCTTGTCTGTCTGCCTCTCCTTCCGTCACCCGATTCCTCCTTCTCTGCTTCTCCTCCTCCTTCAACAAGCCATCCCATCTCGCCTCGGTCTCTCGATCTGTTCGACACAACAGACTCGACGCTTCTGCCAGAGACGGGGAAAACCATGTCGACCCCAACCACAGCAACGGCCACGCTCCCACCGCACTCTCATTATCGTCACAACCATTATCCCTACGCCCACCATACCCATCCCCACGCCAGCCAGGCCTACCAGACCAGCACCCCCAGCGGCGGCCCTGCATCTTACCACCGCGCAGCGCCCACCGCGAGCAACCCTATCCTCCCCACCCCTTCCTCGACCGCCGCCTCGAGTACGACGACGACGACGACGACAACAACAACAGCTCGACTGCCTCCCATTCCCTATCCTGCGCCCGGCCAGATCGAGTACTCGACGGCCTCGCCGCCCGACATCAATAATCACGCGGCCGCCTCGCTGTCAAATGATGTAGCCCAGCCTGCATCCAACGCTGCCATTCCCAGATCTGCCGCTCACCACCACCACCACCATAACCACCATAACCACCACCACCACACGTCGAGACCCGCGCCCCGATCCGACGCCGCCTACAACACCAGCACCATGCCGACCACCACCACACATACCCAGTCGTCTGCTCAGCAGCCGTCGTCGGCGACGAGGAAGAGGCGGCGCTCCCAGGCCCCCGATTGGGACAAGTTCTACCAAAACGGGCTGCCCAAAGAGATCATTGTCATCGAGGACAGCCCGGAGCCTGGCCAGGCGCCCAATCATGGCGTCAAGGTCATCGCCACAGCTGCCGCGGCCGCTGTGAACGGCACCGCCGCCGCCAACGGTGCCGCCGCTCGCCATGTCGCCAAGCGTCGAAAGCGTGACGACGAACCCCAGCCGTACGACCCCATCTATCACAACAAGTACGCCGGCTCTCACGCACACACGCCGCAGAACCACTCGACCCCGAGTGGCTCCACCATTTCCACCGACAGGACCACCAGCTCGGCTCATCACACAACCGCCGCCACCTCGCTGTCGTCGTCGAACGGCTACCACGAAGACACCCAGGCCGGCCAAAAGAGGAAAAGAACCACCCGCCAGCAGCTCGCCCAAGAGGCGAAGAAGCGGGAGCTCGAGGCCCTCAGCGACACATGTCCCAGCTACAGGCCTCCGCCCTACCCTCCCAAGAAGGCGCCCGACGTCCATGTCCGCGTCATCCACGATGTGCGTCGCCTGCTCCTGCTCCTGCCACCGTTGGCTCCCGGCTAATCCGTCTTTCTGTAGCATCCCTATAACAAGAACAGCAAGGTCGACGACGACGACGGCCACTATGTCGTCGTCCCCGACGCCGACCTCACGGACAAATGTATGCATCTACCTCCTCAGGCACCTTCCTTCCCATGCACCTGCCTTCTCATGCACCTGCCTTCTCATGCATCTGCCTTCTCGGCCTTCTCTCGCCAGCCAGGCGCTAATCTCGCGCAGATCAAATGGTCCAGCTGTTGGGTCAGGGCACGTTTGGCAAAGTCGTCAAGGCCCGCGACCGTCGGAGGAACAAAATGGTCGCCATCAAGATCATTCGCTCCGTCCAAAAATACCGCGACGCCTCCCGCATCGAACTGCGTGTGCTGGCCACCCTCAAGGCCAACGACGACGAAAACCGCAACCGCTGTATTCATTTGCGGGACTGCTTCGACTTCCAGGGCCACATCTGCATTGTCATGGACCTGCTCGGCCAGAGTGTCTTTGATTTCCTCAAGGGCAACAACTTTGTGCCCTTCCCCAACAGCCAGATTCAAAGCTTCGCCCGTCAACTGTTCACCAGCGTGGCCTGTATGTTGTCTCCCTGCCGGGCTGTCGATGGCAAGGCTAACTCTCTCTCTCCGTAGTCCTCCATGATTTGAACCTCATCCACACGGATCTGAAGCCCGAGAACATTCTTCTCTGTGACAACACATATCAGACATTCACGTACAACAGGAAGATTCCCTCTTCGTCGTCGACCGTCAATCGACAAGCGAATCAGAGGAGGGTGCTCTTGGACACGGAGATTCGACTCATCGACTTTGGCTCTGCCACGTTCCAAGACGAGTACCATTCCTCCGTCGTGTCGACACGGCACTACCGCGCGCCCGAGATCATCCTGGGCCTCGGCTGGTCTTTCCCTTGCGACATTTGGAGCATCGGCTGCATCCTCGTCGAGTTCTTCACCGGCGACGCGCTCTTCCAGACGCACGATAACCTGGAGCACCTCGCCATGATGGAGATGGTCTGCGGTTCGAGGATCGACACGCATCTCGTCCAGTCGGTCAGCAAGATGGCCCAGAGGAGCGCAGGAAACCCTGCTGCCAAGTGCGTTTTTTTGTTTCGAAAGATCCCATCTTGTCCTGGCGCTGACGTCACTAGGTACTTTAAGCGGTCCAAGTTGGACTATCCCACGACAGACACTACGCGGGCGTCGAGGCGATTCGTCAAAGCCATGAAGCACCTGACGGTATGTATATGAGGCGCGCACGACACGTCGACCCAGCTTGCTGACGCGCTGCAGGAAATCATCCCGTCCAACAACACGTTCTTCCGGAACTTTTTGGACTTGCTGCGAAAGATCTTCATCTACGACCCGGCGCACCGCATCACGGCGAAGGAAGCCCTGAACCATCCGTGGTTCAAGGAGCCGGCGCAACCCGACGACGGCACAGAGGCGGCTAAGATTCGCCTGGAGCGGACGAGGATGGAGCAAGAGATTGCTCGCCTGCCCCACATGCACGCGTGACGGACCCGGCTGATGAACCACGACACTATACTTATGATCTCGGCGTTGAGGGCCTCGGAGTTCCGGATTGTACAGCGGCGGGGAGGCGCAGACCAGGACTGGCATGTCAGAGTGGCCGTTATACCAAGCATGCACCCACACATGCAGCCTGCTTTTTGGCTTCCTCCGATCGGATGCCACGCCCATCGATGGAGTGGGCTGTTCCGCCAGAGAGGAAGCGACGGAAAGGAGGATGGGTTTCTATACAGCGGACTTGGGGTGAAGCCGACCAACGTGCTGCACACACGCAGACGCCACTGGCAGTCGACCACGTCCGACGAAATACACCCTTTCACCATTGGCCTGATGTGCCCAGCGATGTTTTCTTTTTTGCCCGAGGTACCGATGGAGCGATGAACAGAGAAGCCTGCCGTGACCCAGCGCTACTGGAACAGCCTCAAGCGTAATGATGCTCATTGTCCCTGTGGAGAGCTAGATGTTGTACGTTATACCAGGCAATCATGAGGTATTCCAGTCACTGTTCAGCAACAAAGCCCTTGTGCAAACTGACGCGACATCGGACTGTCTCGAGACTCCAACACGCCTTGCCTACCTCCTACACTCTGCACACTCCCAATGTGCGCCTGCCAACTGCCGCCTTTGATCGTTTAGGGAATAGTCGTCACGCAGAGAATTTGTTGCTCCGTGGAGGACCATGCTTTGTGATTCGAGGGGCCGCCGACCATTTGACACCAAGACGTTGACAGCCCTTGTCCCTTCACAAAGACCGCGCAATGCCTGGGGCATGTTGTTCTGCTCGGCACGGCGTCAGGCATCGACGCGTCGCGCGCATGCTTGGTGTTTCTCGACAGGCTGGGTGGCCGATCCTCCGCCTGGTGTTCTCGAGCACTCGTCTTGAGCGCTGGTCTTTCTGCTGCCTTATAAGGCTTCCTGTCTCTTCGAGACAGAGGAGGAGGATTCGAACCACTAGGAGATGCACAGTGTCTGTCTGAAGGATCATTGAAAGCATACCAACGTGACCGCCAACGCGTAACGACGAGCCCACCATGACTGACCACCACATCGAAGACTTTCCCGTCCGCGCGGTGCAGAAGCTGACTGCCATGCTCACGCTCCCGCCCCAACACGGGCTCGTTCGGCCGACGGCCGGCTGGCAGGCCAGCCAGAGCGAAGCCGTCGCCAACCTCCCCCAGAGCTGCCGGCGTCCGCCCATCGAGGGCGCCAACCCCATCAAGCTCCTCAAGCGAGGGCTCATGAAAATGTCGGAGAAGCACTCACTCCCCCTGGTCCCCGACGCCGCCGTCCTGTGCCAGGCGCACAAGGAGCTCCACCCCTGGCGCATGCGCAGCCTCTTCCTGCTGCTCGCCTCCGAGTGCGGCATCCGGTCGGACCGCATCCGCCGGCACCAGGGCTTCGACGGCATCCCGCCGGCGCAGGACGTCCAGGACTTTGTGTACCGCATGACGTCGATCGCCGGCCTGTGGATCGCGCCCGCCGACTTTGCGGCCCGCTTCGGGTTCCAGCCCGACGTGCTGCGGCCGCTCCGGTCGGGCTGCGAGGCCTGCATGCTGGCCGTCGTCGGCGCACGCGCGCAGCTGCTCGTCGACCTGCGCGCCAACATGCTGGCGCGCTCGAAACGGGGCCACGAGCCGGCCTTCTTGCGCTTCGTCGACGCCTGGATCGAGTGGTTCGGCGACGATGCGAGCGCCGTCTTTGCCGAGAGCCAGGCGCTGTCGGACCAGTTGCGGTCGATCCGTCGCGAGATGGGCCGCCGCCGCCGCGCGAAGAGGCGGCGTGCGCGACGCGAGGGGCGACGGCCTGACGAGGGCGGCGGCGGCGGCGGCAGCCAGAGGCGACGCGAGGACGAGACCACGCCCGAAGGGTACTCGCTGCCACGGCCGCCGCGGCCGTCGGACACGGCGAGGACGGCGCTCACGTGCACCGGCGACGTGCCCCCGTTTCCGGAGGCGCGCATGACGGGCGCCCGGCACGGCTACGAATCAGGTGAGTTGAGCACGCCGCCCCTGTCTGTCGTGCCGTCGAGCACTTCGGAGCCGGACTGGTTCGTGCAGGATCGTCGCAGGTCGCAGGCCAGCCACGACGTCGAGCCCCCGAGCCCACGGGCAACGCGTTCGCCGAGCGCGCGCACCGACGCGCAGACGACGAAGACGAAGACGAAGACGAAGACGACGGCGGCGACGACGAGGCCGGCCCCGCATGGGCCAGCCAGGTCGGAAGCTACTACTTCGCCACGGACAACCACCCGGGCGCCCGCGCCGCCTGGGGCCAACCCGGCGGCAGCGCATCCGCCGACGCGATCCACCCGGCCTTCCAGGGCGCCCTCGCCGCGCCGTCTTCGGGCCCCGTTTCGGAAGCCGCGGCCTCGACAGCGTCCCGCCGTGTGCCGACCGAGTGGACGGACGTCACGGTGCGCACGCAACGCAGCCGCGTCTCGACCGTCGCAGGCCTCACGCGCGACGCCGTGGCTCCGGATGCCGCTCCGCGCGCGGGCCGCGACGACGTGTCGGCGCTGCGCCGCCAGCTCGAGCAGGTGAGTCTCCAGACGGGCGCGTCGCCGGCGCCGTACGCGTCGAGCAGCGGCTACTCGACCGGCACGGGCGGCGCGGGCGGGCAGGAGAGGGAGCCGCCGGGGCGGACGAGGAGGAGGCGGGGCTCCTCGGCCGGGGACGAGTTGGCCAGTCGCCGGAACCACTTTCCTCCGCCTCCTGCGTCGCGGCGGCGGACCGTGTCGGAGGTGAGCGAGGCGACGGAGGGGACCGTGTTTGCCATGTTCATCCGGCATCATGATGAGGTGCGGCCGGGGGACTCCATCTCGACGGTCGGCGGTGGCGGGCGTCGGGCTGGGGGGCTCGGGGGGTTGACGCGGAGTGGAAGGTGAGTTGTGTTGGTTTCCTGAGGCGTCTTGGCATGTTGTGGTTCATTTGACGTGTGATGCTGCTGCTGGCTGACTTCGATCGTGCGTCAGAGCCGCTCTTCATATTCATGAGCAGGTCTCATGCTGTAGAAATGGGAGAAAGAGAGGATAGGGAAAACAATTGAAAAGCTGTGGGGAATTTTGAGTCGCTACTGTGATTGAATATGGTGAGCATCATTAAGTGAGTATGATAAGCTGCGTCGAGTGAGAACATGCTTGAGGACCTGGCCTGGCACTAGACCAGGGCAATTCAGACATCTGCTGCAGTTGTTCTTTAAGTTTAAACCGGTGGGTGCTAGCCATGTCGCTGTCTTCACTTCAGCTGCTGATATCATGTGGTTTTACGTCTCGCGAGTGAAGGTCCATGAGTTTTTCCCACTCCACCTGAGACAGTCAGAAGAATCCGTGCCACATTCTTCATTTCAGGAGCTCTCGGGTTCACAGGAGCCAAATATCATCACGCCAATGCAACATTTTGGACAATCACTCGACCCAAGGCAAAATCGCGTCGACCATGAATGAACAAGACCTCAGCAACAACCACTCTTGCAACACTCGAGTAAATTAGTCAGCTAGAAAGCCACGCTCCGTGTGCATGCTGCACATGTTTCAGCATTGGAACGTGACGTCATTTGAGTTGTGTGGACAAAAAAACGTGTTGAAGCTCAACTATCACGAGAACTTCAAAAAGAACAGTTAGATCTGAACGGGACTCGAACCCGCAATCGCTAGAGCCGAAATCTAGCGCGATACCATTTCGCCATCAGACCGGCGGCTGCTGTTTGTTGACAAAGAGCAAAGGAATGAGGGATATATTGTCTTGAGTGGTGCGCAGGGATCGGTAGCTTTGCCGACTGGGCTAGTCCGGGCCACCCCAATCCCCACAATGTGAGACAAACTCAGGTCAGCATGGCCCGTGCCAGTGCGAGTGCACAGTAAGTTAGGCTCAGCCAAGCCTCGGGACCACCTCACAAAGGTTGTTCCTTGGCTTGAGCTTACCGCATATCAAGATGACATCTTGAGGCGAAGGAACACGATGTCACGTGAACTGTCATGCTTCACGGCATCAAGCTTATGTAATCCACTCACCAGTCTTGGCTTTCGTTGCAGACGTCGTGTACTTGGGTCACCACAATGTCGTAGCATAGCCAGGATGATGCTCACTTGCTATCCCAAGAGTCGATTGATGGTACCCACAATGCCGGGTTGGTTGATACACCACCTCATGGTTATTCTGCACTGTGAGAATGTTATGGGACATTGAAATTTTGCGGTGCTGATGGCCAAGCACATTCCGCCGAACGCACCTCTCAAGACATAGCATCTCTTAACATGTTGCTGAACATGGTTGCGAACATGATTATGCAGACAACTTCAGGACTTTTATTACTCATCGTCATTATAATTGATGCCCATTGATGGCAATAACTGGTATGTACAGTCTCTGGACATTAACCTGCCCCCAGCCATACATGCCCACTATTGATGATACCATGTCTCGGTAACATATTGTAGTAGTTCATAGAATGATATAGCAATCCATGGACAGGGCTTAAATATGTTTCTTTGATGGCTCCTCTCAAAGTCTCACACTAATGGTAAGCTGTACGGCAACATGGTGGAATGTTACCTTCCAGCACAGACATAACTTGGTGACTCAAGCTATGAGAAGATAACCCGAGCTACCTTGGGTAGCTCCTCACGAGGATGAGTGAAGTTGTTGGTGTCGATCTAATCCACAAGCATCTTTGCCTTCTCACTTCTACATAGCATGAACTGGAAATCGTCGAGACTGTTGGCCACTTGGCGACAGCTACCTCGCCTTGGTCGTTAATCAGTATGCTCCAGCATGTTGTCATTATACCTAGGTAGGTAGAACATACCCAGGTTGAGCTATGGTCTTCGTATACTTGCAATTTGAGGGATCATCAATCATCATGCTGAGATAAGCGAGTGTATGTACTCAGCTCAACAAATCGCCATGTTGGAGCAGACCCAAGGTCTGCTCGCGTTCTCTCTGAAAATCCATAATCATGCCACCAGCGATAGGTATCCCAGAATGTTACTGGTGACGAAAGGCCAATAAGTCTTTACACTTGAATTGAAGAGCATCATGATAGGACTCGCGGGCACGTGCCTCGTCATCTATTTCTGCTCCTTCCTCGACTTCGGTCTGGCTAGGTCTTGTGACTCTAGGCATCCAGATAGGGTTAATTATTTTCTCTTACCTCTGCCACTTTCCTGTTTGCCCTGAAAATTCAACCCACAACCACCACCATCACAACCACCACAACCACCATCACCACCATCATCATTATCATCACCATCATTATCATCACCATCATCATTATCATCACCATCATCATTATCATCACCATCATCATCATCATCATCATCACCATCATTATCATCACCATCATTATCATCATCACCATCATCATCATCACCATCATCATCATCACCATCAGTATCATCACCATCATCATCAACATCACCATCAGCAGCAGCAACACCAACACCAGCACCACCACAGTATGTAACTGCCAGCAATGTCAGGTGCTCGATGGCTAACATAGATGCCAGATGAGTGCCAACAACAACGACGCGGCCATGGGCCAATCTTGGGCGGTCTCAGCCGAGCAGGACCTCACGGACGAGGTGGCTGAGTCGTTCATTTATATAAAGCAAGAGTTCGAAGAAGAGGATTGGGAGGACGAGGCTAGAGAACCCCTCGCCAGAAACAACGAGGCCGCCGACGAACCACCCGTCTGGTCCCAATATCCCAACGAGGTTTACCCTCGTTTCGACAACCAGGGCGTCTTTCCCATCGGAGGCGACCCGCCATTTACCACTGTCGCCAGCCGACTCTACCCCCTCCCCCTCCCACCCGCCGCCACCCCTCTGATCCCGAGGCCGAGGCCGCCAAGGTTTACACCATGTTCAAATGTGGCAAGAGCGAAGACGGGCCCGAGTACGCGGTCAGGCCCTGGTCCACGACGATAAAACGCCATCGAGGGGCCGAATGGCAGCCATACTGTGCCCAAGATGACGGCCCACTCCCGGAACCGCACACGGCCGGAAGGCTCATCGAGCCATTTAACAAAACCCTGCCCGACTTATATCAAAAGGGCTTCAACATGCTTTTCAACAAGCGGGACGGCGGCGAGACCTCCCTGGACTTACTAGACTGCTCGCCCGGTGCCTCGCAAGCTTTCTATGGCTGGATCCCCAAGCGCTTCATGCCCAGGCGGGGTACCATCGGATACTGGGGCTTCGACGGTGACTGCATGGACAGACAGTTCAGGGGCTGTCAGCCACAAGCAGCGACGACAAACGGCGGAAGCAACCGCGAAAGATGGCTTCGTCGGCTGGGACCGTTTTCCGGAGCCCGCAGGGCAATACCATGCGGCTCTCGGTCAAGCTGCGGCAAGAAAAGAAGCCGGGGCAGCATCAAGCTCGGCAAACCCAGCGCCGCCCCTCCTCCCATTCGACTCCTTCCCTTCCCGGCCCCTCGCAGCGACCACCTCGAGTGGAAGACGAAGCCAGCCTCCGGGTGCTGGACACATGTTTCGCGCTGCTGAACGACGCAACCTTGGAGGATAACCTGGAGCAAAGGGGCCTCGCCAAAAAATATGCGGCGGCCGTCGATTGCTTGCGCCAACTGCGCGATCTCTTTGTCGCCAGGACTCGACCGAGCTGCAACGTACCGATCCCAACCCTCGCCCCTCGCCCACTCTCGCCTCTGCCGCCATGCCTCATCAACGTAGTGGGCCGCAAGGCACCACAAATGTGGCTTTCAGACCCCCCGCCGCCGCCGCCGGAAAGAACTTGGCTGAGATGGAGCGAGAAGACGAGGAGAAAAAGTCGCTTTTCGCAAGACAGAAAGCCAGGTACCACGCTGGCGAAGAGATCAAGCTGAGCGAAGCATGCTCGAAGATGCTTCGTTACATGAAACGAAACCCTCCTGGCCCTCGTCCGCAACCCTAAACCTCCCCAACACGCAGCCTCCTGGGCCGCAAGGCACCACCCACCACCCGATAGACCGCAAGAAAACACCCGCTGTCCTTGGGCCGAAAGGCACCACCACTGCGCCGAAAGGCACCACCACTGCGCCGAAAGGCAACACCGCTGGGCCGAAAGGCACCACCACTGCGCCGAAAGGCAACACCCTTGGGCCGAAAGGCAACACCCTTGGGCCGAAAGGCACCACCACTGGGCCGAAAGGCAACACCCTTGCGCCGAAAGGCTTGGGCCGAAAGGCAACACCGCTGGGCCGAAAGGCACCACCCACGTCTCATGGGCCGCAAGGCGTCATTCAGAGTGTTTCGTGGTTGTGGAGAACTGCTGCTTGTTGATGCGGAAATGATGCGACTCTTCGGGGTCGTTGATCCGCCACTATGTCTATTGCTTGCGATAGTCATGGAGGCGGAGGTTTCATAGTGATCTTCGGATTCTATTATGACCATCCACACCTCGCGAGAGGAATGGCATTGCACAGACACTTGTGGGAGGAAATGTCTTGAAACCGAGGATAATGCATCATGTTACCTGCTTGGGGCTACATCATTGAGCACATGTCACAAGATAGATGGTCATGTTTTGCTACTGAAGACATCAAATCTTATGCATTAGCTATGATACTGTTTAAATGTTGCTTCCAGTACTAGTGACCACTCCAATCATACTCCCGAAACCAGGATCACGTAGTATTCATCGCTTGCCGAACGCTGTCTCTGACCACGGAGTCAACCCCATATTTACGCCAGCCTCACAGCAGTTCTCATACCTCTAAAGGCGGTCAAGCTTTTCCACTCTCTCTCTTGAACTACCCTGGTCTGCGAGAAGATGAGCTCTGGGAACAAAGACGACGTGGACATGTTCATTTGGGTTCTGAATTGAAGTGACGTACAATCCTCGGGTGGGTACACAGGTAGTGCTAACTTGTGCCTCCAAGCAAACCGCTTCACCAAGTTCTCCCTTCGCGGACCGGTCGCCAATAGCCCTGGGTTCTTTCCACGTCTGGAAGTCCATCATGGTGTGGGCACTACATGCCGCGAGCTGACACTTAACCTGCCAGCCTTCGCGTCGGTTCAGTGTCCGTAAGGGTAAGTAGACTTTCTCTCTCAATCGTTGACAGTCTACACTAGCTACCTTACTTATCACCGCCACTGACCTATCACCGCTACTGAGCACCCAATAGCAGCGACTTTGTGACCTTCCACTTAGGCAGCTCCTGGAATCGCCCAAAAGAGGGGGAACGGCGAGAGGGCCATGGTTTCACTGGGCTCTCAGACCTGTTCAATGGGCTCTCAGACACGACCAAAAGCTTTCCCCTTGAGGAGCATCGCTGGGCGAACAGAGGTGCCAACTCATGACGAGCAACGCTGTTAGTATAGCCAAGGCAAGGCGCTCGCAGCACCACATAAAAGGCCGAGTTTGCGAAAAGTAGCCAACCGATACAACAGACTTAGAGGCGTTGGTACTATAGGAACCGAAACAACCGAAGCACATTCTAGCAGAACATCCTCCCCCCGGATGACGAAATGAATCTCATGAACTAGCGGACAACTGGAATATGGCTATCGTGACAGTCAATGGGTTCTGCGCTTACGAAGGCTAGACGCTCCCTCAATGAACCCAGACTGGCGACCTCATAAACGAAAAGGCCTCCAGGTACACGAAAGGGATAAACATAATGATCCTGTTGGGAAACACAATACCCAGCCATCGCAACGTCCTCAAGGATTCAGGAGTGAAACCAAAAGGGCTCCTGACAACGACATGGAGACGCCCACCTGCACCACGCGACGGCCTGCTGCAGCGTAGGAGGCCTATTGTGCTGAGATTGCGCCTTGTCGCAATCAAGCCTGCCTCCCCATTTCTTCTACGTTTGAACTTGGTCTCAGTGATTGCCCGGTTCATGTCCGCCGCTCCCGCGGTGTCCTGCCGCGCGACGAACTTTACTTGCAACAACAACCAATCCTTGTCACACAAGCCAGGAGGCAGGAAACCTTATCGCATCGGCCTCGGCAACGGCGGAGGGACTACACAAGGCACTACGTAGCTACCCTAGATACAGGTGTCGATTTCTCCCGCCAAGTCCTCGTTCGAACCGTATGCTGCCGGGCATGAGAAGGACAAGGACGGCGTCCACGTCGGAAAAAAAGCCTCGTACATTGAACCACGTACACCGAAGAACCAACATCACACCGCCTCATCGCGGCATTGATCTAAAGGGGGTATAGTCTATTCTACGCCACGCGCCGCAGAGCCTCACTGCCCCTCGCCCTCGGCCTTGAGCTTCGCATAGCCCTCCCGCCCCAGCGTCTTGTCAAAGTCGGGCCTCGTCAGCTCGATCGCCGCCAGCGTGCGGCTGTAGGTGATGCCGCCGAGGCGGCCCACGGACCGCAGGACGTCGGCGTCGACGAGGTTCCGGTCCTCGTTGACGGCGTCGGCGCGGGCCCAGAACTTGGTGCCCTCGATGACGGCGAGGGTGCCCGACGTGGTGCCGGGCGTGGCCCTGCTGGCCCACTCCTTGGTGAAGACGAGGGTGCCCTCGATGGCGACGACGGCCTCGCCGACGCGGGCGACGCCGTTGTCCGTGTCGCGCAGGGGCGTCAGGCCGGCGACGTGCCACTCGGAGACGCCGTGCGGGGCGTTGATGGAGGTGGCGTTGGCGGCCTCGAGGAAGGGCTCGGAGATGATGTTGAGGACGACGCGCTCCGTCTCGACGAGGTTGCGCAGCGAGTCCTTGGGCGCCGCGAGGCCGCTGGAGAAGCCGACGCTGAAGAGCGGCGGGTCGTGGTTGATCATGTTGAAGTAGCTGAAGGGCGCGAGGTTCTCGCTGCCGTCACGGGCCCGCGTCGACAGGAAGGCGATGGGCCGCGGCGTGATGGCCGAGATGAGGAACTTGTAGTTGAAGCCGGCGGGGCGGCCGGCGGCGTGCGGGTCGATGGCAACGTGCGAGGCCGACGAGGACGTGTTGGCGCCGTCGCCGTACTGCCAGGCGGGCGCCGGCGTCTTGGTGTAGTGGAAGGAGGCCGAGGAGTCAAAGTCGGGGCGCGCGGCCTCGACGGCTTTGAAGTCGCCGTGTGGGTTGCGCGGCGCTGCCTCGGGGAGCTTATCTGAGGACATTTTTGAGGTGGTTTGCGTCAGTGATCGAGTAAATAGTGAAGAGCCTAGGGTGGCAAGACTCGGTCTGAAGTTCTTGTTGGTGAGATGGTGTCGAGATAGTGTGCTTCGGAGCAGTGACATGGAGGGCATCCGGTACTCTTATGAAAGAAGACCCGGGAGTTGTGAGACCGACTCGTGTCTGCTAAGCTAAGGCGCATGGGGGGGACCCGTCTCTAGTGCGTAGAGATGTCGTTTCGCGGGGCTGTGGTCTACGGAGGGGCTATAGTAGACGAGGAGGCCATGGTCCACGGAGGAGGGGATAGTCAATGGAGGGGATAGTCAATGGAGGGGATAGTCAATGGAGGGGCCAGGGGCCAAAAGATGATGCAAGAAAAGTCATGACGCCCGCCATTGGCCCATCGCAGGGGTTCCGCGCCCCCCCGCGACCACCCGGATCTCTCGGTGCCCACCGTTCCGACGAGGGTCCCTTCTGATTCGACAAGAGCGCGTCAACGGCTTCCGGATTTCGGCATTCCGGCGCAGCCATTTGGACGGTTGAGGCCGATTCAATCGCGAGGACAACACCAGACCTTTCACCAGACCTTTCACCAGACCTTTCACCAGACCTTTGAACGAGACCTACAATCCCAGGCTAGTCTGGGGAAGACAATGCCATACGCGTTCTCATGCTACCATAGCTAACAATGCTCATGAGCGCTAACCTCACGTTACGACTCCACACACGCACCAACGCCCCGGAGATCCGTATTCACGACCAAGTCATCCTTGCCCAGCATGTGCATAACAATGGTGAGCCCCTCCACAGCCATGCCTCCGTCGCCACGCCGCGAAGCATCATCCGTTTCGACGCCAGCGTCAGCCATCCTTGCTGCGGCCTCACCCACCGCCCGGTCATTGACACCCTCACGCGACGACATTTCAGCCTTGAGATGGCGCACCTCAGCCGTCAGCGCCAGGTACCTCTCCCTCTAGAAACAGCTGTGGTTCGGCGGCATGATGGGTATCGGGCTGTACACCTCCATCTCCTCCTGGCGTGCCGAAGGCGGGGAAGCCACGGGCAGGATCGATGTGGACGCGAGAACGTGCTCGACTTCGGCGACGGTCAACGTCTTTGTACTGCTTCCCACCGTGGGTCTGTAGGGCAGGAAGAGCTCGTCCGGATCGTTCTGCCTCGTTGGTGTCTCGTCGCGATCGCTCGCCGAAGCGGTCGCTGCCGTGGCGGCGCCCGTGACAGAGCATGTCGAGCAGTCTGGCTTGGCCATCCCAGCCACCGAAGCGGCAGCTCGCTTCGTCTGCAGATCTGCTGCCTCGGGGTATGTTACCTTGCGCAGCTGGTGCTGTCGAAACGATGGTGCCGACGCAGGCTCGGCCACCTTGGATGCGAGGGTGTCGGTCTTTGTCAATGCCCGTAGCGGTACGTGATTCCACAGCACCGAGTGCCTCTGCTGTTCTTCCGCGATGGGCGTCGTCTTCATGACGGGCTTGAGTCTCGGCCACGACGCCGCGCCGACAGTCACGTCGGCAGTATGTGGCGGCGTTGTCGGTGGTCCGCGCGTGTCCTGGACGTGGGACGATGCCTCGGCTGTCGTTTTCGCATCCGCCGTGAAATTCGTGTCCGTCTTCTTCAGATGCAGACTGGCATCGCCTGCGCGCTTCTCGGGACTGGAGAGCCAGGCTGGTGGGTCGGAAAGCCGCGCCTTGGGCGTGGCGATCGAGCTCGGTCCTGGTTTCTTGCCTTCTTTGCCATCGGCAGAGAGTGAGTGTCCGTGTGGTCTCTCCTGCTCTCTGATGCGCGAGAGCGGGTCTTTTCCCATTGTGTGCGTCTTCTTGATCGTGTTGACCCGCGCGAGGGCGTCTGTACCGATGCTGTGCGGTGCTGGACGCAGCGCCGAGGGAGAAATCGACGACGTCTCGCGGCTCGATGCAGGTGAGTAGGAGAGCCGCCGGGCCGGGCGAGCTGAGACGCTTCTCCCGGGTTCCATGGCGGCGGAGCCAGCGGCGAGATGCTCCATGATGTGTTGGGCGTGGTACATGTCCTCGGCATGATGGTAAAGCTGATCAATCTTCTTGTCGAGAGAGTTCATCGACTGGCAATGCGGCTCCTCGGTCTCGGCATCCAGAAACGGGTCGCCTTGTGCCGTGTTCTTTGCCACGGCGTCCGCGTGGGTACCCGGCCCTTGAGCTGTTGAGTGCCCGGAGGCATGGTGGCTGGTGTGGTGTGTCAGCAGACGCTCCCCAGGCTGAACTGGTCCATGTCCTGGTCCGACGTCTGGTCTGCGTACAGAGGGTCCCTGCTGATGTGGTACACAGTCAGACAGCCGCGTGGGTTTCCGTGCCCGGGCTGCAGTACCAGTCATCTTAGGCTGGGCGATGTTGCCCTTGGTTCTCTGATCCGCAATGACAAAGGGGTTGTTCTTGACAGCGATGTGAGCATTGTCTGACGACGTCTTCGGATCTGTCTCGGTGCGGGGTCTGTTTGACGGCGTCGTGGGTATTGTGTTCGACGTCACCTGCTGCCTTGTCTGTGGTGTCTCGGGATGGCCCTCGTACGAAGGAACAGTGACGGTCGAATCGTCAGCATTGCCGTTCGCTGGCGAGGTCGTACACTTGACACAAGTAGAGTGTCCGCAGTCAGAACAAAACTTGTTGGTCGTGACGGGCGCACCGCATGAGTGGCAGACCCGAACACGGTCGGTCTTACTCTTTGTCCCGTCGCCTGCGAAGGCCACGCCGTCGTCTTCCGAAAGCCAGCCCTCTGGTAGGTCGATTCCGAACTCGTCAAACATGTCTCGAGCATCCTGGCGGCGCATCGTGGACGTGCTGATTGCACTGTCTGCGGACACGCGAGATTGAGCTGATACATGCCTGTACAGCGTAGCTGCTTCTCGCAGGTTCGGAGACGTCAGAGCAGGTCGAAGAGCTTGGTGCCGCTGCTGGCTCATGCCTGGCCGCAGACGGCCCGTCGAAACGGTCGGACGGAGGTGGATGAAGGGCGTATCATGGTCTCGCACGCCGTGCTGGCCGAAATGGCCGCCGCGCCCGCGGAACCACAGCTCGGTCAATCCGTGATCCTCATCATGCTTCTTCCGGCCGGATGGCAGACCCAGGAAGGCGTGGTCATGGGCAAGAGGCGTTGACTCTTCGGCATATCGATTCCGTGACGCTGGCTGCGCAAAGGTCACATCAGCTCGTCGACCCTACCCGAGCCATGTGTTCTGTCGTTCTCTTTCGTCTGGCGACTGAGCTCGATCTGCTGGCTCTGGCGCAGCGAGGTGTCGGATGCGAGAAGACACGAGACCCTTGCGCGGGGTGGTGCTCGGCGGTCGGGGAATCGTCGATGCCGTGGACGTCGTGTCGCAGCTTTCCATGGCGGCAGGCGTGCTGATGCCGTAAGAACTAGAATGTAAGCCTTGTAGCCACGGCTGTCAGTCTGGAAGCAGTGCTAAGTACTGCTGTGCAACGCAGAAGAAAGGATGCTGGAGCGAGGAGACATGTAGTAGGACAAAGTCAGCTCCTCATTCTTTCGAGGATGATGTTAGGGCACAGGGAAGGATGAACAGCCGCGTCCGCAGCCGCAGTGGAAAGGAGGAGGCAGAGGCCCTGTTGCTGCCACTAGGGGAAGGCACGACCGGACCAAAAACACGCGCGGAAGGGGAGATCAACAGCATAAAACATCGCAAGAAGCGGTCAATTACGCAACGCGATGCCTAAGGTATATGCCAAATCGGCGGTTAGGGAATCGGTAACTGTGATGTACAACGCCTCCTGCTAGACGGCTCCTCCTACGCTCCTCTATTTCAGGTTCGCCTGCAGGCTCTCGAGAACCTGTTTCAACGTCAGCATGCACGCATCAAATCATAGAGTCAACGGCGAGAACCCACCTCGAGCTCAATCTTGGCCTCAGCAATGTCCTGCTCGCTTCCGCTGCCGTTGGCGACCTTCTGGGCCTCGGCGATCTGGGTGCGGACGGCCTCGGCGGAGAAGTCCTCGAGAGGGTAGCCCTCGACGGCGTTGATGCTCAGGAGGGAGCCGGGCTGGACAGTGGCGAATCCGCCCGAGACTGCGTTTTTCCCACGGGTTAGTGGACCAGTCGATGCCTCGTGTACTGGTTCGAAGGGGGGGTGGGTTCGTCATGACGTACGGAAGAACTGCTTGCTGCCGCCGCTCTCCTCGATGACCTCGATCAGACCAGGCTTCAGCTGCTCGATGCAGGGAACGTGGTTGGCGAGGACACCCATCTCGCCAGACTCGGCGGGGATGTTGACCTGGACGACATCCTGGGACTTGTAGATGGGCTGCGTGCGGCAATTAGCTCGGCTCGGTCCATCGGCATCATCGTCGTGTGCCCAATTCATCTCCGTGTTCCATCTCGCCGTAGCAATCGACATTCTCGGCATAGGATCGCATTCGTACCTGGTGGGGGAGCGACAGGCTCAGCTTGATCTGCGAAATGGTTAGCCGGACAGGCTCAGGGAGGTCGTCGAGGTGGCTGCTGGGCTTGCCTTGTCGGGGACGGCATCGGCGTAGGTGCGGCGCTGGAGAGGCACGCGGATAGCGGCAGGGCGTGCTCGGAGAGCGGCGCGCGCGATGCGGAGGGAGTTCATGATGGGCTGAGAGGGCAATTGGGGTCTGATGCTGGCGGGAGCTTCAGGTGAGGTCGGGACAGGAATCTTCGCCTGACTCCATTCGCGACCGGCTAGCCGGGAGATTTTCGGTCCAGTCACGTGAGTCGGATGCGAGCCCGATTGAGCGGTATCGTTGAGAGTTGGGTACTCTATCATAGCAATGCATAACATGCACAAAGCGAGGCGTACCAGCATAAGTACTACAATGCATTTAACCAGAAAAAGCACGACGGCTGACCGAGCAGGAACCAACTACATGGAGGATTCTAGTTGCTCTCGCCACCGAGGATTGAAACCGCGAATGGAGCCATCTTGCCATCCATTTCGTCGATCCTTCGATACCAGGACGGGCCAAGTACAAGTACATGAGAGACAAGAATAGATCTTTCCCGTTTGGCTACGTTTTACCTCGTTCTTACCAGCGTTTCTCGCCGCGTCAAGCATGCACACGGCCATGGCGCGTGGCAGTGTCAGAGACATGCCTGCCGGTGGAGGCTGTTGATAGACACCACATGGACCGCCTTGCGCGGACTATTGGGCGCGTCGTCGGGCAAACGATCAACAGTCGAGAGAGTGTGCAAAAATTGGATCGGTGGCCGCAACGTCTCAGTGACAGCTGGGGCTAACGCAGGTTTGAGCTGACGACACCTTGTGTGTTGCGTGTTGCGCCAACGTGGATGGCGATCCCCTCACGACATGTCTCAACAATCACGTAACCACGCAGCGTTGCCCTTCATAGCACTGCCATTCTGGCAGCCCAGAGGCGGCAGAGACCCCTATCACAAGCCAATCTGGGCAGGTACACGAAGTGCCAGACAGCACGGCCCGCAGGTAGATCTCGGTCGGTCAGCAGCGGTGACTCGGTGGCTGCTGCAGCTTGCACTTGCGGTGGAAGCCCGCGGTCCCATGACACCAGAAAATCAAAAGCCCATCATGCTCAGTACACCAGCATCGCCATGCGGGACCCCAAAACACGACACGACGGTACCCACGGCCGTAAGGTGAGGACTCGCGGCCGGCAACGCCATGCGTGCGGCGACGGCAGCGTTGAGGCCCAAAACCTCACGGGTCACCCACGAGGTGTGCAGCCTGCTCAGCGTTTCACAATTCGCCATCTTGTTTCCCGCTGTCGATCGGAGCGGCATGACCGACAATCCTTTTCCTCTCTTGCTTTCTCCGACAGGATATGCCGCGGGCGATCCTCCCAGCAAATCGCACATCTCTGTACAACAGGGGAGATCTTACGGTCAAACACGATAATGGGGGGTGCCAAGAGGGGGGAGGCTTGTGATAGTCGCCGACGACGCATAGGGCTCTACTAGTGGGACGAATAAGCGGCACAGAAGCATGACCACGCGACGCATTTCTCAGTATGCGACGTATTTTTCCAAACATGCGACGTAAAGGGGGGAGCCGCTCGTCTGTGCTGGCTCTCTGACCTGGCGAACTTCGCGCATAGCATTTCTGGAATGGCATCCCGTGCCGTGGACATGCATGCATTTTGTTGTTCTGGCACAGGCGACTGGTCAGTACAGGGCAGCATCCGGCAGGAGATGGTCAATCCGAAGCCTGCCAATCATGCTCCGATACATGGCCTTCTCCTGTGACCAGTGCGATGGTTACCCCTGGGCCTGAGTGAGCGCCAACGTACCACTGTCGACAGGGTCACCGCCAAATGATCGGGGGGCGTACAGACGGCCCATCTGTATGTCCTCGCGAAGTACCAAGCAGGAGATTCGGCCGCGACTGCGACTGGGAGGCCCCCTGGTTGGCGACACTTAATGCACTCAATGCGATGCGTGAGCTTTCCTACCCGCCCTTGACAACACGGCAGGAACAGGGAAATAGCCTCGTGCCGACGAAACCGAGATGCATCATACAAACAACCACCACCAACGACAACAACAACAACAGCAACCACTAACTTGTAGCGCCGCATCAACCGTGTCGTCACTTCATCCTGCTTGGAAAGCCAATTTATTCCCCGCGCCGCCAGTGCCGCGCCAGACGTTGCAGGTGAATGGAGACTGGGGGGTGAGCAGACCAGAGCAAGTCGTGGCACGATAACTTTCGCGAATGCGGGGTTGAAGCTGCTGCAACAGGGTCGCTAATCGCGAAGAAAGGGCGGGGTTCCAGGGTTGTGGGTGGACTCGCGTGGGGTGACGGCCTCTGCCACGGGAAAAGCACTGGGTGTAGTGACGATGTGTTGCTGTTGTCGCTGCTCTCGGCTGGCCGACGGGTTGTCGTCCTGCCCGTGTTGCCGTCCTGCGCCGCATTCAGTCGCACGCGGCTTGTGGTTTCACGAATGCAATGGACCTTCTCAAAGTTACCGTTTCGGAGGAGAGCACTTCGCCTGCCGAGATGATCACCAGTTTGGCACCAACGCGGCGTTCCCGTCTCCTGATGACACGAGCCTTTTTCTGGGCTGTCGTCAGTCACGTTGGTTGCACACAGTATTGTGACGGTGAAACCTGACCTGACTTGACCCCCATCCTTCTCTACCGTCAGGCGACACCTCCGAGTATCCCATCACATTCCCCCGCTCGCCCGCTTGTCACGGCGCCGCTGCGCGCAGGCAAAGGTGTGGGTGAAGCTCCTTCAGCTCCGGGTCCCGTGCCAAGAACGTGCAGGAAGGGTGGTGTCGTGGAGGGTGGCTGATGTCGTCACTCTCGGTGCATTTCGGCGGCGAGGACAAGCGTGGTGGGCTTCTGGCGCCGATGCTGGTTTGCAGAGCTACGATGGATGGGACGGAAACATGATGATGGGGCACACGAGAGAAGCCTCTCGCTCGTGCCCACGGGAGCTGCGGGAGCCGATGGGACACAAGCTTGCGAGGGAGTGTCGAAAGAGGCCCCCGGGTACGGGCTGCTGGGACGATGTCGAAAGCGTCTGGCATGTCACAGGTCCTTCTAGTGAACTCAAATGCTGAGAAGTGCCGACATTCGGATGGTCTCTCGGCTGCCAAGCTCTCTGTCTAGGGGACAGAAATGATGATGAGACGAACAAAAGTCTTGGTAGCCAGACCCGAGCGAAAAGGGATACATGCGCGCCGTCAGCAAAGATGCCAGCCAGCCAGCCAGCCAGAAATTGGCTTCAGCTGTGTAAAAGCTGTGAGAGCTCTCCTGCATGGTGTTCATTCACCCGCATGTGTGGAGAAGCGCCAAGAAGGGTGCTCTCTGTACGAGGAAGAAGCAAGGTGCTCGGGATGAACAGAAGTGAGACCTTCATGTCGGCTGCATGCCGCCTCCAAGATGCAGACCCAGCGAGGCGAGGCTCAGAAATTAGGGGAAGAGGGAGGGCCACGAGGGGTCCGTGAGGGTGATCTGTCACGTCTCATTTGCGGAACCCTACCATTATTGCTCGCTCAATTGAGGTGCGTCCAGCGGTGAGCAAGAGCCACCACAAGGTATCGACATGGAGTAGTGGTCGTTGTCTTCTTTCCGATGCGAGATCCAGTGTGGCTCCCCCCCTTTCACCGCCCCTCGACCCCATCAACAGGCACGGGATGCCATTTGGAGCGCAATGAGGGTGAGCAGAGCCGATGGAGGGTTTCATGCGGCGAAAGTATTCGACCAGGCGTCGACAAAGAAGCATGAATCGGGCATGGAGGCGTGAAACACCGTAAACCGAAGTGGCTGACTCTGCATGCTAGTCCATTCATCTGGCTAATAATGGATCCTGGAAGCAGCTCACCCTGCCCGCCAGCCACCACGACAGGGCCAGAGCACTCAATTCAATTGAGCCTGCAATGTACATGGCACTGCAGCACGGGGGCCTGTCGCCCAGTGGAAATGTCCCGAAAGGTCAGAGGCGTGGATGTCGCCCTGGTGGGTTCTACTCCACGCTCCTGGTGGGTATGGTGGGGGTTACTTCAGGAAAACGGCGAAAGCGGCACGGCAGACGGCAGAGCCACCGTTCATTCCAGCGTGTTGAATCTCTCCGGCTCCGGGGCCCGACTGATGAGGTGTTGTTCCTTGGCTGGAAGGTGGAGGTCTCGATGAAGTCGAAGTGTTGGGCTACGAGGAGACAGGCAAGCTCGGAGAACCAGTTAGCAAAGCGTTGGCAAAGGGTTACCAAATCGTGAAGGCATCGAATGCATGGTGCCGACGACGTGTCCAACGAGTGACCACCGCTTTACACGAAAAGATTGACAATGTGTCAATGGCGGCAACAGAAGACAGTGACAAAACACGCAGACACGCACCGTATTTGTCGCCTGCGCCTCGGCCTGTGCTGGGGCTCGCTACTCAACAGCCCCCCGTATAGCATCGTCATCCCGCAAAATCCCGCACATCCAACTTGGCGTGCCCTGTCTTTTGCTGGCACTAGGCCAAGGAGAATTCCGTCTTTGCCGTTGTCGCACTGTGGACACCTCATTTTGCCTGGCTTCGCTAGCCAGCGGCTGTCCGAGTGGTTGGGGGTGCCTTTTCCTGGCTCCTCCTGTGCATGCTGTGGCCAGTGCCGCTGCCATTGAGAGAGCAGGCTGTACTGGTTGGTGAATTGAATGGTCCGCCCCCACGGGTTGAGACATTTTCTGACATTCAATCTCGAGGTGCGCAGGCAGGACAGGTGTCACGCTTGTGTCCCCATGCCCGCGTCTTGCCGTGGTAAGCGCAGCACAATAGCAGCACTTGGCCCCTCTTCGCAAAGCTTGGGCGGCAGCAGAACACAGAAGTCGGGACGAAGGTTGATCGTCATCTCGTCGATTCGAGCTTGGTGTGTACGTGCCATCCGTCTCTTGACTCGATCTGCAGTTCCCTTCGGCCAGCGTCCCTCGGCCACCGCACGAGGATTTGTCGGCACGCTAGACCGAACAGTCAACGTAGCGCCACGAAAACCCAAATCATCATGACGACAACTCTTGGGTCATCTCCTTCTGGTCAGGCCCTGAGAAGACGGCACACCTGCTGCCCAGCGTGAGGGATTCCGTCTTCGGTGGGGTGGCTCAGCGGTGATCGCAGCCCTGCGCCCTGCTGACTGAAGCTGTCCACCGAGTCGAGGTGAAACTGGAAGGCAGCAAGGCAGGATTTCAGGAATGACTCGGCCAAGCCCTGGGCTGAGGCCCGCTGCGCCAAAGGAGCACCGTAGGGAGAGGGACCCAGGGTGGCATCGAATGCGCGGGTGTGGACGCTTGCCAAGCCCCGGACTCGATCTCAGGGCTTGAAATGCCCCTGTCGCTCTCGGGTGGGTGACCCTGGCCCTGGGCCCTCAAGGGGCCTTCGCAGGTCAAAGGAGGGATGACACGGTCAAGGGCTTGGGGGTCGTCACCGTTGAGGGACGATGTGGTGGGTAAAATGGATGGGTAGCATCTTGAATTCGATGTTCGCCTCTGTTCGCCTGTGGACAATCAACTGTCAGCCATGTGTCACAGAGTTCAGTGATCCGGTGGTCTGGCCGGTCGACCGGCTAGGATCGCTCCAACAATCTCGTCAGGTTTGCAACAAATATTGTCAAATTTGCAACAGAATTTGTCCAAAGGTGGAGGCCCTGGCTGCAGAAAGGGACCGCCTCGGTGTGGGCATCGGCGTTTGAGGGTCGGCTTTTCGAGTGGTTTTTTTTTTCCCCTTCCTTGGTTCCGCTGGCGTCTAGCTTTTGGACTTGGGGGGATCCGAGTCCCATCTCATTCCAATTGTCATGTCTGGCCGCGAATCGTGGCAACCAGTGAGAAATCTTGCAGTGGAGGCTGCCTAGGCCAGCCCTTGACGCTCCGTGTGAACACACCGACAGAGTGGACAAAACGGACACCTGACAACGGAAAACAGGCACGACGCTAAGGGGCCCTGAACGGTGTCGACGTACCGATACGTACCCAAGTAGCGAGGTACTCAAGTACCACGTCATGTAGCTCCCAGCCCTTCCCCCCCGCCATCCTGTACCTGCCGCATGGAAGCCGCAACCTCGATTGCATTCGCCCCCAGTGCTGAGTGAGGTACTGCGCCTTTGCTCTTGGGGGTGGGGCCTTCTCCATCCGTCGCCTGCAGCGTTTACTGTTACCATTTTGTTGCTCCTGCTGCTCCTGCCCGATTGCCTTTTCCGCCCACTGTCATCCACTGCCCGCACGCGCTTTCTCCCAGTGGCCGTCAGCCCCAGCCCGGGTCCGAATATATCGCAAGGCCCCTCGCCCTCCAACCCACCCCGTCTTCCCACACCCGCATCCTCTTCCTTCTGAGACTTATTTTGTTCACCTCGACATTCCAGGTCTCAACATCCTCCTGTGCAGATCACATCACATCGCCCCCTGCGCCTCTACCCTGACGACGTCCCGGCACCATCGTTACCGCGTCTGTGACGGCCAAGTCAGCGTCTGCACCCTTGCTTGTCTTGCCTCGCACCTACCAACGCATACATCGATCCTCGCCAAGGATCTTTACCTGGAGGGACCCTGAACACCAGCTTCAGTCTTATTGAGCGAACTGGCTCACTGCCCCCTTTCAACCCTTCGGATCCTCTCCAACCAAGGCACACCACCCGAACAAGACTTCTGTTCTCGACAGTCGACATGTTTGTCTCCCTCAAATAGCACTACTGTCCCTAGGGACACGACCAATTCTTGCGCTGCAGCCTTTCCACGCCGCGGATCGCCAGAAGCCTACCACCGCAACAATCTACCTGATTATCGCCCGCAACCATCACCCGTTCCGCTCTACAACGCGCAACTTGCACAAATAACGCCTTGTCCAGACATATTTCCATCTTTCAGCACCTGTCTCACCCCGACTACGTCTACATCTCGAGTTCCTCACCAAGTTCCAGCACTCACCCCGACCTTCCAGAAACGTGCCCTTCCCCGGTCGACTTCAGATCCCCCCACAATGACGCACAACACGACACACTCCAGTGCGGCATCTGCCGTCTTGTCTTGGGCGGCGCAAACCTCCAATATGCCCTCCATCGCCGACGAGGACATTGGCGACGTCGATGAACCCCCCGATTCGCGTCTGCCCTACTCGCCCATGAAGAGCACCTTCACTCGCAACCCGATTCGCAACTCGGTGGACGTACACCACCACCAGTCGCTGCTCACCAAGGCTCTGCACTACGAACCTGACGAGGAGCACACCGAACCCCGGTCTTCGCTTCACCTCTTTGGTCTTCGACGCTGCACTACGAGCAACGCCAGCATTGCCTCGACAGCCGACCTGACTAGCGATACGGGCATGACCAGCCCGTCGCGGACCAACACACCCAGTCCTCCCCTACCTGAACTCCGCTTCCTGAAGCTGAACAACGAGCCGGCCCGTGCCGCGAAGGAGGCCCCTCTGGCAGGAGGAGAGGAGTCCCAGAAGACTGCGCCACCTAGGAAACGATGCATCCAGTTTGCGTGCGCCGCGAAGCCCACCGCAACGCCCAAGCCTGTTGAGGCACCGGAACCCCAGGATCAGGCCATCGAGTCCAAGCCTGATGCGCCTCGGAAGCGGTGCATCAAGTTTGCTTGCCCTGCTCCTCGACCTGTCAACCAATCCACCCCTCCCCAACACGTTGAGCACCTTGAGGCTGCCGCTGCTCGTCTGCAGCCCCAGACCCCCGACAGCTCTCCCGCCACTGTCAGGAAGCATCGTTTCTCTTCGAGCCACTCGCGGTCTCCCCGCCCCCCGGCGGTGTGCCGCTCCTCCCGCGACCCCGCTCGCAAGCCCATGTCCACCAAGAAGTACATTACTGTGGACGACAAGGATCTTCAGAATGAGGCGTCCCGCTTTCACGAGTTTGCCAGCGACGACCACTGTGACGAGGACTGGATGCGAGAGACTGTTCCTGTTGCAGGCCGCAAGATGACCGTCAATGATACCCTGGCGAAGGAGAATGAGATTCGCAAGCTCGCTAAAGAAGCTGAAGAGGAGGCTGATGAAGAGGAAAACGATGACGAGACGGCCATCGATGACGATGACGACCTCAACGCCACCGCCGGCGAAGAGGAGGACGATGAGGAGGACGAGGATGAGGACGACGACGACATTGACGACGGTCTCTCCGGCTACGTTACTGAGGATGAGGACGATGATTCGATCGGTTATCACACTGACGAAGAGACTGGCTTTGCCGACTCGGACGACGAGGCTGATGACGATCTTCAGCTCTGGACTCCCGCGCAGCCCGCCCTCCGCCTTTCCGGTCTGTCATCTACAACCCCCGTTGGACGTCGTGCGTCTATCGGCCATCAGTCCGATTCCTCCCTCGGCTCTATCAGCAGCGTCCGGGCTGTCCGTTCCGGCAAGTCTCGTCGCATCAAGATCCGCCCCGGCACTCCTGAGCTTCCTGACAGTACCGACTTTGTCTGCGGTACCCTTGATGAGGACCGTCCCATCGAAGACGCGTATCTCTCGTGTCTTGCTGCCCGCAGGCGTGAGAAGCTTCACGTCATTCCTCAAGACATCGACCCTAGTTTTCCTGCGTCGGAGCCCGAAGACAACGGCGAAGAAGAGCTCTACAACCCTGTGAAGCACGCCAGCGATGACGATGACGTCTGGCTGCACGGCGAGATGGATGACCTTGACCACCAGCAAGAGAGACGCAGCCGCAAGAAGAAAAGCGAGCATAGCTCGCCCAAGCGTTACCACTCGCCGCCCCCAAAACAGCGTTACCACTCGCCGCCTCCCAAGAACCGCGGTCGCTCACCACCCCCCAAGAGGTTGTTTGACCGCCGTTCTCCTTGCCGCATGCGGTCACCTGCTCCTCAGGTCGTCAGGTCACCGCCTGCGTCTCTGCGTACCGGGCCTCAGGCCATCGCCTTCAAGGAGCTCGCCTCCCGCCCGGGTCTCACCATGACCAAGTCGCTGCCTCGCCCAGCCGCATGGTTCAATATGCGCAACGGCCGTCGCAACAAGGCATTGATGCCCAACGCTCACGACAACGATGTTCACATTCGTAGTGCCATCGACATTGTCAAGGGGTTGGAGCAGAAGCGCCAACGTCGCAAGGAGAAGTACTACCAGAAATACTGCAACCGCGCCCGTAAGGGACAGAAGCCAGAGCGCAAGCCTATGCCTGGCATGGGCTGCGTTCGCATGAGAGAACTCGGTTTGCTCATGGCTGGCAAGATTGACCAAGGCAATTATGTCCTGTCTGTCTGAGTGGCCTCTCCACAGGTCCATTTTCTTAATCTTTTCCCTCGTCTTGTCTTTTTGCATGGGGACCACATGACACCCCTGAGTACGGCGTTCAGCATTGGCTTTTGCAGGGAGCATACCAGCAGCATCAGCATGATCCACACGTTCTTGTTTATTTTCTTTGTTTGCTTCACTTCATGGCACATATTTTCTACACTTAAAGAGAGCCTCGATTTGGGAGGAAGACTCTGTATATACTTGACGACCGAGAGTGAGAAGGAGGGAGCCGACGGCTGCAGCGAAGGCTCGATACCCTGGGATAGCTCATTCGCTTGCATGGGATGGTCCGGAGAGACCACTGGGGAGCATTTATAATGACACCGGCGGCTTTGCCGTTTTGACGATGAATTATCTGCCTCTTCGGAACTCGGGTGATTTCATGTTGTGATTAGGCAGTTGAAGGCCTGGCTGAACCTGAGATCAGAGTGCATGCGGCGTCTCGACGCCTGTGGAGGGCGGGCGGCGACGGAGGCGATTTAGTGAGTGGCTTATAGTGCATTGACACCCGAAGTGCAGGCGGCGTAGGGGGCTTCAGAGGCCATGGGACGGACATGGGGGTGGCAGCCTGAATCTCAAGGCATCCAAAGTCTAGACCTGGCCTCACCGGGCACGACTGCTCTTTGCCAACTTTGATCTCCTATCGCCCGGCTCTCCCCAAAACCTAACGACTTGACGACCGCACGACCGACGAATTTATTTCCAACAGAAGCCGTTCATTCCCAGCATCACTCTCTGTACCTCGCTGCTGCTTCGCCTAATATCATCATGTGGATGTTCAACTGGTGTACGTATTACCATGGCCATCCTTCCCATCCCTCGCGCGGGCGGTGCAATGCGCTGCTGCTACCTGGGGAGGGGCCAAACTTTAGCTGACATGTGTCGCCTTTGACAGTCTGGGATGTGCTCTCCAGCCTGGGCCTGCTGAACAAGCACGCCAAGCTGCTGTTCCTGGGTCTTGATAACGCTGGCAAGACGACGCTGCTGCACATGCTCAAGGTGCGTACGCGATGGACGTATATTTGGCGAGCCGGGCTCGAGTCTCGTCTCACGTGCCAAACAGCGATGGCGACATGGCCGCCTCGTTCCATCCCCCCGCCGGCCTCACACATCGCATGCTAACCTCTTGACGACAGAACGACCGTGTCGCGATCCTCCAGCCTACGCTCCACCCCAGTTAGTGGCCCCCCTTCTCTCTCCTTTTGCCTGCTGTCGATTCGGGGGCGGGACAGAAAAGCTGACATGTCTACTTTCTACGCATCACAGCCTCCGAGGAGCTCGCCATCGGCAACGTCCGCTTCACGACCTTTGACCTGGGCGGTCACCAACAGGCACGACGACTCTGGAAGGACTACTTCCCCGAGGTCAACGGCATCGTCTTCCTCGTCGACGCCAAGGACCACGAGCGCTTCCCCGAGGCCAAGGCCGAGCTCGACGCCCTCCTGTCCATGGAGGAGCTGCAGAAGGTGCCGTTTGTCGTCCTCGGCAACAAGATCGACCACCCCGACGCCATCTCCGAGGACGAGCTGCGTCACCACCTGGGCCTGTACCAGACGACGGGGAAGGGCAAGGTGCCGCTGGAGGGCATCCGGCCGATCGAGGTCTTCATGGTGTCTGTTGTCATGCGCCAAGGTACGCCGTCTCGACCTTTTCCTTCTTGGGATTTTTCCTCCCTCGGAGGAGATCCGATCGTAAACGCGAGACGTTGTTGCTGACGTGAGGTTCTGCAGGATACGGCGATGCCATTCGATGGTTGTCGCAGTACGTCTAGACGACGTGGACCGGCCCACTGGGCGGATGGTGAGGAAGGGTGGTGTTTTTACCAAACGACCTCCCCATCGGACGACGCCGAAGTCTGCGTGAAGCTTGCAACCGAGCGACGATGACAGATCGGGGCGTACATGACGAAAGGGGGGATGTTGTAGACACGGAAGAGTTGGTGACGGGGGTTCATAGCCGTGCTCCTAGGCTCCATGGTTTAAGGGGGTCCTTCGGCTGGCAGTCAATCAAACTCGTTCATAGCGACGGGTTGTAGTAGATTATTGGAATCGGATGCGTTGCTTTGCGTCTTTTACCGTCTGCTGCTTCCCTTCTTGAGACGAACGCTTGCCCTTGCTGATTGTTGCATTGGATGGGGTCAGTGGAAACCCCGGAGAGTCTCTGACGGCCCTGTTTGTTTCTACTGATGGACTCGACACGGAACATGGCGTCTTTCTTGATGCTGCGGAAACGAGCATGTCCAAAAAGATCTTGAGGCCGTTGTTGAAAGAGTCAGTTGAAAGACTCACTGTCCAGGTGTCCAACTGAGCCACGCATCGATAGCCTCAACTGTATCGCGATGATAGGCCCCCGCTAGCATTCCTCCGTGTCTCAGCCCAACAGTCTCACATCGGAGGACTTGAGCTAGACTTTACAGTCAGACGTCAGAAAATTCCCAGGTCGCTCACGGATGCTTCATCACTGTTGAGTGTCTTTTGGCCCCTCCTAGTCAGCGGTCAGCATGCCTGGCTGGGCTTGCTGGGCTCCATGCCACCAGGTCCAATGCCTGCGAAGCCCAACAGAAGCAGAGGCGGTAGCGCCACTTTGATGCTACGTCATCCCACCGTGGCGCACCCTTGCCTTATCTGACGGCATGACATGTCCCCAACCCGGACCCGTGCAAGTGCAGGCGCAGGTGCAAGAGTGCCTGCTTGCTCCTTGGTCCTTCGTGCCTGCATTGTACCTGTCCAAACCATCCATTCGTCCCTCCACACCATCCATTGTCGCCTCTCACGAGCTCTCGCTTTCCAAACTCCAGCTGCCTTGCCACGACTGCACACACCCAGCGCTCTGTGTTTCCCAGTTGCCGTAACATGCCTCTTTTCTCCTCCACAACGGCCCTCCATCATGGCTGAACAAGCAGAAGACATCTACGGATTCACGCCCGAGGCGTTTGACCCCGCCCTCCTACCCGATTATGACACCAACTTTCTCAACGACTCTGATCTTGCGACCTTCGTCTCGGCCCTCCAGGCTCCCGACCCTCTGCAGAGCCCCGCCGAAGAAACGACCTTCCTTCGGTCCCCCAGCATCCAGAGCCCCAGCTCCTTCGACGTCACCAAGCGCAACTCGCACCTCGGCGCCCCCGACGATGCCGACCCCAGCGCCGTAGCCGCCTCGGCGGCCGCCCAAGCCGGCGATGTCACGGCGCCGCAGGGCCCGAACGGCATCTACCCCAGCGGCAACGCCGCCGCCGTCAGCAGCCACCAGAGCATGTTCATCACGGCCCAGAACGACTGGGCGCCGGTCCACGAGCGGGTGCACAAGCACAAGCGGCGGCCGAAGCGCAAGGGCGGCCGCGCCCAGGGCGCCGCCGAGGCCCTCCTCGGCACGCGCAGCGCCGACGAGACGCGCGAGGGCTACCTCTACGCGCTGCTCAAGTGGCCCATGCTCTTCTTCGTCGGCGCCTGGCTCGTCGGCCTCGCGCTGACCTACCTCTACACGCGCCTCTACATCTGGGTCTACGAGCACTTTGTCACCTGGCGCGGCCGCCGCCAGCAGCTGCGCCGCAGCCTGCGCGCCACGCGAAACTACCGCGACTGGGTCGCCGCCGCGCGCGAGCTCGACGCCTACCTCGGCCGCCAGACGTGGAAGGAGGAGAACGACTTTGCCTACTACGACTCCAAGACGGTCAAGAGGGTGTGGGAGCAGATGCGCAAGTGTCGCCACCGGGCCGAGGCCGTTGAGCGGGGCGACTCGGACGACTCGGACGACGACAACAACGAGAATGCCGACAGGCAGAAGGGCGAGAAGAGAAAGAAGGGCGGCGCTGTCGACGAGCTGAGGGGCCTGCTCGAGGCGTGTGTCAAGAATAATTTCGTGGGCGTCGAGAACCCGCGCTTGTACAGCCAGACGTACTACGGGACGAAGAACCTGGTGCAGAACTTTACGGATGAAGGTCAGCTGTCCTGGCGGTGTCGCGTCGTGACTTCCCTTGTGTGTAAGCGACCATGCTGACTGGAGTGCAGTCGAGAGGAGTATCAAGTTCTTGCTCAACAGCAAGCAGCTGACCCAGGAAGAGAAGCGTGTCCTGTTCAAGGGCATGCACGCCAATTACGGCCGAACGGCGCTCTGCCTGTCTGGCGGCGCCGGCTTTGCCTACTATCACCTGGGCGTTGTCAAATCCCTGCTCGACGCCCATCTGCTGCCGGACGTCATCACGGGGACCAGCGGCGGCGCTCTCGTCGCGGCTCTTGTCGCCACACGAACGAATGATGAACTGAAGACGCTGCTGGTGCCGGCCCTCGCAGGCAAAATCACAGCATGCCGGGAGTCTTTCGTCACGTGGTTCCCCCGGTGGTGGAAGACGGGCGCTCGGTTTGACTCCGTCGACTGGGCGCGACAGTGCAGTTGGTGGACGCGGGGGTCCATGACGTTTCGCGAAGCCTACGAACGCACCGGTCGCATTCTCAACGTCTCGTGCGTTCCCGCCGACCCGCACTCGCCAACGATCCTCTGCAACTATCTCACGAGCCCCGACTGCGTCATTTGGTCTGCGGTTCTGGCTTCGGCCGCCGTTCCCGGTATTCTCAACCCCGTTGTACTGTTGATGAAGCAGCGCGACGGCACGCTGGCGCCATACTCCTTCGGCCACAAGTGGAAGGATGGCAGTCTGCGCACCGATATCCCCATCAAGGCGCTGAACCTCCATTTCAACGTCAATTTCACCGTCGTTTCGCAGGTCAACCCGCACATCAATCTCTTCTTCTTCTCCTCGCGCGGCTCCGTGGGCCACCCTGTCACGCACCGCAAGGGCAAGGGCTGGCGTGGCGGATACGTCATGTCGGCCGTCGAGCACTACCTCAAGCTCGACATGACCAAGTGGCTCAAGTTCATCCGCCACGCCGAGCTGTTGCCCCGACCGCTGGGACAGGACTGGTCGCAGCTGTTTCTGCAGCAGTTTAGTGGCACGATCACCATCTGGCCCAAGTCGGTGCCTAGCGATTTCTATCACATCCTGTCGGACCCAGATCCACCGCGGCTTGCCAGGATGCTGCACGAGGGGCAGCAGCGCGGGTTCCCGATTCTGAAGTTCATGGGCAACAGGCTCAAGGTTGAGCGGATGATTGAGCAGGGGCGGAAAGAGACGAGACCGTGGGCTCGCCGCGGCAGCATCGAGACCATTATCAGCGAGGACGACATGCGGAGTTTGATGGTGACGGGGAACACGGACATTGAAGACGAGTCGACGGATGACGAGGGCAAGCTGACCACGTCGTTGGATAACGAGAACGCCATTATCGATGATGATGAGGAAGGAGACGATTTCGAGAAGCGGGATTGAACGGGAGAGGTGGTGCTGAGGCGTAGACTTGTGTGCATACTTATTACAGCTGGGCGTTTTTGGGTATTGAGGTTGAACAATAGGAAGGCAGGGTGGTAGCCTCAATGGGCAGCACTGCATCTTGAATCAGAAACTACCTGCCTTGAATCGTATGCTCAATACTATGCCGGTCAGTCAGGTCAGCTCACTTTTCGAGCGTTCCGTCCACCTCTCCATGTGCACTGAGGAATTTGGCTCTATCTGACGATTCACACGACCATTGCCTTGACTTGCAACCTTGGAGCGAAGGCAGATCAGACTACGTATCAGTCAACAGGCCATACTCCCGTCACGCGACCAGTTGCTTGCTGCGTGAGTCAGCCTCCAAGATGACAGGAAGCCAGGTTTGACTGACCGCCAGAGGGTATAGCAAGAAAGATGTCTCCTCACCGAGGCCGACGATCGCGCCCGTCGCATCACGGCGGCAGGTTCCCGCCGGTCAGGCATGACCCGCAAGACGACAAGGAAAATGTGGCGCCACCGGTCAACCAGGCACGCACCGGAAAGGCAAGCATGCGAATAAGTACGTGCCTCTACTCTGGGCATCGAAGAGTCGTGGTCACTCACTCACTGATACGTGGCTAGGCACTCGAACGGTTTCGGGCCCGCACAAGCCGCACCGTCGTCCCCTCAAGCAGCAGCATCGCAATCCGGGCTCCGGTCGCGAATTCTGCAAAGCAGCTGCGCAAGACGTCGTTTGCCAGGCCCAAGACACGAATCACTCGCACCAATTCTCGTACATGGAAAGCACGACACGAGACGGCCACATCGGCTTGGCTGCGGAGTTTGTCATCTACGACGACAACGACCAGGCAGCACTGGCGCCTGCGTTCCAGAAATTATCGCTCGATGAACCCTGTGGGGTTTTCAGAGATGACACTGCGATGCATCGGGGGGTTGATGAAAATACGAGCGAGGCCAAGATCCAGGTGTTTTCCGACAGCGACATCAAGGCCCCGCTGAAGGCACTCTCGTACGCCGAGGCCTTTGCGATGCGGCCTCGCGTTCGAAAGGCAGATGCTGAGGCCAGAGGGAAGGGGAGCCCGCTGCGGATGGAGGTCTACGTTGAGTAAGGAGATGGCGTTCTGGAGCGGACAGGTTTGGCTGGGACAGGCATGCTTTTTACTTGGGTTTTTGGGCATGGGCGGATACCCTTGGGGGTCGGCGTTGCTTCGTAGTGCGTTTCCGGAGTTGCATGGTTCAGCTGCAGAGGTAGGGAGAAGATGTTTGACCGGTCGAATGGACAATATCAAACGGCACTACCCAGATCCCAGATCTGCATCGCAGAAGAAGTCAGGAGAAGCTCGGTGAAGGCGGCAGCGAGAGGCGACCCACAACTACCTACCGTACTGGGAGTGGATCTCTCAAGGTGGCCCGAGCTCTGACCCCTGCGGGAAGGACAGATAATCCAGTTGCCGGCGGGCGACCTTCCGTCACACTTCGCAGTGGAACGACCCCTGCCTGTGGCCCAAGCTAATATTTCGAGGCCACGATTGTCATATGTCGAACCCTCTACGAAGGCCTCCATACTCCAGACTGTAGACCTGGACTACAACCTCTCCATCCTACTTGCGACTGCTTCGCAACCAACGCTCACTTTCCCACAACCGGCAAGATGAGTTCCGATTACTCATACGATGAGCAGGTGCGTTCCCTTGCCGTACAGCCTTTCTTTCATCCCTCTGGCCGGCAAACCGAGGAAGCACTCGTGCTTCTTCTCGAGGACGGATCTTGTGAGCGCATCGAGCACCAGCTAACCTACTGTAGGGGCAATTCTTCCCCGTCTTCATCCTCACCCTGACGGGCCTCGTCACGCTCCCTCTCACCTACACTCTCCTTTTCCCCGCCAAAGACATCGAGGCCAAGGCGCCACGCATCCAGTCCGACTTCAAGCCCGAGCATGAGGACCTCATACAAGCGCGTCGCAATGCGCAGAAGCGAAAGCAGCGTAGGGTCAAGCGCGCCCTGTTCGTCATCGTCGGCTGGGCTCTCATGGCCGCCATGGTCTACCTGATCTTGCACACACAGAGGACAGTCCTCAAGTTGTGGAACCCTTACGACATTCTCGGACTCCCAGACGTACGCTTATTCTCCCCCCCCCCCTTCTGGCCGCCCGTCCAGCGGCTTCGATGGAGCCCCATTTGGCTGACACGTCTCTCCCCCCCCTTTAGTCTGCTACCGAGAAGATGATCAAGTCCAAATACCGAAAGTTGTCCCGAACACTGCACCCTGACAAGGTCAAGCCCAACGCTGCCAAGAATGAGACGATTGAGTCTCTCAACGATGCCTATGTCGAGATCTCCAAGGCCTACCAGGCCCTCACTGACGAAGAGGTCCGCAACAACTACATCCAGTATGGCCACCCCGACGGCAAGCAGAGCTTCAGCATCGGCATCGCCTTGCCCCCTTGGATCATCTCCGACGGCAACGGCAAGTACGTTGTTGTTCTCTACACCCTTCTCCTCGGTGTTCTCCTCCCTTACCTGGTCGGATCGTGGTGGTACGGAACCCAGAGGATGTCCAAGGAGGGTGTCCTCATGGAGTCGGCCAACGACCTCTTCCGTGCCTACGAGGACAACATCGACACCGGCGGCGTCATCACCGCCCTGAGTGCCGGCAAGGAGTACGACGAAACATTCAAGGGCGACAAGGCCGACTCTGGCCTCGCTTCCATCGAATCCAGGATCGCAACCGGCGCCGGACTGACGACCAAGGACAAGCACGCCCTCGAGGACCTTGACAATGGCGTGCGCCGCAAGGCCCTGTCTCTGCTCTGGGCCTACCTCGGTCGCGTCGAGCTCAACGACCAGACCCTCAACAGCGCCAAGTACGATGTCGCACCCACCGCTGACGCCCTCAACCGTTCCTTCTCCGTCATAGCCCAGGCCTTTGGCCACACAGCCCCTATTATCGCTTCCTTCTCGACCACCCAGCATCTCATCCAGGCCATGCCTCCCAAGTCGTCGCCTCTTCTCCAGCTCCCCCACTTTACCTCCGAAATCGCCCAGGCCGTTGATGGTGACGCCAAGACCCACGTCAACGTCCAGCAGTTTATGGAACTCTCCGACGCCCAGAGGCGGAGCCTCACTGTCGGCAGCAGTCTCCTGACCGACGCGCAGTACAAGACGGCTGTCAGTGTGGCCAAGCAGCTGCCCCACCTCCAGGTCAACAAAGCCTTCTTCAAGGTTACTGGCGAGAAGTTCATCATTCCTTCCTCACTCGTTACTCTCGTCGTCAAGGGCCGCATCATCCCCCCGGGCAGCGAGAACGTCCCAGAGGTCAACGAGCTCGACCTCGAGGACGTTGATCCCGCCGAAGACGATCTGGAAGCCTACCTGGGCCGCGCCAAGGCTGTCGTCAAGGGTCCCGAAGGCAAGCCCGTCGCCGTCGACAAGAAGCCTGTTCTGCCCCCTCTCGCCCACGCTCCCTACTTCGCCCGCGATCACGCCCCCAAGTGGTCCGTCTTCCTGTCCGACTCCAAGCAGGGCAAGATGGCCGTCCCTCCCTTCCACTTCACCCAGTTCGACCAGCCCATCTTCGACAGCGACGGCAAGCCCACGTTCAACATGCAGACCCTCAAGGCCCAGTTCGCCGCGCCGCCACAGGCTGGCCACTACACTTTCGTCATGCACCTCGTGTGCGACAGCTACGTCGGTTTTGACACCCAGATGGAGGTGACGCTGGTTGTGGAGGAGGCGAGCAAGGCTGCCGCCATGGCGGCCGAGGACGAGATTAGCGAGCCTGATGAGGGTATGTTGTCCCCGCATGCACCTGAACCGAACGCAACTAACAGTACATCAGATTCGCTGGCTGGACAGATGAACGCTCTCAAGGGGGGCGCACCGCCCGCCGCCAAGCCGAGGAGGAAGCAGGTTGTCGAGGAGTCGGACGATGAGAGCGGCACAGACGACGACCAGGACGACGACGACACGAGCGCGACCAACACGGACACGGAGGACGAGTCGTAGAGGGGGTGTCTGTCGGTTCGGCGCGGACCGAGCTTGGTCGGTTGAGTCTCATTGTTCTTGTCTCTAGTGGTTTGTATGACCTTGCCAGCTTATTTCGGGTTGGGCGGCGAAGGGGTGTCTTGGGATTGCATCGTTGTTTATCATCATAGCGGCTAGGGGTGGCCGCTCCTGAGTGGAGAAAAAGGCATCTCAGGACTGAATATACCCAGAGTTTCAGTATGGACGCACTCCGATACCATGCATTTCTACGTTGGTTGCGCAAGACGAAGAAGATGAGATGGTCCTGTGGGCGCTGCGCCTCAAGGCGGTCCATCCTTTGTTTAGCAGCGTTGCTTGATGTTTCCTTGTAACTCAATGGACGGAGAGCATATATGGTATTGTTTCGGTTCACGCAGCAGACGTAGGTTGAGATTCAAGTCCGGGCTCTATCTTGTGAAAGGTCACAAGCGATGACCTCGGACTCTGGAAGCCAAAGGTGCCCCGAGTGTTCACTGATCATGAATGGCACCCCCGACAATCTTCGACATTGTCCCCATGCTCGTACACGAGGACTGCTCGTCACCATTCGAGCTGTACTGTATGAGAGCCAAGCTGAACCTGATGACAAATACATTCTTCATTTCACTAGACCAGTCCCTAACCACGTCGTCCCGTCTTCGGGCAGATCTTCCACGGCTTGTCAATCCACTTCCTGACCCAGTACCCTTCTCCCGATCGCTGGCCGTCGTCCCAACTGTTGAAGAACGGATACCACATCAGATCAGCACGAATCAGATACTCAACCAGGCCCGGCTCCGCCTCGTCACGCTGCCACGAGAACCCCGTCAGGGCCAGCTGATACATCGGCGCGGTCACCCACACGGTCATTTCGACTCCCGCCAGCCGCGTGCTCATCGCGAGCAGCGGAAGAAAGAGGTGGAGGTCCAGATTGCCAATCTCCTTGGCGGGGTCGAACCTTGTCAGACTGGCCTGGTTGTCGAAAAAGAGGGCGAGTCGCTTGAGGCTGGGGAACCGGGGGCCCAGACCGTCCAGGATGTTGACGAACCTCCTGCGGTGGTGCTCGGCGGACGAGAAGCACTTCTTGTCGAACAGGACCAGCTCGATGGTGATGCGCAGCGAAGTGACGAGCCCGACGCCGGGTCCGAGTAGCTGGGCGCGGGCGGGCGTCGGAGCGCACAACGATTCGATCAAAGGCATGCTCTCCAGCAGGATGACGCTTGTGCCGTAGAGTATCCCTAGCAGCTCGTCGTGACTGCGAGGTGGTCAGCTTCTGGGTCGTCGGGCGGGGCAGGCTGATCCCGTCTGACCTTTGCTTGCTGGAGAGCAGGAAGCTCATGACGCCCTGGAACCTACCATTGTCCGCCCCGTGTGGACGCCCGGAGCAGTTTGCCTGGCCGTCGAGGCATGCTTCCCAATTTCGTTCCGAGGCATCGTACGTGGCCTCGTATTTCGCGTCACGGTGGCAGAAGCCGTTGGTCCATCTCCATATGACTCTGCGGCGTATGCGATACCGGGAGTCGGCGACGGAATCTTTCAATCGGATGACAGGCCAGGGGGGCCCGGGGCGCATGTCAATGTGAAAGACGCAATCTCCAAAGGCCAAACGCAGGATCGCGTAGCGGATTTCGTACGGTAGGCTGAAGAAGCCGCGCAGTTGTTGAACAGGCCTCCAGGAGTCCGCTTCGTGGATTGCCGTGGGCGGCAGCCAGGGGAGGGCCGGCTTGGTTCTCGGTGGCTTACTGCTGGACCGCCTTTTGAAGCAGTTGAAAACACAGCAGCACATAGTGCAAGATGTGAGAGCGGCTCAAAGGAATCAGGATGGTTGTCAGGTCCAAGGCCTCGAGAGCCGCAGTTTGACAGACTCAGACTAGGTGCTGACGCTGAGGAGACTGATATCCCGTCCAAGACTATCAAGGCCCGCGAAGTAACTTATTCTTGGACACAGGCGGCCTGGGAAACTATGACACTGAAAATAGAAAGACGATGAAGTAAAAGGGGTAGAGGAACTGGGTGCGCGTAGGCTCGAAGCGTTGGACCTTCACCTTTCTATAGTCTCTCCCCAACGTTTGGACAAATAGTCGTTGGAAAGGCTGCTCCGCACGATGCCACAACGCAGCCACGCAAGTTATTGTCGCCTGGCAGATTCCTGTAACATCATGGCGTCCTGGTCGGCTGACTGTTGGCTTAGCACCAGAACATGCTCCGAAGATTCACTTCGGGCCCTGCACTATACTTTTCAATGTGGCCTGCATCCTCGTTTATGGAACCTTCGCTGGCCAGCCTATTGTGTCCACTACTTACCTGCCCATGATACGTTCAGAATTCGCCGCTCTACAAGACGCGATTTCAGTCACTTATTCATAGCCTGTCTGTCTCTTATGGTACATATACAACTGCGCACCCCACATGGTGACCAGAGTGTCTTGACAAGTACAGGTCATAGCTCTAGCCACTCGTAAGCCTCTATTCAATAACGTTCGAGCAAACCTCCTTCCCAAATTCCCGGGTCACTGCCAGTCGGGTGCTCGTGTTCGCAGGACTGATGCTGCCAGATGTGTAGGTCCATCCACTCGCTATTGTGTGGGCCGCGTTTCGTGCCATAAGCACCTTGAATTCGGCCAACCTCCTCAAAGCGGAAGGCGTTGAGCCACTTGCGAATAAAGGCGAGTTCCGGATCTTTCTCGTCACGGAAGATCCCCTCAATGATGATACCTGGCCAAATTGAGTCAACATGCATTGCTGGTTGATACCTTGAGGGACGACACTCACGCTGGGGGACCATTCGGCTACGACTGGTGGGATTGTCGTACGGCCTCATTCCGGAAGCATTGTCCTAGTCGTGCTTTGTAGTGTCCGGAATGTGCGAGCGTGACATATGTGTGAGGATTCGGTCCAACAGGGCACTTCCCACATTTTTACGCCGGTAATCGTGGTGGGTGTACACATGAAGCCTTACGCTCTGTTGACCAACATGGCCGCCCTTGCCGAACCCAACCTTGAGGGTCTCGCAGAAGGCAAACCCGATCACGAGCGGTGGCTGTGGAACAGGCTTTCGAGGCATTTGCATGAAGGTTTCCCAGGCAGCTTTGCTGGGCCAGATGGATGGGTCAGTCAGGTCAGGCGACTGGCGGATGGCGACAATGAAAGGAAGACACTGTGTGCGACAGCTGTTACCGATGGCGTTCAGGTCATTCTCCGACACTAATTCGCTGTCAAGGGCACGGTGGCCTTTCTTGATCTCTCTGTTGTAAATATCGATGATCCCAGGAACATCGTTTGGTTTGGCTGGTCGAAGTACGCAATCGACCGCAACCTCGCGTTGCGGAATTGGTTGAACTTTTGACTCGCAGCCATTGATAGAGACAGGTGTAGCCTGTCTTTGCTGCACAAGAGCTGCGTCTCTCTCGCGCATCATGATCCTGCTCTTGATATGGTAGTTGCTTGTCCAACGATCCGCATGCTTCTTGTGGTCAGGCCTGAGGGTTTCGGGGTTGCGAGTCGACTCGGGCTGCTCCACACGGGCCATCAGAGTTCCTGTGTCGGTGTTGATGGGGTGTTCGGAGTGCTCTTCAATGTCGCTGTCACCCAGAAAGTCCGCTCTGATGTCCTCTGGAACTTGCAAAAGCCAGGCGTTGATGAAGCGCGAGTTGTAGCTTTGGCACATGAAATGCGCATCGTCGTCGCCCTCGCCCATCCAGGGATCTTTATGAATAACGCCCTCGATAGCTTCTAGCTTGTGAGGCTGACCTATCTCATTCCGGACATCGCAGCTTCGGACAATGTTGATAGTGTTCTTGAAAGCAAGGGTCTCGGCAAGAGGAGCGCCGGTACCTAGGACTTGATCGTCTCGCGTGTCTGGACTACCGCCACCTTCAGCGCTGCTGAGACGAAAGGAAATCTCAGTTTTGTTCTCTTTGTCCTTTGCAACCATATTCTGCGTAATCACGCGACGTGTGACAGGGGCAAGAGCGAGGTTCTGCGAGGTCAGGCGAAGAGGGGTCGAAGAAGTGTCTGTCAAGGAGAGCGATTCAAGATTGAGAGGGATCGCTCCTTTGACCTGGTACAGAGATGCATGGCCGGGCGGTAGGGGGCTCGCTCGCGGTTGACAGTTGTTGGTGACCATCATGAGGGAGTCGACAGGATGGCGGCCTGGAGGGTGACGGTTTCTAGTAGGAAGCTTGACAGCATCGGACATCCACTTGCTATCCTTCCCGGCGTCTCGTTCCATTGCTTGAACGAACCAACGCGTTGTTGTCGGCGGGAATTGGGTACCTCGAGCTGGCAAGTGTCGACGTAAGGCCGTCTTGGTCAGAAGAGAGAGCGAAAGGCGGAAAAGACTTGAAACCTCGTCGACAGCGACAGACAGCCTTGTGAGGAACTGAGTCGAAAATCTTGTCGCTGTTGCTATTACGGTAGGTATTGGGAAAGGTTACGAAATGAATTTCTGGACCAATGTACGGGTTGCAAGGGGGGTGGTTGGAAGGAGCGAAGGTTAGGTGCCTTCCTCTGACGCGCGATCTTAGATAGCACAGCCTGTGTTTTTCAAAAGTCCTCGTCACTAAGGTAGATATTGTGTAGGGTGATATAATCACAACAATGGACATTCAGGATTACGGTTGAGAGTGAACATGTTCAGACTTCTAGTGTATACATCACTGGCAACCATAATTGCTCGCCCTACATTTTATGAATTCAGCATGACATCTAGTACAACATAGATGTATTGATGTCAAGTTGATAATAAGAACCTCAATAACGGCACGCGAGAAACATTGCCAGTAGCCCCGTGATCCCGAAAAGGGGCTCTTACCGAGTCACCGATCCTTCACCGAGAACCAACAGTCCCACCGACTCTTGCAAATCACGTGCTGAGTCCGGATACCACTGCATTTGACTGGCACACTCTCTCATCAGATTCAATGACCACCCTGGTAATCAGTAAAGCGTCCGAGTCTCAGGCTCGAGTTGCCTTCGTCAATATTTGCCGACAATGTTGTCAATTCTCCGGAAAGCCCGGCTGAAGGATAAGGAGATGAGGATCCTGATGCTGTGAGTACAGACCCAGGATGAGTGAGACTCGCTGACAAAGATGCACGGCCAGGGGCCTGGACAACGCAGGCAAGACGACGATTGTGAAGAAGATCATGGGAGAGGACGTCAACACGGTGAGCCCCACGCTGGGATTCATCATCAAAACGATAGATTACGACGGGTCAGCGGTCTGCCGCGTCTCACAAGGATTTTGCTGACGAGTGTCAAGATACAAACTCAACATCTGTATGGGCCAAGTTTGCTTTTACTACTCGGTGGTTATTGACCATCACAGGGGATGTCGGAGGGCAGAAGACGCTGCGGTCATACTGGCGCAACTATTTTGAAAAGACCGATGCCCTCATCTGGGTTGTCGATGCCACGGACCGACTGAGGATTGAAGATTGCCGAGAGGAGCTTCACGGTCTTCTACAGGAAGAGGTCCGGCATCCCGGTATACATGCAAACCATTCTCACTGACACGAATAGCGCCTTTCCGGAGCGAGCCTCCTAGTCTTTGCGAACAAGACTGATGTCAGCGGGTGCATGGACGAACAAGAAATTCTTGAGGTATGTTGCCACGTGACAGACAAGTGGTTGGACGAGTCTTGACAAGTTTCAAGGGCCTTCAGTTGGAATCGATACGAACGCATCGGTGGAACGTCCTTCGATGTAGTGCCATGACAGGGACGAATCTAAAAGAAGGTCTGGCGTGGGTTGTGGATGATGCGAAGAAGCGACTGTTTCTCTACTGAGGCACACTGCTATAGGAAACCTCGGTGGACATACCACAGAGGGGAACCATGAACCGCCGGAGCGCCCGTCACATCGACATGGACCCCCCCGAGGTAGGTAGCGAGTGGGGTTGATGGAGTCGTCGTGGGTGGAAAGAACATCGATGGGGTGACCGACTAGAGCTGCGCGATAAAGCAACACAGAGCAAAGGCTGACAGTCAAAACAAAACAAACAAGACAAATTCACAAAAACACCAAACTTCGCTAATTTTTGAGTTCGGATCGGCTCAAGCCAGTCTAGAGCCCATTCACTAGACAAGATCATGATAACAGCGTGCTTAACGCCGTGCACGTGGTAGACTGCTGTGTCGAGGCAACCCAAGGAGGGGCATGAGAATTGGGCCAAAGTAAGCCTACCTGATGTGCCTGGGCTTGCTGGGTAGTCAGGTACTGCATGGAGAGCCACAGGCGCTATAACGAAGACTGAGGCGCTATCCACACACTGTAAAGCTGCTGAGAGGCCCCACCCATTGTAGCGTCTCAGCTCTGGGAGGTGGAGGTCAAAAGGCCTGTGGGTGGGCTCATGTTGTCGCCAAGGCCAAGCAAGACAAGGGCCCGGCTTAGGCAGAACATCAACAAATGACGACGATCTCGCATCCTCCCACCAAACCACTAGTCATTGGCGTCCAGCCAGGTACTCCAGGCATCGAAAACACGAGCTATCCCTAGACGGGTCATCTCCATCGTTGTCATCGCCATTGTCCATTGCTATCGCCAACGCCTTGTCGCGACATCTATCAACGTCGACCGAGCGAACAGCCCTCAACAACCCCCACTGCGTCCAATGCTCCCAACCTAGGGGTTGCCATCAGTAGCCATGGACGACGTTTCCAAGTTTTTGCAGGACGTCAAGGAGATGAACGCGCGACGCACAGAGGAGGATGATGCGCGACAGAGAGAGCTTGACGAGAAGATCCAGCAAGAGAAACGAGAACGCCAGGCTCGCCGCGCCGGTATGTTTCTTCCCCCTCCTCTTCTTTTTCCTTTGACCCATTCGTGACCCATCCATTCCCTTCGACCACGCATCCTGTCCACATGGAAACGCTTTGGCGTCGTTTCGCTCGTTGAGTGCCAGCTCCATCCTGGCTGCACGCCACGTTAGTGTGGACAACAACAAGCAAAACCCAATTCAACGACCAGCGAGCGTACGACCCTCATGCGTTTCCCTGGCTACCCTTTCCGATGGGACCGACGCCCAGAGCCAGAGCTTCAATTTCTATTTTGCTGCCCAGTGTCCCTTCATGACTTGACTGACGGCTCGCATTGACAGAACGCGCACGATCCATCTCTCCCCAAAAGTCATCTCCCGCCAATACCCCACCACCCTCTTCGCATCGCAACAGCACCACCTCACGACTCGCTGACGGGCCCCGTTTGACTCCTGCAACCGAAACCACAGGCAGTCCGCAATCGCGTGCAGCCGTCACCTCGGCCGAGCTTGAAACCTCCACAGCTCCAGACGCTGCAGCCCAGGAGAACGCCTCGCCCGCCGAAATCAACGAGCAAAATTCCGGCATGAACTCTCCTTCCTCACCCTCCGGTGTTGGCGGCCCGCGGCCGCTATCATGGCAGAGGCGCCCGAACTCGCAGGCCGGGGAAAAGCCCAAGACGAGGCCGCTGTCCATGTTCGCTGCCCAGAACGCCGCCAGAACATCCTCCACGGCCCCATCCGAGCAAGCACCCGCTTCAGCGACTGAGCAGACTTTTACCAAGGACCAGATTGCCCAGGCTCTTGGTTCCAAGGATCCGACATGGTTCCGACAGACGGCCGACCGCGGTCTCGGCTCTGCCGCCTACCGTAAAAACCAGGTTGAGGATCAGGAGACGCTCGACATGTCTTCCCTGCGCGCACAGCTGCCAGGTATGGAACGCAAGACCTCTGCCGGCGAGTCGCAGGCGCCGCCGCCGCAGCCCAGATTCCATGACACTCTAGCCGACGAGCATGCGACTGCCTCCCCTCTTCGCCTCTCCAGCGCCCAACGACTGGATCCGCCTGCCGAGGTATCTCCCGAAGAGGAACTTGCGCCAGGGCGCCGAGCATCTGCCATGGTCACAGGCTCCGGACGGTCTTCGCCCACGAGGCCTGCATCGCCGACGAAGGGCATGGGAGGCTTTGTACAGAGTGCCATGATGAAGAGATCCGACAGTGTCAAGAGATGGAGCGTGACTTCGCCCCCAGGCCTTGCTCGCGTCGACACCGTGGCGTCCCACCGAACCGGCGAGCGTTCCGCCCACTCACGATCCAGGTCGCGTCCGACAAGCATGTTCCGTGAACGCTCAAACACTACCCACGAGACGTCCCCGACCCGATCGCCTTCACGATCTGAAGCGCTAGAGAGCGAAGCCAACCAAAGCGAGACGCCAAAAGTCAAGACTGTAGAGCCCTCCCCCATAGTTCCACCCATCGACACAGATGTCAAGGAGCAAGAGGAAGTGACGCCGCCCTCAAGCCCGTCCAAGACGATGGACCCCCGGCGATGGAGCCCGACAAAAGCTAGCTGGCTTGAGACAGCCCTGAACAAGCCTGAATCACCAAAACCGAAGCCTTCGCCAGCTGCCGCAAACCAGCCTGCATGGATGGTCGAGCTGAATAAGGCCAAAGCGCAAAAGTCTGGCAACCCGAATGCTGAAGCGGGAAGGAGCGGCTCCATCTCATCCAAGCACGCGGTCAACATTGGTGGGCTTATGCGGTCTACGCCAATGGGGTCTGCGGTGAAGCCTTCAACAACTGGTCTCGGAGGCATATACTCTCCACCAACACCCACCGCCCGTTCAGGATTTGCGGCTGTTGGAGCCGGCAGTCTTCGCGGCAATTTACACAAGCCGAACCTGAGTAGCGACAAGACGGAGCCAGAGACAAGTCCCGTGGAAGGTGAAGTACCCACCCGCTCCTCTGTCATCAGCCCATCCTCGGTGACAGGCAAATCGCGACCCGCCACACCACCGAAGAAGGATTTTCGCGCGAACCTCAAGCCGCGACAAGCATCGGGAGATGCCAGTGCTCAAGTCGAATCGAATAACGAATTGAAGAACGTGTTCGGCAATCTACGACGAACCAAGACACAAAACTATGTCGCCCCAGATGAATTGAAGGGCAATATCCTGCGCGGTAAAGCAGCCCTCAATGCCACTGGTGGACCGAAGCCGAGTGAGCGCAAGGATGAATTCAAGGATGCCATTTTGAAAAAGAAGGAAGACTTCAAGAGGGCCCAAGACGAAGGCAAGGGTGTCGAACATGGTTCTGCGCCGCCCATCGAGGAACCGATCCCCGAGGGTATCGCCAGGCGCAGAGCGCTCAGTAGGTCCACGCCTGGGAAAGCCGATACCACGTCGGGCTATGGCATAGAATCATCGTTGAATAAGTCGGCGAATGAACCGAGGCCATTGAGTTCTTTGTCAAAGAGGGACTCCGCTGAGTCTATGTCGACGACAAAGACGGCTGCTGAACCTGTCATGCCTGAGCTACACAAGGAGACCAGCGCTCCCGCGCGTCTCCAGAACCGCCCTAGTGCTGGCGGTCTCGCGGGACGCTTCAACCAAAACCTGGCGGGTCTCTTAGCCCGCGGCCCTCCACCTATGGCTGCGAACAGCAGCAAGAACGCCGACGACTCTGACTCCGGCACACCCTCTGCACCTATTGCAGAGCCCTCAGCACCTGGGCCTCAGCTCACGCACATGACTAAGGGTCGTGCTCGTGGACCCAAGAGGAAGGCGCCGACGTCTGCGCAGCCACCGGCCGCGGCAAAGACCGTGGAGCCGGCCTCTAAGGAGAGCATCCCGTTCAAGCCGGCAGTGACACCCAAGAAGACGGCCCCGGCGGTTGAGGCAACTCAGAGTCCCCGCTCGCCCCCAATGCCCAGCTCACCATCATCCTCGTTGCCCCAGACTATCCAGGCCCAGGTCGCCGCGAAGGCCGCCATCAAGAACAAGCCCTCTCCTGCGCAGCCTCCTCAGAAGCAAACACCAACAGAGGACCCATTAGTTGCCGACATGTCTCAAAAGTCACCGTCACCGCCCGTGACTAAGGCGAAGCCTGTGGCAACGACCCCCTTTGCCAGCCTGCGTCGCACGCCGTCCCCGACAAAGCAGATGGAGGAAGAGCCGGTTGCAGCCCCGGCCTCTTCACCACGCAAACTGGACATGAAGCGAATGTCGAGATTCTTTGATGATCCAAATGCCCCAAAGCCTGCTACCGAGAGCTCGAAGCACGAAGTGGCCAGGCCGGAAAGTATTAGCAGGCAGCTGCCCAAGCTTGAAAGCCCAAGCAGGGAGCTTCCCAACCCTTCAACCCCGCCACGCGACCTCCCAAAGCCGCTCAGCATCGGCCAAACATCCAGGCCTCAGAGCCCCCGGGAACTTCCCCGACCTCAAAGCATCAACAGAGAGCTGCCGAAGCCCGAAAGCCCACGAGATCTGCCGCGCCCTCTCAGTATCAACAAGCCAGAGAGTCCTCTGAAGGGGCAGTTCCGCAAGGAGAGCCAGCCAGGTACGCCCCTTCGCTCGCCTGTAAAACAGGCTAACGAGGTGACGACAATGCTCGATGAGTTCTTCGGCACATCCCGGCCCCAGCGTGAATACCGCATCGATACTGCCGATATCTTGATGAACAGGCCCCAAGTTCCTAGGGTCCGCACTGCAGGAGCCCAGCTTTTCCAGCTGTTTGGGGATGGCAAGAAAATGCCTGTTCCCATGCACAACGAACGTGTCCTCTTTGAGCAAGAGATGTACATATGCCCCCATGAGTTCACCGATAGTGCCGGCAAGAAGGCCTTCGAAGTTTACTTCTGGGCAGGTGATGAAGTGCCGGCTTCTACCCTCGAAGACGCGCAGCTCTTTGCAAGCCGCGAGGCAAGGGCACTGGGAGGTAAACTCGTCAAACTCCAGCAGGGCAAGGAGACGGCCGAATTCCTCCAAGCCTTGGGCGGCATTGTGATAACGCGCCGTGGCTCAAGCAACAAGTTCGACATGCTGGCGCCGAGCATCCTTTGCGGTCGCCGCCACCTTGGCCAGGTGGCTTTTGACGAGGTCGACTTTGCACCCGCGAACCTCTGCGCAGGCTTCGCGTACCTCATTACGCAACAGGGCAAATGCTACCTCTGGAAGGGCAAAGGCAGCAACGTCGATGAGCTCAGCTGCGCTCGTCTGATAGGTATGGACTTGACGTTGACAGGAGAGCTGATCGAGGTGGACGATGGCGGTGAGCCGGCCACTTTCTGGGATGTGTTCGGCGGCAGCGGCAGTGGTGCGAAGCCCCACTCGGCGGACCACTGGCGGCTGAAGCCAAATTACGAAAAGTACTGCGGTCGTCTATTTTGCTCCGACGCCGCGTCCAGGCAACAGGTAAGCTGATTCTACTCTCTCCGTCCTATTTTTCTCCTAAGCTTTAAGGAGCCGCGCTGACGCATATGACCAGATCTTCGAAATCTGCCCGTTTAGCCAGGCGGACCTTACGCCGAGCTCTGTCTACATCTTGGACGCCTTCTTCGAGATGTACATCATTGTCGGCCGCGCCGCGCAGGCCGAGTACCTCTCCTTCCGCAACGCCCTCGATTTTGCGCAGGAGTACGCCATCCTCGCCTCGGGCATGGAAGACCGCCCCTTTGTGCCCATCTCGACCGTCGTCCTCGAGGGCATCCCGCGCGACCTGAAGAGGGTCTTCCGCAAGTGGACCGACGAGGGAAGCCCGACCGTCATGCCGCAGGCAGGCCTGAAGAGGGGCCGAAGCCTGAGGATCGTGCCGCTCACGCAGGCGCTGCAGGCGCTGAGCGAGTGAGCGGGCGGGCCGCGCTGAACGACAAGAGCTGGCCGCGGCTGGCTGCACGTGTGTGCCATGGAGCTGAAGAGGACACAACCAGAGGAGGAGAGAGAGGTGACCAGGAGCGGTAACTTAAAAAGCGTTGCAAACCATGTTTCGGCGGCGGGGCGTGGGCGTTTTCGGGGGTCATGGTTGGTTGTTGTGACATTTTCCGTATATATTGTTGTAATACAATGTATATCCTGTTCGCCCTTTTTTGTTGTTGTTGATTTTGGTTACGTCATAACGGTTGCTTGCAATGTCGGCATCTGCTTAGACCTGCGCTTGAAAGAGAGTCCGCTTAGCAAGGACTTGCTTGCTTGGAGCCTGCTGGAGATGCTTGTCCACAATAGGCTTAAGCGATGACAGCCACCCCCTTACGGCACAGACCCTTCTTCCGCATCGTCAATTGCTATTACCATTATGGACAACCTCCGGATTTGACGGCATCACGGAAAGCAGGGTGCAAGGAACGTCCACATCGTCAACATTCATCCAGAGTCATCAAGGGATATATACCAGACTTCCTACTCCCCGGCCGAGCTACCATCCAGTCACCAAGAAGATACCAAATCGAAACCACTGAACCGGATCAGACCAAAACACCAAGCGCCCGCTCGTCCCAAGAACGAGGCTACGTGACCCGTATATGCACCCAAATAGGTATCCTGAAACAGAGAAAGAAGTGACATAACCCATACGATACCAAGCTCCCCTTGAACGGTGACTTGAAGTAAAAGGCAGGCAAAATCAAACAATAATGCTCTGCCCTGGCGCCGAAACAATGAATTCCACGCCGAGCCGAGCCTCCTCCTCATGCGCGAGCAACTCGCCCAAGATCTTGGCGCCAGGGTCGTTGCCATCCAGTTTGTCCTTGACATGGACAATGACGACCTTGAGCCCCTCGAGTGGTCTGGTGTCAAATGCAAAGGTAGGCAGTTCACCGTCCAGCGGCGCATCCAGATCCCGCAGCGACAGCTCCGCCGTGGGAGTCGCGAGATGGGGTGTCTCGATACCGGGTGGCGGCTCATCAAGCCGACTGCGTACCGTCTTGGGACTTACCGGATCGCCGCTACTACCACCTGTCCGCCGGCGCGAGAGTCCGGATACAGCCTCGCTGTTCCCCCGCTTCCGCTTCTTAGCAGTGCGGGCATCGAGCTCAATAGAGGCACGCGCGACGTCAACTTCGCCGGCCAGAGTGCGCAGCTCATCTATAATGAAGCTCGGCTTAAGATGCCCAAACATGCGATCTGACGCTTGACCATCGTCATAGCTACACTCGATAAGCAGGGCACGCAGAGAGCGTCGAGCGATCTTTGGAGCGGCTTCCTGCCATATACCCAGATTTCGTGGACATGACGAAAGGGCGTCAGGTTCGACATCACCGAATATAAGAACCTCGGATCCCGTTGCCACATCGCGCAGGAAATACGCAGTTGAGTCATAGACGGAAGCAGTATGAGCAGGGTCGTTGTATGAGGACGGCGGGAGTTGCGAGTGTTGAGAGTGTTGCTGGATGGGAAAGGAGGCGCGGGGGCCAGGTGTTGGGGGGAGTGTGGCTGTTGGGTGATGGAAGGATCGCGGTGAGAAGTGGTGGTGTAGTTGTTGCTGCTGGACGTGAACAGGCGCCGCTGCCATGGAGGAGGCGTCGAAGGACGAGTAGCGCACAGGCGTGCCGCTGGTTGACGACTGCGAATTGCGGTGTGGTGGAGATTCGATGGGACGTCCGTGTGATATAGAGCAGGCTTTGACGGCAATACCCTCGGCGATTTCGAGGTAGCCACGAGCATCGCCTTCTCCAACAGCCGGGCTGCCACCGTCAACGAGTCGAGTGTAGGTGACGAGGCCGGCGCCGTCATTTTCGTCGGAGAGGTTCGGCCAGATGACATTGTTGAAGATATGATTTTTGAAAGCCTCAATCGTCGCTGGTAGCCCGGCCAGGCGCTTTGGACGGGGACCGCCAGGCAGGCCAGCCGTGTTGACGACAAATCCAGCTATGTGATCAAGATGAGGATGCGTGATGAGGTAGGTGTCGACAAGGGACCGAGCGATGTGAGCTGCGTTCGCGGCAGGGGACGCGGTGTGTACCTCGATGCCCGCGAACGGGCCACTCTCGAGGATATGCGGCATCTTCAGTTGCGCTATGTTCTGCGGCTGTGTTTGCTGGAGAATGTTGGAGATGGCGGCGAGGTGAACGCCTGCGTCGACGGCGACCATGGATGACCTTTGCCATCCCGTGGCAAGGGCGCGGACGAGAAAGGCCGTAGTGTTACTTTCCAAGGGGCCGCCACCGGAACCCTGCAGACGTCAGTACAGTGTTGCAGAGAAGAAAGAAGCAAAACAGAAGCCATGTGCAGCATGTCGCGTTGGCAAGACAGGGATGCAGCTATGATGAGAGCAGCAGTGGTCGAGTCGTCACTTGTCATCTGCTCGCTGGGAAGAGACCAAAGATGAGTGTTGACCAGAGCGAATGCATGAGCTTGTTCACCGCGAGGAAGATTGCACTTGCGATCGCAAACGCTGTGTCGCACAGCGCAGCGCATCCTGGGCAGGTCAAGTGGACCTGTGCCGAGCGGTCGACAATGAGCCCTGCTTTGTGACATACGATGCGCTCATTTGGGGGAGCGCAGAAGGGGCGCAAAACGGGGAAAACGGGAAGAGGGCATCTCGGCGGTTGCGCGCTTACCAGAATAATGACCTGCAATGCCGGCGCAGGTGCATGCGCAGGTGCTGAAGTGGTGGTCGCATCGTCCTGCTGCATTTCGGCAGCAGGAGGTTCAGCATCCCCATTCTCGACACCTCCCATGACGTGATGTTGCGGGGTGCGATGCAGCAGGTGTGGGGTGGTTGCTGGTGCTCGTGCTGGCGCTGGCCGAGCTTCCGTCGGTAGTTGGGTAGGCGATCGATTGATTCGGAAGGTGAGACGATGGGCTTGGTGGGTTGGAGCGACGACAGTTGCTGGTTCGGTGTGCCGGTGCGCAGTTTGCGGCAAGCGACGAGACGAAATGTGCTGTGGAGGAATTGAATTTTGGTTGTCGCACGTCGCAAGTCAAAAGTCGCAACACTCAACTCATCAACCAGGGCGCGCGTGGCGGTCAGTGCCAATGACAATGGTCAGTGACGGAAAGCCGGTTGTTCGAGTCAGGGGTAGGTAGGTGTGTCGCTGGAACGCAGGACGAGGAAGACGAGTGTTTGGCGGGCGTCTGCGGTCGGCGCGCGTCTTTGATCGGCGCGCATGTGATGTGTCGACTCTTGGGGCTGGTCCCGCATGCGAATGATGTGCAGATGGGAGGAATGGCAGAGGGGTGGAGTGAGGGAGGGAGAGGGAGGAATGAGAGTTGTGAACAGAGGGTTCAGTAGATGGCAAATGAAATGATGAGAGGCAGGTGTTCTTCTTCAGCCCTGCCGCCCGGTTGTGGTCCGGGTTCAGCTAGACCGGTGTTGCTTGCCGTGCTAACTCGGAGCGGCTGCTCTGCTGCTTCTGTTGCTGGAGGGAGGGACTTTGAGGTACCTGAGCCGAGCAAGCTGAGGTAGGTAGGAGGTAGAGGTAGGTCGCTATTGCCTTTGCCAATGCGTTGGAGCTGCTCGCCCGGCGGTCTGGTTCGAGTGGTCGCGCTTGCCGGGATCTGAAAGGTTGGCGGCGGTGCTTGCCTCGCCGTTCGCTAGTTTCGGGATCTTCCTGCTACCTGGAACTGCACCTTCCCTACTCACCAACCACGATGGACAGCAGGTGGCACACAGGTGTAAGTGCCCTGGATGCCACAGCGCACGCCACGCCACGTGAGGGTGTGAAAGCAGCGCGCGAGAGTGAGTTCAGGGAGAGAGCTCTGGATGTCTGGGACTGCCGCCTTTTGCCTCTCTTTTCCTTGCCGTTTTCTCGTCACTCTGACTCTGGCCTCCCACGAAACGCCCGACAAAGGTCTTGTCTGCACACGTCTCTGATGGCTGCCGCCACGATGCGCTCTGTTGGACAAAGCTAACAAGACTCCCGACGGCTCAACGCTCTGCTCCACCTACCAGCCAGACAACCTTTCCGATCCGAATGTGACGTGAGGCGGAAGATGCGAGATGAAACGACCAGGCCGCTGACTATCTTTCCTTCCAATCAGTAGTTTCGGGCTGGGCGAAGCCGGGCGTCTTCTCGTTTCTTGTGTTTCTCGTTTCAAATGAGCGTCCAGAGGGAGTGTATCAAGTCCCAAAAAATCTACCAAAAAATGGTGGCGCGTCTTTGTCTTTATATGGATATCCCACCACCCATTACCACCTCTCTCCAGGCTGCCATTCGAAAGTCCCATCACAACACACCCATCTCCCCTCGATACCCACTCCCTCATTCGGACAGCTCTGGCCTTATTTCCCCCCAAAGACCCTGGAGGGACCGCCGCCACTTGTCCCCTCTCGTCTAGCGCAAACTGCAGCCTTTTCGACGTGCTTCGGCATCGCCGCTGCACGTGCCTGGGCTCGACAACACCAAAGACAAGGGACCCCGTGACGGAGCTCCGCCTCTGCCTGCACCCCGATGGATAGCCGATGGATAGCAACGCTTGCGAGAGCTACGACAAGCTGCACCTGTTGCCCAGCCGTCGTGTTGCGATGACAATCGCGACCCAGCTTCGAACCGCAAGGCCCACGTCGGACCGCCTGATTCGCTCGCCATGCCCGAGATCTGTCCCTGTGTCACGACACATGCAGAGAGTCCTCAAAACGCTGTGTCCTCGAGTTCCTTCTCCCCACTCTCACGCTTACAATGCTACGAACAGGCCAGCCCTCTATCTCGAGGCACGCCACGAGTCCTTTCACCTTTTTGTTCAACTCCACTCACGTCACATTTACAATTTCTGCCTTTCAAGTAGGTCCTCACTAGGTCACTGTTTCGCCCTTGGTCACTGCTCTCCCCTTGTCGTCACAGACAAGTCACAGACAAAAGAAACTTTTATTGTCGACTGACTTGTATGCTCTAGCCAGCCAGCTGGCGAGCCTCCTTTTAACGCCTCCCCGTTCTGTCTATGGACCGCCTTCTGTTATTTTGATTTCGATGTTGCGACATAGGAAAGAGCAACGCTGTGCTGTGCTATGCATGCATGTATCTCTGTCAAATGCCGTTCCGTGTAACCTTGATCCAATCCGATGCAATGTGTGGGAGAAACTTGCTCACAGCCAATAAAACGCCGGGTCAACACCCACCACCTTCTTTAGAAATGCAAAAAGAAGCAGCATATTCCTCTTGTTCCCAAGGGATAAAGGGCACCAGCTATTAACAAAAGAGAGAACCCAGGATCATCCACTTGGATGACCCCTAGCGTCGCAGCTGGGTACAGGCCAGACAATGGGAAGCCGTCTACTCAGGCCGCCCTCGTCAGTAGAACTGGGTGTAGCTACCTGATCGCACGCGCGGGCTTCGACGGGTGCCTGGCGATGCCTGACTGGGGCTGGCAGCACCGTACTGTGCATCCGATATTCGGATGCGCTTGACCGGACGCTTGACCGCACGAGGCTTGGCCTTCTGGATGCTGGTGACCTTTCCGTCGTAGTCTGGGTTGACATCGGCGTCAGCGTCGTCAGCATCGATGCCTCCTTCATCGTCATCGTCGTCGCGCTTGCGCTTGGATGATGTGCGCGTGTGCTCACGAAGCATCTTTTTCGCAAGTGCCGCCTTGACATTTTGGGTACCGGTGGGCTTTCTGTCGTAGCTTTCATCACTATCAGCGTCGGCATCGTCCGCATTGCTGGCGTCCTCGTCGCCATCACCATCGTCATCGACATCGCGCTTGCGCTTGGATGATGTGCGTGAACGCTCCCGCATCATCTTTTCCGCAAGTGCCGCCTTAGCCTCCCGCACTGCGGTGGCCTTGGTCTTCTTCTCTGCGTGCTTCATGCTCATGTATATGTCGAGGTCACCCCTGTGCTTGTCTATCGATGACCCCCCGCGTTGGTCGCGTACGGATTGCCGCGCTGCAGACTCCCTGCCCACGTGCGCCATGGTCAGGACGTACCACAGGTGGTCCTGAGGATGCACCGGCCTCGACAGCCCGCTCTCTCCGCTGGCGGCCAGCTTATCTTGCCACTTCTGCCACTTGTGTTCCTGCTCCACACGCCAGCGGCCGAGGTCGGCGAGTATCTCGACGTGGTCGCGCGTGAGCGCCATGAAGTTCTTCTGCTCCCGCTCAAACTGGCGCGTGTCCGGGCGTACATCGAAGGCGTTCATCATCTCCACGAGGTCAAAGCATTTTTCGAAGCAGAAGAGATGCATGAACCCCGCGCAGTGGAACGGATCGAGCTCGCTGCCCGTCGCCTCCGGGTGCTCGTCGAACGCGACGCGCCACCACCCCTTGAGGATAGAGCGCGACGGCGCCGGGCAGTCGTTGAAACGACACTGGCGCGTGCCGCGGTCCGGGCACCGGGCGTTGCTGCCGGCGGGACAGTTCTGGATCCAGACAGTCAGGGGCGCGCCGGCGGTCTGCCGAGCCGTCATGTACTCGTAGAGATCGCCGCGATCGAAGCACAGGTTGGGCTTCCACATGCCCTGGCTCGTGTACTGGAACTTGGGACGGTAGGGGTCATCGCCGCCCCAGGGGGCGGGCGTCTCGGGCAGCTTGGCGTAGTAGTCGGCGTAGTTGATTTCGCCCTTGACCTGGCGGGCGGGAATGATGCCGGCGCGCCTTGGTCGGCCGGGGATCAGAGCCATCGATGCCGGGGTCGCAAGACGGCTCGGGACCAGGCCGAGACCGAGGCCGAGAGGCGCCGGCGTGCTGATGCGGCTGTGTGCACGGCTCGGCCCACGGCTCGGCATGCAGCTGGGCGGGCGACTGGGAAGCCTTGAGGCTGGTACACTGTATGGGGGCGTTTCCAGTCGAGTCGATTGCTGGTTCGGCAACAGGCCATGTGCCGCGCCGATGGCTTGCTTGGCCACTTTGCTGTTATGGTCGGTAGCAGCCAGCAGCAAGCTCTGGTACGGCGAATGTTCAGCGGGAACGGGAGCCGGAGGCAGTCCAGGCCGAACGGCCGTGGCCCAGCCAGGAGGCGGCGTGGGATATGTGGTGGGCTGCACTGGTACGGGATCCCAGGTCAGAGTCTCGAGCATAGGGGTCTCGGGCTCGTCTGCGGGGCCGGGAGGCGGAGGGTACTCGTAAGCTCGCGTTGTCGCGACCACAATCTCAGGCTGAACGTCGGGGACTACGGGTGGCAGAGCAAAAGTCGTGTCTTCTGGAATGGCTGGCTGGGGAGGCGTGAGGTCGTCAAATGCCCAATTTTTCAATTCTCCCTGAACCTCTTCGTTGCAGCCGTCAAAGAGGCTTCCATTGTCGTCGAACAGATTACTCACGATGCCACTGTAGTCGATGGCCGTGGGATCAGAGAGCGCGGGGTCTATTGGCATGTCGAGGGGCCCCTCCAACATGACATCTCGCAAGCCAAGAGTGTCAGGCACGGTGGGCTCCGACGCACGGGAGTAGTCTTGCGCTGCTTGCAAGTCCAAACCCGCGTAGAAATCCGAGTTGAAGATGTCCATGATCAGACCTGTTGCGTCGGGCCGATGGACTTGGTTCCTTTGAAATAAATGAGCAGGTGCCAGCAGCTGCTTCTGAGTGGTGGTAAGTTGGTTCGTGTTTGCCTCGGAATCGGGGAGGCAAGTCGCGCTTCGATGCCAGTTGGTGATAGGTCTCAAAGGCCAGTGTTGTTTTTGGATGGCGAGGGGAAACAGCATCGGGGAAACAGAGCCGCGAAGCGAAGCACGATAGATGTATATGTATTGCCGAAAACGGAACCCGTGCCGAGTTTCGGACAAAGCATCACGGCGAGGACAAGGTGGGCACAAAGAGAGAGGACGTGGTCATTGTGGTTGAAGATGTTGATTGTGCTAAACCTGGACGTGCAAGACAAGGAAACGAGCTGAACCACGCGCTGGTGGTCATCCCTCGGACCGCGCTGATTCGGTGACCAGACAATGAGGTTGTCCCCCGACCGAATCGCGGTGGTCCCAGTGACCACTTGGCCCGGGATGCACTCGCGACTCTGCGACAAGGGGGTGTGTGCGAGGTAAAAGGAGAGAATCTGCAGGGTATTAGCCGTGTTGCTTCGAACGTCCCGGTGCTGATTGAAAGAAGAAGGGATATCAAGACGAAGAATCAGGTAAAAATGCCAAAGTTGTCGACAGTAAATTCCGAACAGGTCTGTGAATATTTGTGCTTGTCTCATCATGTTGTCTTGGTGGTAGGTAAAAAGGTGGAGTGAAATGTCAAGGTGACTTACCACGGTCAAGAGGAAGGCCTCGATGTCCCATTCTACGCTCGAAGGAAATCGGAGCAAGGACAAAGAGGCCTGCGAGGGATGCCGCGGCGCGAGGTCAGCATGCATCTCGTGTCTTCTACGCCTGATGCATAGCAGAGAAGAAAAGCAGGGCGGACGGGAGAGGACGTGACGAGACGTAGATGTGATGGATGAGGTTGAGTCGAGAGAGAAATTTCTCGCGGCTGCAAATTGAGGTAGAGAAAAGAGAAGTGGACCCAGTGGCTGGTGTGTCGGTCGATGTGGCTGGTGATGGCAATGTTCGACTTGGTCTGAGCTTCTGTGTCGGGACATTGTATTAGCCGATTCGCTCCCCCCTCTTCGACTGGCGCTTGGCAGGCTCCGTCTAGGCCAAGATGATCCCAAAAGAGAAGGAGGAGGGGGGGGGGAAAGCAGTCAGGATCCCATCCCAGCAACAGGGCTCCGATCAGGCTTTGGATTTCGTTTCCGTCCAGCATTCATCTCCTCGCAAAACCTGAGTTAGGTATGAAGGCCTCCTAGAAATATCCCGTCATTTTGTCTTGACGCGAATCCAGACTATCACGCCCAAGACCCTTCGATGGAGACACGGATTCGGGATCCCACCGTTCGATACTACAGTAACCGCTCTCGTCCATCAGTCGCATCGTCCACAGCAATCGAGCCCCTCCCAACTCTTCAGGTGGTGCCCCCAGGACCCTCGACTCGTGCGTTTTGCACCCGCCCTGGCGCCCTCCGCCTGGCCAGACCTCTAGGCCCTGTCCTGGCGAGAGACCCCTGAGCTACTACGTCACGAGGCCGCTTCTTCATTGGACAACCAACACAGTACCCTTTACCAGTACGACCTTTGCCAAAAGCCCATAGGCGTCTATCGCCGTCGCCGTCGCTTGCATCTTTGACTTGTTGCTCGTCGACACAGACCTGATCCGATCCGCCCCAAACGCACAACTTACCAACTATCCACCACGGCCGCCCCACGACTTGCTTTACTGCCCTTACGCTGGCGATTGCAGTCATGGCTGCACAGCTGGATCCCGGTCTCCAAGACAAGCTCGACGAGCTAGAGAAAGAATTGGAGGTGCGTCTGCTGTTGTGGTACCCCCGCATTGAAAGTCCGCGGCGATTGAAGACACACGACCAACGAGCGGCCAAGAGCAAGCCAACGTCGGGTCGACACAGTCGCCGCCTCAACCCCCCTTGGATATGAATTGACGCTGTGCCCCCTACCGCTGGCATTACTTGTCTCTCGTTTTATGGAATGCGCCGGCTGCCCGATCTTGCAAGCTAACCATCGTGATCCCAATTGTAGGAAGGCGACATCACAGAGAAAGGGTAGGGCCAGATCTACTCAGAACGATCCAGACAAGCCGACTAACGCGCCGCCGCAGCTACCAGAAACGCCGCACACAACTTCTTTCCAGCTTCTTTGGCCCAGGCGCGCAACCAGGCATCATCGATCCGAGAACAGGCTTGGGCATTCAGCCCCGGCAACAAGCAGAGCCCGACCACGGCAGCAACGATGGCCATCGAGCTGCCGCACTCGCAGCCCTTGGTGGCAGGGACTCTGATCCGACGAGTCCGACATCACCAAGCCAGCGTCCAGCCTCACCGTTCGGTCAGCGTCCCGGTTCTGGCTACGCCTCTCCCGCCGAAGTGAGCCCCGCCGGGTTGCTTCGTCCCGGCGGGCCACTCGCTGAACACCGACCGACGATGCGAGCCCACGATTCTCTCTTCCTCTCCCCCGCACCCGAACCATCCACACGAACAGGCACCATGGTGTCGGGCGACTATGCGTTCAACCCCGACCAGCAGGACGCATACGACAACCAGGCCGGCTACGCAGACCAAGGCCCGTATCAAGATCAGTACCAAGACCAATACCAGCCGCAGTACGACAGCAGATCAGGGACCATGCTCGACTCGACGGGCTATTTCTCTGGGTTCACTGGCCAGCAGGCCTTTGACCATGGCCCGGCGCCGCCATCGCGCGGCGATGACTACCCCCCTCACCCCCACCGGTACTCCTCGGGCGAAGCCTTCTCTCCGACGGCAGCAATGGCACCGCCCCTATTGACGGCGAACGACCTGCCGCCCCCAGAAGGTCTCGAGTACCAGATGCCTCTCGAGCCGAGAGAGGTTCCGTTTGCCATCCATGACCCTCACGATGCCAACACGCCAATGTCAAAGTTTGACAACATTGCTGCTGTCCTGCGCCACCGCGGCCGTACAGCTTCCAAGATGCCTGCTTATTGGGTCTTGGACAACAGGGGCAAGGAGATGGCATCCATCACTTGGGACAAGCTCGCCTCGAGGGCTGAAAAGGTCGCGCAGGTCATCCGTGACAAAAGCTCGCTATACCGAGGAGATCGCGTCGCCCTCATCTATCGTGATTCCGAAATCATCGACTTCGCGATTGCGCTGCTGGGATGCTTCATAGCTGGTGTCGTCGCGGTCCCCATCAATGACCTGCAGGACTACCAGAAGCTCAACCTGATCCTCACATCAACGCAAGCGCACCTCGCCCTGACCACAGATCAGAACTTGAAGGCGTTCCAGCGTGACATCACCACTCAGAAGCTTAACTGGCCTAAGGGGGTGGAATGGTGGAAGACGAACGAATTCGGAAGCTACCATCCTAAGCGCAAGGAGGATGTTCCGCCATTGACTGTTCCCGACTTGGCATACATAGAATTCTCGAGGGCCCCAACAGGCGATTTGAGGGGTGTTGTGCTCAGCCACCGCACCATCATGCACCAAATGGCTTGCATGAGCGCCATCGTGTCTACGCTTCCCGGCAACGGACCTGGCGACACGTTCAACCGCCATCTCCGGGACAAGAATGGGAAACTGATCGGCGCAGGCGCTGCCAGCGAGACGCTTCTTTCTTACCTCGATCCGCGACAGGGCATCGGCATGATTCTCGGCGTTCTCTTGACTGTCTACGGTGGCCACACCACCGTCTGGGTGGACAGCAAGGTGGCCGAGGTCCCTGGCCTGTACGCAAACCTCATCACCAAGTACAAGGCCACAATTCTTGTCGCGGACTACCCAGGCCTGAAGCGCGCCGCATACAACTATCAACAAGATCCAATGACCACTCGAAACTTCAAGAAGGGCATGGAACCCAACTTTCAGACGGTCAAGATTTGCCTGATCGATACCTTGACCGTCGACAGCGAGTTCCATGAAGTACTGGCTGATAGATGGCTGAAGCCGCTGAGGAACCCTAGAGCCAGAGAGGTTGTCGCGCCCATGTTGTGCCTCCCAGAGCATGGCGGCATGATCATAAGTATCCGGGATTGGCTCGGCGGCGAAGAAAGGATGGGCTGTCCCTTGAAGTTGGAGCTTGGGTCAGATGTCGACTCAGACACGGAAGAAAAGGAAGTGAAGCCGACTCCGTCGAATGGCTTTGGCAGTCTCCTGGGCGGTGCAACAACTGCGACTGAGCAAAAGTCAAAGAATGACCTGAGCTCGGTTCTGCTCGACAGAGAAGCCCTGAAGACCAACGAAGTCGTTGTGGTTGCTATTGGGGACGAAGTAAACAAGAGAGTTAGCGACCCCGCGACAGTGCGTGTTGGTGCCTTTGGATACCCCATCCCAGATGCTACGTTGGCCGTTGTGGACCCTGAGACCGGCTTACTGTCGTCTCCTCACTCGGTGGGCGAGATCTGGGTTGATTCGCCATCCCTATCTGGTGGATTTTGGGCACTGCCAAAGCACACCGAGCAGATCTTCCATGCTCGTCCCTACAAATTTGAGCCTGGCGAGCCAACGCCTACGGCAGTTGAGCCTGAGTTCTTGCGAACAGGTCTCCTAGGTACCGTCATCGAAGGCAAAGTCTTTATTCTTGGCCTGTACGAAGACCGTATCAGGCAAAAGGTGGAATGGGTAGAGCACGGCACCGAGCTCGCCGAGCACAGATATTTCTTCGTCCAGCATATCGTTGTCAGCATCGTCAAGAACGTTCCGAAGATCTACGACTGTTCTGCCTTTGACGTTTTTGTCAACGATGAGCACCTGCCAATCGTCGTCCTCGAATCACCAGCAGCATCAACAGCTCCGTTAGCCTCTGGTCAGCCGCCGAGACAACTCGACACGCCACTATTGGAATCACTGGCTGAGCGATGCATTGACGTTCTCATGCAAGAACACCACCTCCGCCTTTACTGCGTCATGATCACGGCGCCCAACTCTCTGCCCAGAGTGCTGAAGAACGGTCGTAGAGAGATCGGCAACATGCTCTGCCGGCGCGAGTTTGATCTTGGCAATCTGCCTTGTGTTCACGTCAAGTTTGGCGTTGAGCATGCTGTCCTCAATCTGCCCATCGGCGTCGACCCAATGGGTGGAATCTGGTCCAACCTTGCCTCGGAATCACGCGCGGACATTTTGATGCCGACCGACAAGCAGTACTCTGGTATCGATCGCCGAGAGGTCGTCATTGATGATCGGACATCGACCCCCCTGAACAACTTCTCCTGTATCACCGATCTCATTCAGTGGCGAGTCGCACGACAGCCTGAGGAGCTGTCGTACTGCACCATCGATGGACGCAGCAGGGAAGGCAAGGGTATCACCTGGAAGAAATTCGATACCAAGGTCGCAGCTGTGGCGTTGTATCTGAAGAACAAGGTCAAGGTTCGCCCGGGTGACCACATCATCATGATGTATACGCATTCGGAGGAGTTTGTCTTTGCGATACACGCATGTATCAACCTTGGTGCTGTCGTCATTCCCATGGCGCCATTGGATCAGAACCGTCTCAATGAAGATGTCCCGGCGTTCCTCCACGTTGTATCCGACTACAACGTCAAGGCCTGTCTTGTCAATCAAGATGTGGACCACCTCATCAAGATGAAGAACGTGGCGAGCCACATCAAGCAGTCGGCACAGATCCTCAAAATCCCCATCCCCAACTACTTCAACACCACGAAACCTCCAAAACAAAACAGCGGTCTCCGAGACTTGGGGATCACGATGCAGCCAGCCTGGATCCAGCCGGGCTACCCCGTCATTATCTGGACGTACTGGACTCCTGACCAGCGGCGAATTTCAGTTCAACTTGGTCATGACACGATCCTTGGCATGTGCAAAGTCCAGAAAGAGACCTGTCAAATGACGAGCTCCCGCCCTGTGCTTGGCTGTGTTCGCAGCACGACTGGTCTAGGGTTCATCCACACGTGCTTGATGGGCATCTACATTGGCACTCCAACCTACCTTCTCTCGCCGGTCGAGTTTGCGCAGAATCCCATGTCACTCTTCGTCATCCTTTCGAGGTATAAGATTAAGGACACGTACGCAACACCTCAAATGCTGGACCACGCCATGGCTATGACGCAGGGCAAGGGCTTCACGCTCCACGAGCTCAAGAATATGATGATCTCGGCAGACAGTCGCCCCCGCGTCGATGTGTTCCAGAAAGTGCGTCTCCACTTCGCAGCTGCTGGACTCGACAGGACAGCCATCAACACTGTGTACTCACACGTGCTGAATCCCATGGTGGCCTCGCGGTCATACATGTGTATTGAGCCGATCGAATTGTGGCTCGACACCAAGGCGTTGCGACGCGGCCTCATCATTCCCGTGGACCCAGACTCGGAACCGAAACCGTTGATGATCCAAGACTCTGGCATGGTGCCTGTCTCAACGCAGATCGCCATTGTCAACCCCGAGAGTCGCATGCTGTGCCATGACGGCGAGTACGGCGAGATTTGGGTAGACTCGGAGGCATGCGTCAAGTCATTCTATGGATCTAAGGATGCCTTTGACGCAGAGCGTTTCGACGGCCGCACGCTCGATGGTGACCCGAGCATTCCCTACGTCCGCACCGGCGACCTCGGGTTCTTGCATAACGTGAGCAGGCCTATAGGACCTGGAGGTGCGCAGGTAGATATGCAAGTCCTATTCGTGCTCGGGAACATTGGAGAGACTTTCGAGATCAACGGTCTCAGCCACTTCCCGATGGATATTGAGTATTCAGTCGAGCGCTGTCATCGTAGCATCGTACCGAGCGGATGGTAAGTCTCACCGTGCCTGATATCTGTAGTGATGCTAACCCAGAACAGCGCCGTTTTCCAGGCTGGAGGTCTCGTAGTGGTCCTCGTGGAGGTGGCGCGTAAGTCGTACCTCGCCTCTATCGTGCCAGTCATCGTCAATGCTATCCTCAACGAGCACCAAATCATCGTTGATATTGTCGCTTTCGTCGGCAAGGGCGAGTTCCCTCGCTCGCGTCTCGGCGAGAAGCAGCGAGGAAAGATCCTGGCTGGCTGGGTGACGCGTAAGTTGCGTACTATGGCTCAATTCGCCATTCGCGACATGGATCCATCTGAAATGGGCGGCGAGTCGGGCACCGCAGACTCTGCTGACCCTAACCGTGCTTCGGTCGTCAGTCAACGCAGCTCGGGCGTCCCAGCAGCGGGGGCCTCGAGTCTTCGCAACGTTGAGCATGCGCCGCAAATCCTGGAACAGGAGGAGTTTGAGCAGCAGATGGGCCACATTGCATCAATGCCGCCGGCTGAGATGCCCGGCGACCAGCGCCAGGCATACGCGCCGACGCAATCGTCCAGCGACTCGCAGACCGCCCGTGGCCAGCCCTCACTCTCAGGCAGCGGCCACGCCGGGCAGTATGGCTCGGGTGACTATGCACAATATGGCGAGGAGGTGCCACCGGCTGTGGCACCCAAGCCGGGCGCACACGGAGGTGTCGGGCCGCCGCAGCTCCGGCTCCCAGGCGTCGACGGGCGCGAGAGCATGGAGCTCTGGCGCAAGGGCAATGAAGGGCCCACTGATGAGGAAGACTGGACCCGGGATGCGATCATGCACATGAACCTGGCCAACGATATGGATCGGCGGCAGTAAAGCGCTGATCAGCCATGCATGGTCGTCGGGTCTGCTGAAGCGGTGATTGCCGCGCCCCTACATGGGATGGGGTTGAAGGTTGGATACCTAGAAAAAGGAGTGCGTCGGTTCGTTTATTAGCATAGGAGGGTGTTCTCGCGTAGGTTGCTGGACCTAATACCACTTGTTCGATTTGTCTTCCTCAAGAACCCTGGCCTCGGCCTATGTGTCCTGCGACGCTATGGTTGTGACTTTTGCTCGATTCAACGGGCCCCAGGACGTTGGGCTGGTGCAGGGACAGCGTGGGCGGCTGCTTGATCCTTTCTTGCAGCTCCCTTATACTTGAGGCGTCATACAGCAAGATGATTGGGTCCGTCCGCGTTGCGAAAGGGGAGCTGCACAGGGTAGCAGCAATACTGGAACAGGAAGGAGAAGACAATGACGAGGGCAAGCATGAGGGATGGGTCCTCGCAACGAGTGAGTTTCATTTTGACAAGTGATCGGTATCCATGTTCGCTATGCTGGATATGCTATAGAAGCCCATTATTTTGCTCGGTCCCAATGCTCTGAGTCGACGGCTGTCTTCAGTACTGGTTCTGATGATATCTCTCCTCCCGGTCCTTTTCTCTCTTGAGCTTCTCCTCGAACCGCCGCCCCTCGGTCCTGGCATCCTTCTCTCCACCCCCGGACCCTCTCGTCGCCTGCTCCACGAGCCCGACGGCCTCAGCAACGACATCGTCACCACGCCGCCACGTGTATAACCTCACTCCGTGTGCGGTCAGCGTTTCGTGTGCCCGCTGTAAGCGGCGGTTCCATAGTTCGACCTTCTTGTTGACAGCCGTGGCGCCAAGGGGTGGTGAGCCCGATGGCGTGCCACTCGTCGACTGCGTGTTTGTGCGCCGGGGGCCGACAGGCGGCGGCACAAACGACGAGGATGGAAGGGGATCAAAGTCCACGTCTTCGTCGGCGGCTGGGCGCTGACGACCGGGGGCGACTGAGCGGGGGCTGGTGCTGCGGATGCTGGAGGGGGTGTCGCGGCGGCGTGGCGGTGGAGGCGGCGGCGGCGCAGTGCGGCCGGAACGAATGGAGGAGTCACTCGTGCGGGTAGAAGCTGGAAGCCTGGCGTTATTGGGAAGGCTGCTCGTGCTGCCTAATGTTTGCTGCGAGAGATTGTGTGTTTGGGATAGGGGATGGGCTGTGGGCCGGTCTCCAGGCACCTTCTTACGGGGCAGGGGAGGCGTCGGAATGCCCTTTGAGTTTTGCAGCCTTAGGTCTGCGCCCAACGTTTGTGCTTTCTCATCGGACGGAGAGCTTCGTAATGACGCTGGCTTGACCGGTCGAGGTGGTGCCTGTCGCGTAAGAAGGTCGGTCGTGCTCGCCGAGTGCCTCGGTTGGCGGTCAGCTTGTAGCTGCGAGACCTTAGCGGTGTTGTTCGCTGCTGTGGACTCTGGTTCGTCGGAGAAGTCGATGAGATCCCCCATCGTCGGACCCGTCGTTTTTGATGTCTCACCGCGCGGCGGCAACGCCGGCCGTTGATGAGGCTCATCGTCTGCAGTTGCCCTCCGCGATATGTTGCCCCTGCCGAACGACGAGTCAAAGAAGCCGGTCTGTTCTGGGGTAGTGACATCCCTGATGAACACGGCAAGGATGCGGTCTGGGTGAGAGACAACAAGCTCGGTGTAGACCTCAAGGTCGGCTTCGCCGCTGTCACCAACAAGCATGAATTTGCGCTCGGGGAAGTCCTTCAACAGCCTGCAGAGCGTGCTGCGCTTCCTCTCGGCGACAGGTTCAAAAATGCCCTGGAGCATGCCGCTGTACTGCTTGAGGTGGAGGGATCCCGGCGGCAGACCAGCAATCATGAAAAAGCTTGCCAGCACGGGAAACAGTTGCCAGGGGCTGTTTGAGCAGTAGTGTATGCTCACACCCATGTGATGCATCTTCCCGTACCATTCCTTCACGCCTTCGACGGTCAGATCGCGGAGCTCTCGGATAAATGTATTTCGAAAGATCTCTTTGGCGCCGCCCGAGATGTTGGAGCGCTTGACTGTGTCATCAATGTCGCTAATTAGACTGACGCCTTTGGGCTCTATGATCTTGATTTCTTGGGTTGCTGAAAGGTTTTCGTTTGCCAAGACGCGAACATGCGTAGGGACAAACTCGAGAGCCGCCCTGACCATGAAGTGACCTGCCTCGTTCGTCTCGACCGTTCTTGATGCTGAGTGCTCGTCGTTATAGAAGAAAATGGTGATTGGCTGCTCCACCAAGGGCGTCGTCATGAATGGCGCTATCCTCGCCATGAGGTTCGCATTAGCCACTGCCAGCTCTGCGTCTGTAAGTTCATTGCTGGTAGTGTACTGCCTTGCCACAGATTGCGGAGAGCCTGGCGCGGATCCCAGCGTAGGATTGGGACTTCGCGATCGCGACCTCGAGTTGTAATCCCCAATCAACTCCCCGTCGTCACCTCGAGCCGGCTCGCTATAGCCTCCGTGGTAGGCCACCCTCTTCTCTTCTTGACCCTTCTTCTCGATCTCGGCGGCCTTTTGGGCGATTCTCTCTTGCTCACGTCGTTCCTCGTGCGATTCATGCATGGCGAGAAAGCCTGTCTCTCCGCTTGACGGCTTGACGTCAGACTTTGGCGCCGGGATGCCGCTCAACTGACGCGCCAGACCGATCAAGACTCGGTTCCTCCGCGTGACCTGGCCCCTGTGCGGTGAATATATCCACCCACGGACGTCAACATCGACAATGGCGCGCTCGTCCTGGTCCCGCTCCCACTGCTGTCGCCACCAGTCTTCGTCCTTGGTGCCCTGTTGCGAGTTTGGTTGCTGCTGCTGCTGCTCGGGTAGCTGGGCCCATTCACCCTTGATATGGCGCTTCGCATAAGAGGGAAAGATGACCATCTGGTCGTTCCCTTGCACAGTGATGGCTACGTCAGGGAAGGATCCGGGGATCGTCGTCTTGCCGAGCCCGTCGTCCTGCGTCAGCTCGCCCGCCCTGGGTATGTGCGCGTAGCCCTCTCGAATTTCGTTCACCGCGGTCGCACCGGCACGGTACATGTTGTTGGCCATGGCGGCAAGCTTCCTACGCCTGCCGCCGCCGACTGCTGTGGCGGGATCGGACCCATATGCGCCTGGCCCGCCGCCAAAGCCTGGCAGGGTAGGCATCTTCCTCTTCGACTTATTGTGCTGCTGGGATCGCGTCCTCGCATAGCGCGCCGGGCGGGTGCCGGTGCTTCCTGGGTTCGGGCCGAGGAGCAGGCCGCGGCCCCGGCGGATGACGGTGCGAACAGCGGCGGCGACGCCGGGCTTTCGCTGTCTCTTGAGGATGTACTGGTAGATGCGAGACTGGAGGCGGTGCTTGTAGTAGGGGAGAGTATCGAGGTGGAAACCGAGCAGGCGCTCACGATAGCGCTCGCGGAGGGACTGGGGGAAGAGGTAGCGCAGGAGGCTGAGTCGGTGATGCGGGTGTGGTGTCGTCGAGCGCGGGACTGCGAACCGCCAGCGTCTGAAAGGAGCCAGCTTGTCTGCTTATGAGGCAGAAGGAAAGGGCAGCAGGTTCAAACCGGCGATGGTTGTCACCGGTGATGCTCGACGATCGGGGGCGACGTGTCAATGCCAATCAACGCCTTTATTCTGTCGGCGTGTTACTGGCAGTTCCTTTGTCACCGAAGGTTGGCTCAACTGCTGGAGCTCACGGCCGGCAGGCGATGATGTCTCCTGACCCCCACGCTTCGCAGCTGATGGAGATGGGCCTGTGAGGTGATGGAGGCACCTGACAGCACGGTGGACGATCGCGGGGTAAGGCGACTTGTCGAGGGGATTGTCGAGGTGGGAGGATCCGAGACACGTGCTGTCCGGAGGTGTCGGGAGGGTAAGTCGAAGAAGGGGGAGGGAACTCGTGATAGGGTTGTGTGCCTGGGCTGAATGCTGGTTGTCAAGCTGCAGGAGGTAGGCTTTGGACGTAATGCTTGGCTGGATTGCAGTGACGACGCCTTTGCTTTGCTGGGCCTTTGCTTTGCTGGGCGGCTGGGCGTGTCTTGGGCAGGCGCGCAGTTGGGGCAGTCGGGCGAACCTACCTCAGGAACAGGCTTGACTGTGGGCCTAGGCAGGTGCCGCACTCCCGACGCCTTCCTTGCCCCCCATCCCAGTTATTGTTCGTGCCTGCCTCTGACCTCTGACCCTCTGATGTCAGGCCTCGCGCATGCCATCACGTGCATTGAGCCGCGCGACTTCCTTCTGGCACTCGTCATCGAGTGCCTTACTTGTACCACTCAAGATGCACGTCAACCCAGATTCGCTCTATGCTGCTGCTGACGCTGAGCTCACACTTTGAGTATTGAACGGTGAGCGGGAGAAGGGATGGCCAATACAACCCCTGGCGTCCACCGCCGAGGCAGTACCTAAAACGACCTTGCCAATCACACTTACACGTGGCTGGAGCTTCAGAAGTCGAAGGTTTGTGCCGGGTGACGAGGCTTTGCTTGTGGATACTCGATGAGAGTCTCAATTAAGGCTGTAGACAATGCGCGCTCCTGCTTGATTAGCCCTTGGCCAATGTCAATCGAGCATATACATGTATATGAGCCACTTGGTTACCCTCATGTATTATCGATACCGCGTGGAAGACGTCAATCCATGTACGTCGTTAGTTTTCATTTTCCGAGATCACCTCTTGACCAAGTCGTACCTACCATGTATCTTGTCGAGGAGCTCTTCGGAAGGGCGCTTCCTTGGCTGGCTCCCCCGGTTGTGGGCCCTTGATTGTCCGTTCACGATGAGTAGATCAAGTGCGAATAGATCAACGCTGCTGAATTGTTGATTCAATTTCTCAACAAGGTCGAGGAGTTCCAAGGAGCGGAGAGATGGCACCTCGAGAAATTCGGCAGCACAAAACAGGGAAACAGAGAGCGGCGAGAAACAAATGGATGTCTGACGGCTTTCGAAAGTGACAGCAATGACGGACAGCGTGCATGAGGTCGGAGAAGGACCTCGAATTGTTTGTTTGCTCTACTCCAATCTGTGGTTCGAATGCAGTGCTCACAATAACCAACCTGCAATTTGGGCTGCAGACGAGTTTCTTGAGGCAACATGGTACACGTCAGAATACACATTGGTGGCCAGCACAATACTTAAGTGCAAAGCCGCTGAAGATAGTCCACACAGGAAGTGACGAGGCACCGAGAAAAACGCTGATCTGGTATACTCCTACAACCTGCGGCGACACTATACTGAGAAACGACTCTACCTCCGCTTGCCCACGCGCGCTTTTGTCTTCTTGCCCGCCGCAGCCTTGATCTTCTTCGGCATCCGTGGCTTCTTGACATCCAACACGGCGCCCTTGCCCGCCCTCTCCGCCTTGCCCTTCTTCCACGTCGGCGCCTCGCTCCTCTCGGCTCTCGACTCAGCCTTCTTCTTGTCCTTGTTGCTCATCTTGCCGCCACCCTTCTTCTTCTCATTCTTATCGCCATTGAGTTCCGCCCGGCCCGCCTCCTTGGCCGATTTTTTGTCCTTCTCCGACTCGAACCAGGTGCGGCGCGGCCGCGACTTGATTTCGTCCTCGTGATTGATCAGGTTCTCACCCTTGCGCACCTGCATCTCCACCTGCGCCAGCTGCCTCTCTTCCTTCTCTTCCTCGTTGATCTCCTCAATCTCCTCTTCCATCTCGTCCACCTTGTCCTGCCACTTGTCCGCCTCACCGGCCTCGATGACGCGGCTCAGAATCTTGGCGCCCTGGGCCTTGCCTGCCTTGACGGCGGCCTTGACGACCTTGCGGTCCGGCTCGGCGGCGAGCGTCACGGCCACACCTGCGCGGCCGGCACGGGCGGTACGACCGACTCTGTGCACATAGATTTCGAGCTTTTGCGGTGCCTCGTAGTTGATGACCGTGTCGATGCCCTTGATATCGAGACCACGCGACGCAAGATCCGTGGCCAACAGGTAAGAAACCTTGCCATCCCTAAAGTCTTCAACACTTTGAATACGCTGTATCAAGTCAGTAGGATTCTCCGGGGGGACGGGGATCTTCGAGGGCGTACCTGTGTCTGGTTCATGCTGCCGTGGAGTTCCGCGCAAGACAAGCCGAGCAGACCGAAAATGATGCGCGCGCGGTGCGCGTCCTTCTTCTGGCGGAAGAAAATGATGACGCGCTCCGTGTACAGCGTCTTGCAGATGAAGAGAAGGTAGCCCATGCGCTTGCTCTCGCGGCCGGGTCGCAACCTGATGAACTCTTGGGTCAGTGTCGTGACCGTCTTCTTCTGCGAGTCCACCATGACCCTCGCCGGCGTGTTCATGCCGACACGGATGAGCCTGTCGACCGAAGACGTCATGGTGGCGGAGAAGAGCATCGTCTGGCGAGACTTGGGCATGCTCGTCAGAATCTCGTTCAGTTCGTCGGCGAAACCGTCCTCGAGCATACGATCGGCTTCGTCGAGAACCAGAATCTCGACGGCGTCGACGGCGAAGCTTGCCGAGTTGCGCATGTGATCGATGAAACGACCAGGTGTGGCGATGATGACGTCGGGACGCAGGCGAAGCTCGGCTTCCTGCATCTTCAGACTCAAACCACCGACGGCGAGGGTGAACTTGATATCTGTGTAGGCGGCCAATTTCGTGGCGACCGAGTGACACTGGATGGCCAATTCACGAGTAGGCGTGAGGATGACAACGCGGCTGGTGGGGACCTTTTTCGGTCGGTAGAGAAGACGCTCCAAAATAGGCACCACGAAGGCGGCCGTCTTTCCGGAACCGGTCACGGCGCCACCGACAAGATCCTTGCCCATGAGAGCAATGGGAATGGTCTTTTGCTGAATTGGCGTTGGCTTGGTGAACGACACGCCTGCCAAACCGCGGAGGATGGGTCGCGAGAGCGACATGCCCTGGAACGAATTGGCGGCGGCCTTCTTGCCAGGCTTGGCCACTTCTTCTGGCGCAAAGAATGCATCGCGCTTCGCCTTCTCCTCAGGATCCTCGTCGTCACTCAAGTCCGACTCGACGTCGTCTGGGTGGTCCACAGGTGTTGCGATCGAGTCGTTGTCAGAGGCTGCATCGTCGCCGTCTTCTGCGCCGTCTTCGTCCTCATCCTCAGCCTCGGAGCCCTCGTCTTCAGAATCAGCGCCCATGCCGAACGCATCATCGGCAAGAACGCCGTCCTCGTCGTCCTCGAGGTCCAGTTCCATATCATTGGCGTCCTCAGCCGGTGCCTCCGCCTCGGCCGCCTCCCCATTGGTTTCCTTCTTCTTCTCTAACCTCCTGCGAATGATGTCGTCAAGATCGAGGCCAATCTTCTTGGGCTTCATGCTGCGCTTGGCGCCCTCAAATCCCCAGCCCTCGAAATCGGCCTCGCCAAATTCCTGGGCGCCGTCCTGGATGTACTCGAAATCCGGATCCATGGCTCCATCGTCGGAATCGTTCTGTCCCCAGATCCCCTCGCGTGCTTCATCTTCCTCTTCTTCAGGGGTCGATTCCTTGCCCTTCTTTCCCTTCTTGCTCTTGCCCTTGACCTTGGTGGTGGTCTTTGCCTTCTTCTTAGGTGGAGCGACAGGAGCCTTTTCCTCGTCGGAGATTTCGCCCTCGTGGTCGGAGAGTGTGAGAACAAAGTCGTCGTCGACGGTTTTGCGCTTCTGAGCGGGAGCCATGGTGGTTGGTTGCTTGATCGCTGAGATCGCGGCCCAGGGGAGCTGTCGTCTTTGTCGTCGTGGGGTACGCAGTGTAGGTCCGGGCCTCTCACTGAAGCAGCGACGATCTGCGTCCAGAATTTTTTCTTGAGCTTGGTGGAGTGAAATGTTTCTGCCGGACTTCTAGCTCGGCGGGTCAAAGGCGGTCAGCAGAGGGCGGTCAGGAGGGTGGCAGGAGTGGAGCACGTGATCATCAACGCTCGTCGTTCATCGCTGAATGACTAAGACGGGCCACCGCGGGGTCAGGGGTTGATTCACCCCACCACGGTTGATTGGACGACCAAGAAACAGCACTCTGTCGCTGCCTCGCTGGTGCCAGCAATTTCGCAGGCCCGGTGGAGGTCGACTTTCCGCGTGGTGACGAAGGACGAAAATCCACCACCACCTTCCTTCTCCTTCCGAACCGTCCTGCAACAAAACATCCCACCAGACTTCGGTTTTCCGCGTTGCGCATCTCCTGTTCCGAGTCGTAGCTCCTCTTGCTTGGCCTTTGCTCTCTCAGCCTCTCTGCGCATTGCGTTCCATCCGTAGCCCCTCCTTCGAACCCACCACAACACAACAATCAAGATGGGCGAATCTAGGTACGGAGAACCACTCGCCTCCTGATGTTGTCTTTGGTGCATTGATGCGCCCTAAACAACCCCCTCCCCCAATCTCGAGTCATCACTAACGAAGATGCTCGTGTAGGCAAGAGCTTGTTCAGTGGCTGAACAGCCTTCTGCAGCTCAACATCACCAAGGTCGAGCAATGTGGTACTGGGTAAGCACATTTCCTCCACAGTCGGCGGTCGACCCCCCCCCCACCTCCCATGGCTCACAAAAATCGCCCTTCCAGCGCCGCCCTCTGCCAGGTGTTTGACAGCATCTTCCTCGATATCCCCATGTCTCGTGTCAAGTTCAACGTCAACTCTGAATATGCGTACATTCAGAATTTCAAGATTCTGCAGAGTGAGCCTACCAACTTTACCTCTCTCTCTCTCTCTCTCTCTATGCCCCCCCACCTCTACCCCTCTATCCCGACGCGCGACTGACTTGCCATCCACCCCGCAGACTGCTTCCACAAGCACCAGATTGACAAGCCCATTCCCGTCGAGAGTCTGGCCAAGTGCAAAATGCAGGACAACCTCGAGTTCCTGCAGTGGAGCAAGAAGTTCTGGGACCTCAACTTCCCCGACCATGAGTATGACGCCGTGGCGCGGCGCAAGGGCGGCACTCTCGCCGCCGGGGGTGCCGCACCCCGCGCTGCCGTCGGAGCCGGTGCCGGCGCCGCCAGACGCGGTGGCACGACGCCCACGACGGGCGGACCCCGCACGGCCCAGGCGGCCGTGGGCCCCGGCACGGCGGCCCTGCAGAACGAGAACGCGACGCTGAAGGAGACGGTCGTCGGCCTCGAGCGTGAGAGGGACTTTTACTTCAGCAAGCTGCGTGACATAGAGCTCCTCGTGCAGCAGGCCGTGGACGAGGACCCCCAGCTCGAGAAGCAGGAGGACGGACTCGTCAAGCAGATCCAGGCCATCCTCTACTCGACCGAGGAGGGCTTCGAGATCCCTGCCGAGGATCAGGTGGACGACCAGGAGACGTTCTAAGCTGTGAACTGGGGGCAGTGGCGACTATTTGCCTGGATGGGGTCATGCAACAGACCCGGGGATGGCCAGCCGGCAGGAAACAAGGCATCCAGGCATACGAGAAGACGGGCGAGGGAGAGAGAAGGAGAAAGAGCGGATGCTGATGGGGACTGGGGACGAATCGGCACAAATACCCCGAGGGATAATGACGTGCTGACATGGAACGTCGATGGCTCGACAGTCCTGGAGTACCTACCTCTTTGACGATCACTCATGATAGAGAAGGCAAATGCGCAAGTACAGTTGTGCTGGGATTGCACTCGTGTTCGTGAAATGGGCACCCATCAGTGAGTGTCGTGTATGCTGCCCTGCAAGTACGCAACGTGCCAGGCGTTGTCGGTGGACGGCCAGCAGTAGTAGATGAGGGTCCGAGTGTGAGCCTCCGGCATGGCGGTCAATGGAGGAGATGGTCTATCGATGGAGTGCAGATCTGCGTCTCATGCCTGGCATGGTGATGGGATAACACGAGCCCCTGCTTGAAACCCGGGTTGACGTGTTTACCGCCCGATCGGTCCTCTGTTCTTGGTTTGGGTTTGGCGCCGAGCCAATACCGATGGCGTGGCCACCCAAGCCATTCCATGGCGGTCATTCGGCAGAGATGGAACACTGACTGACTGCCTGGGGTCTAGTTTGGTTCATCGAGTCACTCAAGGTCCCTGTTTTCAGTGCCCCACATACCTGCCCGCCTAGGTAGGTACCTGGGGCACCCCCCCCCTGTCGACGGCAGCCCGGCGAAGGCACTGTAGGCACGTTAAGGTAGGTGGGTGCCCTGTACATGTACCTACCTTGCCTGTAGGGGCAGCCAGCCAGCTATAGCTGCCTGGTACGACAGCGCTAGCGCCGAACCTCCACCAGCGAATGGCTTGCTGACGTCGGTCAATGACCGTTAAAACAGCTGACGTCCTCCGAGCAACCATCGTCCAACCACCAACACCAGCATCTGTACCACCATCTCAACCCAGCATCGTGTGTCACCAGTCCTCGTCCAGCGAATTCTTCGTCCATCACTACGTCAATCGGGCCCCCTGGGTCAACTCGAGTGCTCGATCTTCGTTTCGACCAACATCTCCCTCCGTCGATACCCTAGAACGTGGGCAAGCAACCCCAACACAACCTGACACACGCCTACGAAGGGCCGTTCCGGCAATACAAATCACAAGCATGGCGCCTCCCGCCGAAATCTCCATCCCCTCGACGATTCTTTCCACCGGCGAGTCGAAACCTTTCACCCTCTACAACATCACCCTGCGCCTGCCACTGCGCTCCTTCGTCGTCCAGAAGCGCTATTCCGACTTTGCCAGCCTCCACAGCAGCCTGACGACGCACGTGGGCTCGCCACCGCCGGCACCTCTACCCCAGAAATCGTGGTTCAAATCGACAGTCTCGTCGCCCGAGCTCACCGAGAACCGCCGTCGCGGCCTGGAGCACTACCTCCGCACCATTGCCGAATCGCCCGACCGCCGATGGCGCGACACGCCCGCCTGGCGTGCCTTTCTCAACCTCCCGTCGGGCGGCTCGGCCGCCGGCTCGGCCATCTCGTCAGGCGGTCTGTCTAGGCCGCAGCAGGCTGGCGCCGGCGACCCGGGCACCTGGCTCGACATGCACCGCGAGATGAAGGCGTGCCTGCACGAGGCGCGGCTGGCGCTGGCGCGGCGCGACGGCGCCGCCGAGGCGGGCAACGGCACGGGCGCCGCGGAAGCAGGCGCCGCGGCCAAGCGCGCGCTCGTCAAGGCCGGGACCGTGGGGTTCAGCCTGACGGACGGGCTCAAGGCCATGCAGGAGGGCGGGCGGCTGGGCGACGGCGAGCTGCGGCGGCGGCGCGACCTGCTGTCGAGCGCCAAGGTCGAGAGGGAGGGGCTCGACAAGCTGAGCAACAGCTTTGCGTCGGCGCAGGTCGGCCACCAGGGCCAGGGTGGCGGCGGCGGGCGCGAGGGCATCGCGCCGGCCGGGGACAAGGCGGCGCTGCTCGGGGCGGCGGCGTCACGGGCAAGGACCGGCGGCCGCGTGCTCGGCGCGCCGCTGCCCGAGACGGAGAGGACGCGCGAGCTCGACAACGAGGGCGTGCTGCAGCTGCAGAAGCAGATGATGGGCGAGCAGGACCAGCAGGTCGAGGCCCTCGGCGCCATCATCCGCCGTCAAAAGGAGATGGGCTTGCAGATCAACGAGGAGATTGAGGCGACGACCGACATGCTCGACCGCATGAACGAGGACGTCGACCGCGTCGGCGGCAAGATGCGCGTCGCCAAGAACCGCATCAAGAAGCTCTGACTGGGCGCCGTCCTTCTTCTTCTTCTCCGCGGCGTCCTCGGCGTGGCCGCCGTTGTGGTCTGGGCGCGCATGCTGGCCGGGGCGTGTGCGGATGTCATTGCGTGGTGTTTGGAGTTTGCCGTTATGGTTCTCGGGGCACGCGCCCGTCGATGATGAGCGCGGCCGGCGATTGTTTACTACTTGTACTCAGGTTCATTGACAGCATGTACTATCTAATACCAGACTGAGATGAGATGTGGACTTCTCAAGGTTGCATGAGAAATTGAGACTTGATACTGCGCCAAGATATTGGTTGACGGTTTGACTTGCCGCGCTCCTTCATCATGAAGGCCTTGAAACTTTCCGCCTGTCATTCCATCCTGCCTCCCTGGTTTTGCATGATACGTACGACTCTCAACTCGAAAATGCCCAGTTTGATCAATCCACAAGTTACAAATCGCCTTGCCACCGCAATGGGTGGTTCCAACCTAAACAAAGACCGTCCCAAGTCCAACGTCGCCCGCAGCGGTCCGTCCCACGTGTCAGCTGCAGCGCTCGCATCCCTGTGCCGGCATCATTGCAACGCGGGGTCCGTTTCGTAATCTCTCTTCGCAAAAGCTTGACAAGCAACTTTGCAGCAGACACAGATACGCACACTGAGTCTGTTTCCCCTTCCAGCCTGTTCTCGCTTTCGTCTCCTCGCACTCCGAATCTGGAAACGGACAGGTCACGAGCGCGGGCGCCAAAAGCAAGTAGCAGTGGTAGCGCTGGCTCCGCTACGGTGGCGCTACGTCACTTAGCGCCGCGGAAGACGAGGGACGACCCGGGGTTGCTGGGCAACGGGCGTGATCCGTTGATGTGATGAGATTTCCGCTCGCATGGTGCCCTCCATGGGCTCTGTGTTGGACTACTTTTTTTCGCTGTCGACTGCCATCTCATTTTGTTCTTCGTCCTCGCCAAGGGGTGGGTTCATCTTAGACGGACTGATTGGCGAGACACGCCTCCACGCTCCAGAGGCGAGGATCGCGGATTCCGTTCGAAGCTTTTCAGAGGCGTCTTGTTGCTGGCACCTCCAGCCGCCAGACAGAGGAAACCAATCTGGTCCCCCCCACCAACAGCTGCAAGAGCGTGCACAACGCCTGGTCCTGACTCTGGCTGCTGTTCCGCGATTCGCTGCACGTGTGGAGCGCAGGACGCCCATTGACCGCCATATGGGCATCACGGTGAGCCTGTCGGAGGGCGAAGCGTCATTTTTGTCGTGGGATTGGGTCGTCCGACTTGTCCTCCAGTGAGGGGATTCGCCTTGGATGATGTGGCAAGGTCGACAGGCTCCGTTGTTTTGAAGATCCGAGTGGTCGGCCAGTCGACAAAGCCTGTGCACGATACCGTTCGCTGGCTGTTGCCCAAAGCTCAGCACCTGGGAAAAGGAGAGACAAGGGGCCGAGGAGGGGGGGATCATGATGCGATGCGGAATATCCTGTTTTGTCTAAGCAGGCAGCCACGGAGGTTTGTGGGGGACTGGCTGTTCGTGAGAGAACAGGGGTGGAAGCTCTTGAGCTGCCTTGGGTGCCATGTGAAATGAGGGGAGAGTTTTGCGGGTTCCCGAGTTTGCCGTTGACGAACAGCCAGAGATCAGGATTTTACGTCCAACAAACGAACAATGGTAACGGTAATTGGTCTTGATGGTAGCGTCTTCTCTCTCCGCCAGAGTATTCTTGATGATCGTGCTTCACGGATCAAGCCGGGCGGGAGAGGGTGGTACTGGTACTGTTGTACCTGAAGTTCTGGCGCCTGTCAAAACGACCTCGTGGAACGCTGGCGCCAGCGACGATTACAGGGGCGCACAGCCACTGAAACCACCCCACAACCAGGTATCTGCTCCTGCCCCGTACGGCGGGCCGCCACTGCTACACCGCGCCATGCCCCTTATATGCAAGAGTCACCGTGGCCCGCCTCCACCTCTCCTGCCCCGGGGCGCACCACGACAATCAACTGGGCCTTCCGCCCCCCCCCTTCCCCCATGTACCTTCCGACTCGAAAGTAAACACATCCTAGGTCCTTCCCCGACAAAAAGAATCTTCACCCCGTCGCTTGCTGCCGCCCCTGCCTCCCCCCTCAAGACCCTTTCTTGACACCATCGCCAACTCGTCATTACCAGCAGCTGCAATTGAACCGCGAACCTCTCTTGGCTCTCCGCGAATCCCGCATCGCAAGTCGTAGCCAGACAGCCAGCCAGATCCGGGCCCCATCGGCTTTGGATACTGAACGACAATACGACTCAACAGCCTGGAGCTTGGACACCAGCGTTTCTCCAACACGCTACATTTTGGGAGCCTGGCGTTCGTTGTACATCTTCCTTTTTTGTAGGTACAAAAAAATTTCGTCTGGCCATCGATTGAAGGTCCTGTTCTGTTTGGCAGAGCACATAGCTCGATCAACAAGCAACCTTCCCCTACTGGCTGTTTTTACTCGGCTGAGTCAAGCTGACGAGCGCCATGGTAGTCCAATCTTCGCGACGTCACCAACACAAATGGCCACCAAAAGTCACCACCTTCGACCCCTCCGATCTTGACCTGCAGTCCTGAGTTACTGCCCACGCACTCTTGCCCTGAGCTCCCCGGCTCTGCTTGGCAACCGTGCTCCGAGCATCGACCCTGTCGTTCGACTGCCTTGGTATCTACAGCGGTGACCCCTGAAGGGCCTTCGTGCCTGACAACGCATCACAACAACGCAACATGAGCCACCAAGGTCCCCCGCCACCTCCGCCGCCCCATGGCGAGAATCCTAAAACCACGAGCGGCGGCGGCGGTGGTGGCCTGGGTCCTGGCAACTACGACATCTTCGTTATCCCGCAACGTGACAAGGGCGGAGGATTCATTTACCTGCCATCCATGAGCCCCAACGGCCCCAGCTTCGCTGCCGGTTTTGCTTCCGCCCTGGTGCTGGTTGTCATATTCCAGAGCATGGCGCCAGCCTTTCAAGTATGGTGGAGCAACTTCCAAGGCATGGGCAGCATGGGCATGACTCTCCTGTTGATAGCAGTCGCCATCGGGGCGTGGGCCTGGGGTAAGTCGCAGGCCGCGCAGGCCGAGGCCTCTTCGTCAAACGCCGGTGGTCACGCCGGCACCGGAGGCTCCTACGGTGCCCGACCGAATCCCCAGGCGCACAGCAGCCCACCTCCCAACACTGGTGGCCCCCCGCCGCCTCCGCCGCCACACAACGAACCGCCCCCCTCGAACCAAAATCGCGGAGGAGGCCCCAAGACCTCCTGGCAACAAGCACCGCCTCAGCCGGAAGAAGCGCCCCCGCCGGAACCTCCACGGCCCGAGACGCCGCCTCCAAGACCAAAGACTCCTCCAAGACCAAAGACCCCTCCGAGGCCGAAAACGCCTCCGCCGAGGCCCAAGACACCACCCGCCAGGGCGAAGAGTCCGCCGCCAAAGCCAAAAACGCCGACGCCTGCGCCGCCTCCCAAACCGAAGGAGGATTCGACGTGGGAGAAGGCCCGCGAGGAAACCAGGAGGAGAGAGGCTGAGCGCAAGGCAAAGCTTGAGGAAGAGAAACGGAAAGCCGAGGCCGCCCGCAGGTTACGCGAGTTCCGAGAAAAGGAGGCTCGTGAACGAGAACGACGCGACAAGGAAGCTCGTGAGCAGCGGGAGAAGCTGGAGCGAGAAAATAAGGAAAAGGAAGAGCTCAAGGCGAGACTTGAGAAGGAGACGCGAGAACGAGAACGCCTCGAAAAGGAAAAGGCTGATAGGGAAGCCAAAGAACAGGAAGATGCTCGCAAGAAGGAGATAGAAGATCTTCGTAGGAAAGAGGCCTGGGAGAGAAAGAAGCGTGAGATGGAGCTCAAGATCAAGCGCGAGGCGGAGGAGAAGGCCAAACGCGAGGCGGAGGAGGCCGCGCAGAAGGCTCGTCAGGGAAGTACGTATGCTTACTCGGGGGTCGGCGAGAAGACCAGCCTCCGAGACGGCGCCCAAGCTCCAGCCCCCCCGTCTTCACCGTCGCCAACAAAGCCAGCTCCTTCTACAGCTCCGTCGAACAACGCAAAACGGCCGCCGGCCCCATCTGCCTCTGCCTCGGCGAGGACGCACTTGCGACCCGACGACGATGCGTACTCGTATCGTCCGTACGACACGCCCAAGTCGTCTCGCCGGACGGCGCCATCTTCCGTGGGCTCCGAATCGTCCTGGGCGCACTCTGCCACGACGGCCCGCACGACGCCGCCGCCTAGCATGCGCGGTCCGTACACGACGAAGGACCCCGACAAGATTGTGATCAAGGCGGTGTATCTGTTCATGAACCAGTACGCTAAGACGCCGGCTAGCAACTTGCTGTCAGGGATCGGTACTGTGACGGACGGCCTCATTCTCCGGATCACCACCGAGGGTCTCTTCATCGACGACGATGTTCGAGGCGTCCCGCAGCGAGAGTGGGATGTCAAAGCATGGACACTGAAGCTTGTCGAGGTATGGTGTCCCCCGCACTGCCTGTCTGGTTCTTCGTCTTCTTCTGCGTCTGGCCCATCTGCGAACCAACCGACGAGCTTTCTGCACAAGATGGCCCAAGCGCAGCGTGCTACTCGCAACTCGGCGGCGGACAGGGGCGCCAACAAGCCTTACCTCGGTGATGAGGCTGAGGTGTACCTGGCCGACATGTTAAAGTCGTGCAAGGAGTGCTGCCGTCTCGGCCTGTGCGAGAGCAAGCTACGCAACACGAACATGCCGTCTTCTGCCGGACAGGCGGGAGAGTGGAAGTCCAAGGGGTTGCATGTGCTGCGGGCAACGGTGCGGGATCAGGAGGGCAAGCGCTACTTGTTCGTCGTGGACGAGGAGGAGGCGTGGAAGTTGTCAGTCGGTCTCTCTCGGCTGCGCAAAGGAACCCAGGTGCGTCAACTGGGGGTCAGCGGCATGACGGCGACGGATGCGAGAACAACGCTCGACCTGCTGGGTTGGTTGTAGTCGGATGGTGGAAGGTGATTGAGGCCCTGTCGGGCGACGACAAGAAGGTAGGCTGGAAATTTGTGCAGCAGCGCGGCGTTTTGATAGCGGGATGCTGTTACGAGAAGGGGCATCTGGAATGCGTGGCAATTTGGATGCATAGCAGAGCGCGGAATGCATTGAGCGTCTTGGCAGTAACCCGTCATGATACCCTGGCGGAACAGGCATACAGACTGTTTAACCACATATACACGTTTTCTAATCAACTCATTTACGACGGATCAAGTGCTTCAAGCAATACAGGTGAGACTCGAGTCTTGAGGCGAACTTCATGAAGCGGACGAAGACTGCCGATGCCAATCGTGGGTAACATAGCAGCCCGCCCTGTCTCCGACCTTTTCTCTTTTCACACTAGAGGACATGTGCCTTGATCAATTCCCGAACCGCTCTCCGTCTTCCGGCTCGTCATGCAAGGCCTCCGGAACACTCGGCTCGAAGAAGCGGCGCGTGGACATGGTGGTGAAGAGGACCCTCCGAGGGCATCACGTCAGGGGCGATGTCACGTAATGTCATGCGTCGAACGTTAAGCTCTGACGAACCAAGAATGATTCCGAGCCCTTTGCTGTTGTCAACTCCCATTATCTCACGCAACATCTTCCATGTTCAGGCAGGGTTAATTCCAGAAGATAGGCCCCATGGAGACGGATCCTCCACTCCCCACCCTGCGCATCTCGGGCAAGCGAGTGCAGGTCCCGTCCTCGCGGGTGGGAAGTGGCACCTCGTGTGTGATAAGGAAGAGGAGTGGATTTCCCACGTGGTTCCCATATGGGCAGAAAGAGAGAGAGAAAGAGGGAGAAAGACGAGGGGCGTTGATCACTATTTCCTTCCATTGGGTCTTCCCTTATCTTGGACGATATGTGCATGACGTACTTGGTATGACCGCCCCTCGGATAGCGTAGGCAGAGAGGCGTTCAGGTGAGCCCGCGGTCTAATCGGGCTTATTCCCAAATGTTCGCCTGCAGGAAACGGGTTCATGTTGCGAGAGAGGTCGAGTTACTCCGTCAGTCTGCTTTTAGGGCCATGGGCGGAGCGAACATGAACATCTCCCCCCATCCCCTCCCCAATTGAAGAGCGAGTTGGAGTTTGGGCGCAGTCTCGTTGGAGACAGTGGACGGGGAGCTCTTATCTCGCGCTAGCGGACAAAGGGCGTCGGAGAATCCATCCAGTGGTGATTGATCTTTAGGTACCCAGGGGGCGCCGCGCTATTGCAATCGTCCTCGGGTTCAGGAACGCGCTGTTTGGGCGCCTGGCGGATCGGGCCCGGCGACGAAGCCGACTCGATGACCGTTGGGACCGGATTGTCGGGATGATGGGGACCTTGGGTGAGTTTCATACGCTTTTATTCATGTCTTTGGTGAACGCGGGCGCCTGTCTTGAGAGTTTATTTGTGTAGTGGTGGAAAAGGCTGTGCTTCGGAAACACGACTCGACACTGCAAACTTGCTTGTACTACATTAAACTTTCTGGACGTTTGTTCATAAACTCCGCCTAACGTGACTGATGTTGTCGAATTAACACAACACTTCATTACCCGTCTTGCCTTGGCCATGAATGATCATTGGGCCTCCAGCTGTAAACAAGTTAAACCCGATGTCGGAACCGATCAATGCCCGAAAGAGGAGCTCTTATCAGTCGACGTTCAAAGCCGCTGGGGTATCAGAATCGATAGCGCACCTTTGACATGGCCCCCAGCATAACCCCACGATGGACATCGCATGGCGTGACATCCAGGAACCAGGGCGGCGGCCGTCGGGCGAGGGGCAGTGAAGTCCTACCATGGGCCCTTTGCTTCGGAATCCGGGTGGGCTGAAAAGCTGCGCCAAGATTATCACCGCACGTAACCCCCCGCGAGCTGGTGAGGCGATTCAATTTGGCCCGGGGGTCGCTGCTGATAAGGCCTTGTCTTGCATGCGCAATCCCAGCTGCCAAATGCGGTCTGGACGGCCAAGGCTTCGTTTCCTTGGTGTGAGGCAGTCCTAGTCATGACCTCGCGACTGGGATCGTCAGCGCGGGAGATGGGCCAAAAAACAAACAGGGGCAGCTTGTCGCTGGCCCAAACCGCCGGCCTGCCATTGATTGCGACGCGACGTTGTGACCCCTCTTTGCAGGGTCCTTTGGCTAGTACAGGCTGCGGGAGTATAAAGAAGTCGTGGTTGCAGCCTCCTGGAGACGATAGATGTGTATAGCCAGAGCGAAAAAAAAATCGAAGCCCGCAAAGCCGAGAGACACCAAGCATCGTCATGCGCTCCTTTGCCCTCCTCAGCCTTGGCTTCATCGCCTCGGCGGCCGCCCAACTCGTCCAGACCGGCGCCTCCGTCAAGCTCAATGACGTCTACTACTACGTTTCCCCGTACTCGCAGGGCAAGGCTTACGATGGCCCTTTCAACGTCAAGAGCCTGCCTCGTGCCTTTGGTTTCACGCCCATCACCGTCGTCGCTGACGAGCTCGAGAAGGAGTCGCTTGAGGGCCTCTTCGGCAACTGGACAACCAAGGACGACGTCTGGCAGCCTGCGTTCCTGTCGGCCATCTTCCTCGCGGGCCAAAAGACGCCCTGCCTGACCAAGGCCAGCTACCACGAGGACGTCTCCTCCATCGTCGTGCCTCTCAACAAGGACGCCAAGCTCCCTTCGGGTCCTTACTTCCTCGACACCTCCAGCGGCGAGGTATACCAGGCCTTCCGTCTGTACGCCGACTTTGCCGGCGCCTTCACCGAGTCTCTGATCCAGGCGCCCAAGGGCGACCTCTTCCAGCCCCTTTCTGCCCAGATCCCTGCTTCCGCATCGTTGACCATCGGTGTCCCCTCGCGCTTGTACTTTACCAAGACGGCTGAGAAGCCCCTGGCTGGCGTCCGCATTGGTGTGAAGGACATCTATGACCTCGCTGGCGTGAAAAAGTCGAACGGCAACCGCGCCTGGTACGGCCTTTACCCTGCCGCCGGCAAGACGGCAACGGCCATCCAGAACCTCATTGACGCCGGTGGTATCGTCGTCGGCTACCAAAAGACGTCACAATTCGCCAACGGCGAGTCACCCACTGCCGACTGGGTCGACTACCACGCGCCCTTCAACCCACGCGGCGACGGCTACAACAACCCCTCCTCCTCATCTGCCGGCGCCGGTGCCTCCGTAGCATCCTACCAATGGCTTGACATCGCCGTCGGCTCGGACACGGGCGGTTCCATTCGCGGCCCTGCCGGTGTTCAAGGCCTCTTCGGCAACCGCCCCTCGCACGGCCTCGTCTCCCTTGCCAACGTCATGCCTCTGTCGCCGACCCTCGACACCCCGGGTTTCCTCGTTCGCGACCCGGAGATCTGGGACGCCGCCAGCAAGGCCATGTACCAGGGCAACTACACCTCCCTCGCCAGCGGCAAGGCCAAGTACCCCACCAAGCTCCTGACCCTTGGCTTCCCCGCCTCGACGACACCCGCTGGCCGCATCCTCAACGACTTTGCCGCCAAGCTCGCCAGTCACGTCGGCGGCAAGCTGACGGCCTTGGACCTGAATGCAGCCTGGTCATCCTCGGCGCCAGCCGGCGCAAAGGGCGCGTCGCTCAGCGACCTCCTCTCCGCGACGTACGCGACCCTCATCACAAAGGAGCAGATTGCTCTTGTCCGCGAGCCCTTCTACGCCGACTACGCCGCGGCCCACGGCGGACGCCGCCCCTTCGTGAACCCTGTGCCCCTCTCCCGCTGGGGCTGGGGCGACTCGGTCCCGGACAGCTGGCACGCCGATGCGCTGGCGAACAAGACGCTCTTCATGGACTGGTTCAACTCGGAGGTTGTGCCGGTATCCAGTGACGCCGCCCAGTGCACTGAATCACTCGTCCTCTACGTTGGCAGCACCGGGTCTGCGAGCCCGAGGAACAGGTACACAAGCGCACCGGGCGTGCCGCTCGGCTTCAGCAGCAGTCGTATCTCCGTCTTTGCCGAGGTGCCTGACCTTGTGTTCCCGCTCGGCGAGGTCGCGAGCCTCAGTAGCATCACCGGTGTTGAGGAGAAACTCCCTGTGGCCGTAGACATCATGGCTGCCAAGGGGTGCGATGGTGTTATCGTCAAGCTGGCGAAGGATCTTGTGGCCGAGGGTGTGCTGACGGTGCCCAAGGCGGGAGCGACACTGGAGGGTGGCGAGGTGCTGTTGAGGAGAGATGAGGTGCATGGTTACTATTAGATGTGCGCATGAGGTTGCAAGGGGGACGCGAGATGATGAAAATGATATGATGCAAGTTCACGAACTTCGACTCGCATGTGAAGATTTCGGATATCCGAAAACAAGTTTGCCCTCCCCTTGAGAGCTTTAGTGATATGCTTTGCGGGTACCCCTGCCATCGTGACTTGCTCTCTTCTACAGAAGCTTGGTAACGCTTGATATCCTGACATTTTTGCGTGATACTGTGAGAGTGCAAGTAGAATAGGGCGCAAGCTGCATCTTCAAGTGTAGAATCGCCGAAGACTGCCAGTCACTTGCACATCACATGGAAGCCAAGAATGGCAGCAGACCGAAGGCGAAGCCACACAGCATGCACTTGAGACTAGTCAAAGTCTTTAAGTCAGCCTTCATGTCATCCGTCTCTGTTTCCGATCGTTTCGCAAGTACATGTCGGTCATCGATTATTCTGAATCATGACAGTAAGCGATAAATCCTCGACAGAATAGGATTCGCCTCTTGAGATTGGCTCACAGAGACGGCGACTAAGATCTCTGCTACGAGCCCATTTTGGCCTCGACTCTCGCCAGATTGAGTAAGAAAGGCTGGCCAACCATCTCTGTTAGCTTAGACACATCATCGCAGGGGATGTATCGCAAAGTTCTGTCAGCGTATGGATTAGTTGCGAAACATGTGGGCATCAATGATGGCAACGTTGCATCCTCGCATGAATGGTCACGGTTTGGATGCTGGTGGGTTGGAGTCGAGATGATGCTAAGACAACCAGCAGCTCAGGTGTGGGACGTGTCCAGGCTCAACAGGACGGATTTCGAGTTTCCAATATCGGCAAAGAAGCGCCGGAACCGATGACAAGCGTCCCGGCAGGTAAGACATGCCGCCACGGCGGCATGGGCTCACACTCAGCAGTCGCCTCTGAGTAGGCGGAGTTCCGGCGCCGGGGGAAGCTCAGAGCGCGCGCCGCCAAGCTCCGGGGAGAAACTTTAATCTACTGTATGCCGAGGTCGTTCCATTAGGCGAAGGCAGAGTAAGCATCAATGCCAGACACCCAGCAAGAGTCGGACCCGCCAACTCGTTCCGTTGCCAGAGGCACCTCCCCGAGGCATCTCGCCGCCGAAAGTCGCGCGCGCGGTTGTCAAGGTACGCAGTTTCTGGAGGAGCCGATCCTTTACGCGGAAAGAGTGGGGGGTTCGGCTAGGCCGGGGAGGTCGGAGATGTCGACGTGCTGCGGCGGCTTTGTGTGCTGTATGTAGGTGAATTGCGGGCCTTGTTGGGCTGGCAGACATTTTTGACTATCTTTCCTGGCTCTTCACGTCTTCTCCACCCACGGTCGGTTGCCTGGGGAGGCCTCGAGGAGAGGGAGGGGAGGAGAGAGAAACCTCGCGGCATTTATGGGCCATGTTGCTCCAAGTTGCGGGTACTGGCCTGGAGGGGCAGGCAGCTAGTTGGGTGATTGGAGATGGATCGCGATGAGGATAAACACGAGTCGACATGCCCATGGAGGCGGGGGTGGGTTGGTGCGGTGATGCTGATGGGCTGACGGGTCAAACATGCCAATGTTCAATGGAGTTAGCCAGGTTTGTGTACTGTACATGTGAGTCTGATAATGTGGCGAGGTTAAACCTGTGAGTTGCATCTGAGGAAGGTGGCCATCAAGGTCATTGCCATTTGTTGTGTTGTTCCTGCCGCCGCCATGCCTGCACCGTACACCTTCGGTGACAGTCGCGACCTAACGCCATTCTCTCGATCGAACAAGGAAGGAACGATGGGTGCCAACCGATGGCCAGGCACACAAGTGCGTGGAAAACCGCCGTGTGCCGGCCGAGCCTGGAGACGCCTGGCAGTGGAGCCCAGAGCGCTGGAAGGGCTGGCGCGAAACTCTTGGTGGGCCTTGGCGTCATGTAGGCGCACTGCTCAGCGCCCAGCAGCGCCCAGCGGCGGCAGTTAGTGGGCTAACAGGCCTGGGAAGCTACGGTTGTGCCGCAACGAGTAAGAGCCCGTGGGGCAACAACATCTGGTGATGACGTCGGCGGGGGTCCATCGAGGGAGAGCGTCTCAGTGGATACACGGCTTGGAGGGGCAGCAGCAGCAGCAGCAATTGCCCAGGTGCGGAAGCAAGACCGGCACCACCACCGAGCAAAGAGCTCGAGGGGTGGCAGGAGCCAAGGACTGAGCACCAAGCACCAAGTACGCAAAAGCAGGAGCAGGAGCAGGAGGAGTTGACCGTTGAAGGAAAGAAGGTTACCCACAGAAGAGAAGAAGAAGAGGGGGGGCACGACCAGGAGCAGGAGCAGGAGGGGCACCGGTACCTCGATCATCATCATGGATTGGACGGTCAAGTTTCCCATCCCCATCCATCTGCTTCTACTTCTGCTTCTGTCTCGTCTTGACCCCTCGGCCAGCGGGACCCGGATCTGGCTCAACTCCTCGACTCATTGAAAAGTCGATCCCTCCCACCCCAGACGCCCTTCTCTTCTCTCCTCCTCTCTCTCTACATTCCTGCTCTATTCCCCATTTTTCTTGATACCCCCCTCTTCACCCAACCTCAATTACCTACTTTGCTACCTAGATAACCGCCCCCCACCGCCATCATGATCGAGATCCCCAAGGCCAACCGTCTCGCCGACCTCTTCTCCCTCAAGGGCAAGGTCGTCGTCGTCACTGGTGCTTCCGGCCCCCGTGGCATGGGCATTGAGGCTGCCCGTGGCTGTGCCGAGTTTGGTGCCAACGTCGCCATCACCTACTCTTCCCGCAAGGAGGGTGCCGACAAGAACGTCGCCGAGCTCGAGAAGGAGTACGGCATCAAGGCCAAGGCCTACAAGTGCAACGTCGCTGATTACGCCTCGGTCGAGTCCTTCGTTAAGGAGGTCATTTCCGACTTTGGCAAGATCGATGCCTTCATCGCCAAGTGAGCACCCCTCACCTTTTTTTGTCCCCCCAAAAGGCCGCATCATTGCAAATCAAGATCGTACTGACCAATGCAGCGCTGGCGCCACCGCCGACTCTGGTGTCATTGACGGCACCAAGGAGGCCTGGGACCATGTCATCCAGGTCGACCTCAACGGCACGGCCTACTGCGCCAAGGCCGTCGGCGCCCACTTCCGTGAGCGTGGCACCGGCTCCTTCGTCGTCACCTCCTCGATGTCCGGCCACATCGCCAACTACCCCCAGGAGCAGACCTCCTACAACGTCGCCAAGGCTGGCTGCATCCACCTGGCCAAGTCCCTGGCCAACGAGTGGCGCGACTTTGCCCGTGTCAACTCTATCTCCCCCGGCTACATCGACACTGGCCTGTCCGACTTTGTCGGCCAGGAGACCCAGGACCTGTGGCTGTCCATGATTCCCATGGGCCGCAACGGCGACGCCAAGGAGCTCAAGGGTGCCTACGTTTACCTCGTGTCCGACGCTTCCACCTACACTACCGGCGCCGATATCCTCATTGACGGCGGTTACACCGTCCGGTAAATGTGTGCGCACTCTGGCAGTGTGGCACGTGAGCGGAAGAATATGTAATAGACAGCCTCTACGGCCCATAGTCAAGGATGGACCTGCCTGTATAGACTGGACCATTTAAATGAATGAAAGAAACGAAGCCTTTGGATATCACCATTGTTCTCTGGAGAACAGCCGCAAGTGTTTAGAGTATTGAACCTGCCCTGCAATTTTTGTTTGCTGATTTGCTGTGAAGTCAAGTTCGTGCAGGGCAAATGCAACGAAAATGCAACGATCGTCCGGCACCAAGCGAAGGAGGGTGGGCGCTGCGCCGCGCCCTGCACTGCAGGCAGCTGCTGTGAAACCCCTTCGCATGTGTTTGGTTCATTCAAATGGTGCATGATTCTGCAAGATCATGTTACACAGAGATCGGCTTTTCATAGCACAAGAACAACGTCAAGTGGCCAGACAATCAAGATTCGGAAGCAGAAGACGGAAATCGGGGACGTTCATTTGATGCGACAGGTCATTTCATTATTCAGATTTACTCTTTGGATTCAACTCCCAACCCCACCAAAACGTCGTGATTACCATCAAAAACAGGCCTTCAGGCCGCCGAGGGAATGCAAGAAGCGAAAACTAAAACTCCACTCCGCCATAGCCAGAACAAACCCCCAACAGTGCAGCACTGAGCCTTCCTAACAGCCCGCATATGCGCGACGCGGTCGGCAGAAGCTACAGTTCCACTGAGCGGACTACATCAGGCCGGCCGCGAAGAGCACGGCACCCAGGAGGCTGCCCATGATGCTGAGGTCTGACCTCGCGGCCGCGCCGACGGGGACGGTCACCGGCTCGTCGTCGTCCCCGTTGTCGACTTGTGTCGGGACGGGAGCTGGCGCCTCGGGTGTCTCGGGCACGGGGGCAGGGGTTTCGGGCTCGGGCGCGGGAGCCTCTGGCTCGGGAGCAGGGCTCTCAGGCTCGGGAGCGGGAGTTTCCGGCTCAGGGGCGGGATGCTCTGGCTCA